CTTCTTTCCTCGTGATGAAAACCATCTTACGTCCTCCTCAGTCTCGTCTTCGCCCGATTTTTATGCGAAAAGAAGCATAGGAGGTCTTAGTATATAACGCTTCAGGCACCAGACGGCAACTATGTCAGTAAAAATCTCAACAAAATACGGGTCTCCCAACTAGCACATTGAAGTATTATTTAGCGGAGATGGCGCGCCAATAGGTACCGATAGATCAAACATTGGGATGAACATCACATCTCTCATATCAAGCTTAAGAGATGAACTGCCTTGCTTGTAGTAATTCCATCTCTACTCAAAATCTAGACATCAGGGGTCATCATCAGATTTGTCTCCCCAATATCCAGGCAACATCTCGACATACCTATCGTAAACCCTCTGCACAAAGCCAAAGTACTCAACCTCCTCAGTTTCCCAACAGCAATACCAAGGATTCCACTCGGAATCTATCTCTTCCTCATCCCTCTTCCAAACACTCCAATAGTGCTTTGATTGCTTGACATCCCCAAACTGTGCACTTGATCGCGCCATATCGTTTACCGAACACGTGTCCGGCATCCAACACTGCTCATACGCTTCTAACACAGCTTCTAGAATCTCATCCGCTGTATCGATATCCCCAGCTTCAATGGCAAGTCTCCGGCACTTTGTGATGAGGAACCTGGTTTCGTAGTGTAAACCCGCAATATCGTATCCATCCGCCAAAGCAAAAAGTTCAACACAAAACCATGAATACCTCATCAACAGCTCCAAATCCTGTTTTTGCAAAGCAGAAGGCTAAGGCCATTCTGTTTCTAGACAAGCATCTACACCAGTACACTCATACCAATCCCAAAACTCTGGGGAGGTTCTGGTGGCTTTGATGTAGTTGAGCATGAGTGCAACGCCTTCTTTACTGTGTCCATGGATTTCGTGACTGTTGGTGGTGGAGTTTGAGAAGTTTTTGTTAAATGCGGCAAAGAAGACTGGAGAGCAGGACATCAAGTGTTCTTTGTTGATGAAATCGATCTTGCCATTGAATTTTAGGATGGCGCTGGTGGCTATTTGGTCCAGATAGCGTGTTCTGGAGTCAGAGGCGGAAGTCGAGGTGGTGGGTTGCGTGATGGTGGTTGCCATTTTGAGACTTTGTTCTAGAGTGTCGGTGTGGAGTGTGTCGTCAAAGGGCGATGAACTTTGGTCCTATTTTCGCGGTCGGAGAATTTGGTTAGCAAAGAAAACAGAATGAGATATATACTCCATCACACACCAAACATGAGTCACGACTGTACACCAGTCACAACCTGTCATGTGCTAAGAGTCAACTCGGCTCAAAGATGTAGCTACAACAACACACAATACTATTAGAGAGTATAAGGACTTTCGCTAAGACCCATCACCTCATCATCGTCGCTCTGCGGATGCCGTCTCTACGACTCAAGAACTATGTCTTTCTACAGCTCACTGTCGCTCCATGTCGATACGAGAGGCACACGAAGAGTAAGGCCCATCACGAACCCATCCACCAAAATTGCTCAAATGGCCGCTCTTAGGCAACACTCGACTTTGATGTGCCATATTGCATCAATGCCAATCATCCAGCATCATCTCGGGAAGTCGCCAATAACTAGGAAAGAATGGTGCGAATATATTCGTGGTAGAGAAAGCACGAAGGCAACGACGTCTGAGCAGACAAGGTTTCGGAAGCTGCACTGTGGTGCATAACTTTGTGTATTGTGCACAATCATGCAGCTATACAAGAGAATGCAACCTGTGGAAGCAAATATGTCTATATTCTGGGAATGTTATTGGTTCTGGTATATCTGATCGAGTGGTTGCTCACAACCCATTGTCCTTCTTGAATTTATCCCAAGCCTCGTTCAAGGTACTAAACACCGATCCACTGATCATCTTCTGCTCAGTGGTAGCCGATTGCGGGATCTATTGTCGAAGTTAGCATCTATGCAGATATCAAAATAGGATGATTCCATAACATACCTTGTCAGGGTGGACCTTGGCAATCGCCTTCATGTACACTATCTTGACCTTGTTGGGCATAATCAAGTCACTCATGTTGACCTTCTTCCACCCTGCTTCAGGCCAGAGCACTGTATCCAAGCTGCCCAGGAGAGCGCGCAAGTTATCCGCTTTACCGCCTTTCCATGCAGTGACCTTGGCTTCGACTTGGTCGGAAAGCGCAAACTTCTCGTCATCGGCTCTATCGGCTGCGGCGTTCGCTTCACGTAGTTTGCGTACTGCTTCTTGCGATTGGACCTGTGAGACTGCAGGGCGTTTGGGCTGCTGGAGTTTGCCAGCCGGAGCTTTTGTGACTGGCGTAGGCTTTGGCTTCGCAGGTGCGGGTTTTGATGTTCCACCAGTGGCAGCTTTTTCGCAGCGATCACGAGCACGTAGACTTACGGCACCGCCTACTCCAACTGCGATGGCATCTTTCCAGACCGAGGCTGCATCTGACCACTTTTCCATGTTCTCTAGCGCTTCGGCTTTGCGCATGAGTGCTTTGCCGTAAAACTCTTTCATGTCTTTNNTCTCGCCTTCGCCGCCTCCAAGATCAATCTTCTCGTTTTCACCTTTGCCGATGCCGATGAGTTCTAGGACACGATCTGCATCAACGACTGCTGCTTTCGGGTCACCGGTCTTGATGGCCGTCAATGCTCTGTTTGAAAGTACAATGATGATCAGAGGGTGAGTGGATGGTAGTGGCGTAAGGGCGGCAGAGTATGAAGTATGTGCGGCATCGAAATCTCCTCNTTTGAAGGCCTCTGTACCAGCCCGGCGATGGCTGCTGGACGTTGAGAGTGCGGATGGAGAGATGGATGGGATGTTGCGTGGAGGCGCTTTGGGTCGAGGAGCTTGTGGCACTGATGTAGCAGCTTTGGCTGCAGCAGGACGAGGAGCGGGAGTGGCCCTTGTAGATGCAGGTTGTGGAGCCAGTTGAGCAGGTGCTGGGCTAAACAGGTCGACCTCAGGCTCTGGCTGTGGTTCTGGTTTTGCAGGCCTTCTCCGCCTTGCAGAGCTGACATATGCCTGCGATGATTCTTCCTCAACGTCGAAGCGACTGATTTTGATGTTGGGACGCTGGGCCTGCGGAGGCGGTGCTTGCTGTGCAAACCGTGATTGCGGCTGGGTACGCACAGGCAGGTCCTGAGCAGGTGATCGGACCCTAGAATCAGGTCTAGAAACAGGTTCACGTACCTCAGGGGTACGCGCCTTCGTTGGACGCTGCCTTTCGTCTCTCGCCTCCAATAACATAGCCTCGTTCGTCAATTCTTCAGCAGTCTGTGCAGGTGGCGCTGTACGAGGGGTCGAAGAGCGTCCAGGTCGTGTAGGCGCTCTGTCAGCACTGGCGTCCCTCATCCACTTGGGTGTATTTGGGTCACCCTCGGGCTGCTGGAATTCCGCAACAGCCTTCTTCAAGTTCTTTTGACCAGTCTTCCAGAGAGAACCTGCAGATTTGAGGAATGATGTACCAAACTCTTGTGCATAGGCAGCCACATCCTTTTCCGAGGCAGGCGTACTATTATCTTGTCTGCGCTGATTAGAAGTCGGACGCGACTCCTGTCGCATCCAAGCAGGCACCGAAGCATCCTCGTCGCCTCTGCCGCGTCGCGACTCGTCACGAGGTGGTTGAGGTGCTGGACTAGCACGGGCACTACCACGGTTTTGTGTCCTCTCTTTGGATTCTTGATGTGCCTGATTGAGTAACCATCCTACAGCTGATTGTACATCACCTCCCGTCTCTTGCAAGGCAGCTCGCGACCTATCAGCTGGAAACCCCATATCAACCAGTTCGGCTATCGGACGATCGAGAGGATCGGAAGACGGAGGAGAGCGGCGGTCGTTGACAGCAAAAGCTTCATCGACGGGCTCGCGTCTAGGGAGTTCGCGGCGGGGTGGTTTAGCAGTGACGGGCTTTCCAAGGTCTCCGAGAATATCGTCATCGTCGTCTTTTGTAGTCGATTGGGGAGGCTGATAAGGACTTGGCTTGCGTTGAGGGACTGCTCCCAGGCCAAAAGGATCGTCGTCGTCTGCGAGCAGGGAAGTGGGGTTGGACTGGTTCACCACAGCGGGAGTGTTGCGACCGCTGGTAACAGTAGAAGCAGCGGGTACTGGAAAGTGGGACGACTTGTCTACTGGAGCGGCCGAGTCGAAGGCAGCTAGTAGGTCGTCCTCGTCGTGCTGAGCAGGAGGCGCAACGCGTTGTGCTGGTGGCTGAGGCGTGCCCTTTCCACTGCCCAGGTTGTCCCAGAAGTTTGCCTCGTTACCGTACTGTTGGGCATACTTCTGACGCTGCTCTTGTTCTTGCTTGATCTTCTCTTGCTGCAGCTGTTTCTGGCGTTCCAAAAGGCTCAAATTGCCTTGGTTCTTGTTTGCGTTCGTGGATACGAGGTTGGCGAAGATGTCGTTGGCAGGTGATGCGGTTTTTGATGGGGCTTTGGGGACAGCAAAGGGAGAGGGAGCTTTGGCAGCAGGCAGATTGTTGGCGAAAGGAGAAGGAGCCGGACTGGCACGCGAGCTCGAGGCTGCACTGGGCATGGACATGGGCATGCCAAATGCTGGCCGCGGGGCAGGGGCATTCTGCTTGGCTACCGGCGCGGCCGCAGTCCAATCCGTGTTCAAGAGATCATCCATACTGAGCGCGTCGCTGTCGGAAGTCTGCAGACATGAGAAAGTCTTGTTGACTGGGAATTGGATTGCTATTTCAGGTTGCTACGAAACACATGGGCCCGCCGTTAAATCCGCGTCATTGGCTCGAGCCAGAACAAAGGGGTCCGTGTCAACAATCCGGGGTCCTCCGGCAAACTTTCCCTACTTAAACCAGCCTATACCATTCTCCTCCCACTTTCAACAAAGCAAGTTTTACAAAAGACGTTCCAATCATGTAGTCCAGCTACTTGTGCTGTGGAAACACCGAAACTTGTGAAGAGTCAACCTCAATCTCGCCCGACGAGACTATAAACATCAGCTAATGCTCTCGTGCTTCCCAGTCAGTAGAATACTTACCTGTAACCTTTAGCCGTACCCCAAATCGACTCATCTTTACTGCAGTTGAGATCTTTCTTCTCATCGAACGTGTGGTTGTTGTAGTAGCAGTTCCAAAAGTGGTTCGCTGGGTATATCGATTGCACGTACAAGAACACGCANNGGTCGAGAGTTCTGATGTCCATCAGCATCGTTCATTGTTCGAGTGTGGCTAACATACCTATGCACGTAGCTTTGCAGATGTCTGTGACTTGAGACTCGTTCAGGGTTGCGAGCATGATTGTTTGCACAGACTTCTGCCCTATATCATCACAGCCAGCTTTTGGTCCCCAGACTTGAGTGAAAGAAGGTGCTGCCATCTTGACCGTCGAGACAGACAGACTCGATACAGTCTGTGTGATTGAGGTCGTGACCTCAGGAGCGACGGTAAACCATACTTCGCCGGTTATCGTCGTGGTCGATGGTGCTGCCTCCATTAGGGCAGCTTCAACAGATGGCAATGCTCCAATACAGAAGCATGCTTCTGATAGCTCCGACTTGTCCAGTCCAGACAGGACATCCTCAGCTGTGCCGCATGTTTCTGCTCTCCTGCGTCTTCTACCCGTCGCCTTGGCCGAAGGTGTCGTAAATGTCGTTGTAGTGCTCTTGGAGACGATTGACTTGGTAGAGGTGATGGTGACTGTGCTAGTAGGAACATCCGAGAGTGTCGTCGTTCTTACTATAACATCCAACGATGTGACAGCTGCTTCTGTTGCAACGCCGAGTGCTGAGGTGCAGTATGCAGAGGCCGCCGCGTTCGAGACGAGGCATGAGTAAGCTGAAAGCTGACAGCTTGCTGCATTGGCTGACACGGACAACAAGGCCGCGATTGTAAAAAGGACTTGCTGCATATTGAATCGTCTTGAAGTCTGGCGAAATCTGGGATATCCGTAGGCGACGTTCAAGCTGTGATATAGAGGGCTGGGAAGACGGCCTCCAGTGTTTGGAGAACACGGCTGGAACGCACCACAAGCGCACCTTTCATCTTACGGATAGCATCGCGCATACGGAAGCGCAAACGATGACAGGTCCAGGCAATACGAGTTTCCGATGCAATGGACTGTTGTATCACTCCGGGACTGCAAGCTCTGTGAGTGGTCTCGACATGCTGCGTCTCCGGTCCGGAATCACTAGTGCGCCATCGTGAAGATGCAACCACCCCTCGCCGACACCTAATTCTGCCATTGGCGGCACTTAGATGTAATGCGGCCAGCAAATTCTGGCGCCTTTCCGACTTCTTTTCAGTAAGACGGCCGCGTCACGCTCGAAAGATTGGACATGTTTCGTCGAAAGTGTGGCTTCTGCATGATGGGGTGTCACTCATCCAGTGGACGTTGATCTACCAGGATTGACCTTGCATGAACATCAGGAACGCTTCGGCAAAGAAACGTGAAACAATATCACATGTGCTTATAGAGATATATAATGCAGCGGAGCCGACCCATGTTCTGCATGTAGAAAATACTGTCGTTTGGTGGACATATGGCATAGTCAGCATTCTTCGTTACATTCTTTGCTATGCCGTGTCCCTCTGGTGTCACGATCATTCAGTGAAGCAAAAGTAGCTCAATCAAGTCTGTCCTATGATCAGAGAGAACTCGTGTCATATGCAGCCATCTTGATCATGTTCACCAGACCAGATGGTTCAGAATCAAGAATCTGCAGTTCTGCCTTCAGATTAAGCATCAACATCACCTGCAGTTCACGACGCCAGTGTGCCGCTTCGTCAAAGCTGGTGTGCCGCTCCCACTCGAGCATCTTCTTTGCTTTGTAACGGTCCCGCAGTGTCAAGGTCAGCAGTCCTTGATGCCTATGGGTTTGGTCTTCGTCTGTGATCGCCCGACTGTGTAGGCCCAGCCACTCAATTCTCGGTACGACAAATTCGGCATTTTCTTCAGACATCTTTTTCGAACCGTGCTTGTATATGTGTAATATCGCTAGGCCGTCTGGGTCGTAGTCTACAAGACCAAAGACTGGAGGTTCCGCAAAGCCGTTTTGAGGCGACGCTACGGTCATGAAGCGGGTCACTGCTCTTGTCGCTATATCTGGATATCCTTTGCCCTAATGGATTGGTCAAATCAATCATTCAACAGCTCCCAGCTGTGAACTCACAGTGACGAGAACAGCATGCCACATCATCTCTTGCCAACCTTCAGATGAGAGAATTGATTGGAATGTGGNCCTTGACAAGAGTCAATCGCCAGTCAACCGAGAGCCAGACAACGTTCCTACCTCTTTCTCAATGACAAGCACCCACCTGACTCGGGCCAGATCCACGGACAGGACCTCTTCCATACTTGGCACGAGAATGCCGCTTTGCACGTTCGTCAGGTCGATTTTTGAACCGTCTCGTCGATGTATCACAGCGGCACCAGCCATAAGGCCCTTCACTCCAGCGGTCTGTGATCCTTAGTGTGTTATCTTTACTCATGGAATCGATGTGCAAACCACATTGAGGCATGACCTGGGTACTGCAAAGGCAGCAGCGATCTGATCAACATAGCGGTCTACAGTAGATTGCCTGCCGAACAAAGCTGGGTCGCGATAGTATAGGTCGCNTATGAGTAGGCGTCAGAATGAGGTATCTTATAGTCAGTCTCACTTCACATGCCGCTTAGTCAGGATAACACCGTCCGAAAGCGACTCGTGTATGAGTTCTAGGGTTCGTAAAACGACNNGGCTTTCTGGATGTTAGCTGCTGACTCCGGTAGATTCCATTTTCCGATGTCACCAACAGAATCTCCATGCGTCATTGGCAGTCTTTCCTGGAAACGCAAAGACTGCTTTCGGAGCTCGGACGGATGCGTCTCGGGATTCTTTTGAGGATTGAGAGGTCAGTGAGATAGTAACATCGGCTCTTTCGTTGAGGAGAGCGTCTGCTACAGTCTCGAAGACTGCTTCGATTTGCGTAATGACATCGTGATGCTTGTCCGGGCGGCAGAGTTGAGGACCGTCGGAGCAAGAAGCATCTTCACTGGCAGAAGGTTCCCAGGCGTCGTCACCGAAGAGCATTTCGACATCAGTCTCGTCTTCCATTTCATTGATGGTATGCAAAGTTGCCAACACAAGATGGAAAGTGGAAGCGGAAGGGGAAGTCGGCGGGGAAGGCGGAGCGCGAGGCTTGGCAAATTGATCGCGGGTCGCGAGGCAGTCGCGTCGTCTCGCTCTTTCTCGATTCCAACACGCTCGCACTCTGCTAGGCATTGACCTGTGGCTACTTTCAATCACGCATACCGATTCCAACCTTCACTTGCATCACGTCGCATTGCCAAAACCACTGGCCATCTGGAATCATGGCTGAACCAATGGACATCTCATCACCAGACCACTCGCGTAAACGCTCGTTGCCGGACGACGACCAGACTTCCGTATCAAAATCAGAGAGCCAGGTGCCAACTCCACCTCTCACCGCTAGTCCTACCAACAAAGATTCAATTCGTCAAGCAAGCCCTGCTCCGAGCAGCTCAGCCTTGAGCAGTGCCCCATCGGGAGCGAACGACCAACCTACCGACCCGAACGCTCCTCCCAAGAAACGAAGAAAGTACACACCTGCCGAGAAGGAACAAAACGCTTGGAGAAGGAGCAGAGAGACAAGGAGAGAGCGGAGCTAAAAGTCAAGAGAGACGAAGAGAAGCAGAAGAAGGATGAGGAGAAGCGTCGCAAGAATGAAGAAAAGGAAGCAAAGCAGCGTGAAAAAGACCTGAGGAAGGCTAGAGAGGACGAGGAGAAGGAGAAGAAAAGCACGAGTTGGTTACCTTAGTGCTTGTCCTTTGTCGACCGTAAACTGANNTTTCGTCCAGGCACAACCCAAGATCGCTTCATTCTTCAGGATGCCTTCCTCGCAGAAGTCGCCAGCTGCTTTCACACCAGTGCAGCCTTCTCCTGCTAGACAGGACAGCACAAGCTCTCAGCCCGTAGATGCAGACGTGTCCATGGCATCTCCAACTCCCAAGAGGTCACCTCAACAGAGCCAAAGCGACTATCGCAAGATGTTCCTGCCGTTCCAGCTCAAGGCACACACCAAGTGTGCCCCTTACGTACCAGCCCTGAACCCTGACGAGCTTGAGACATCACAGCAAGAGATGGATAAAGTACTACAACGCACGGCCACCACCACATCTCCTACATCTTCCTTCAGTACACTCTTCGCGAAGGAGCGAACGCGTTCACGCGGCCTCTGGCAACCGACAGCCAGAGAGGTCATCGAGTCGTTACAAGGCTCTTTACAAGTCCCAATCGACCTGACTGACGAATCAGGCGAGCACTACCAACCAACCGACCTCCTGGATTCTCTCATCGTCCGTCATCTTCACTTTGGCGAAGATGTGAGGCCAGCTTACTTTGGCACGTACTCACGGAAGATGTCTTCATCAAACGCTTCCAAGCTACGCAAAAATCCCTTCAGCAAGCTTCGTAAAGATACCGACTACGACTACGACTCCGAAGCTGAATGGGAGGAGCCAGAAGAAGGAGAAGACATTGGATCTGACGGTGAGGAAGATGAAGAAAGCGTGGGTGACGCAGAGGAAATGGACGAGTTCTTGGAAGACGATGCTGCCGACAGCAAACGACACATGATCACTGGTGACCTCAAGCCAGTCAGCACGGGTCTGTGCTGGGAGGACGCCAAGGGCTTGTCCAAGTCTTCGACTGAAGACTCCCCTGTCGATCTTGACAGTATGAAGATCGACTTCTTCATTCGTAAGTTTTTTTGCTATATCGTCTGACAGACTATCTCTAACATTCGATAGCCNCTAACCCAGCCTTCCATCAACCCCTTCTCGGCTAGCTACTGGCAGACTCCATCCACACCAGCTGTTATTGCTGCCAAGGCTAGTGGCGGTCAGATGCAGCTGGATGGCAAGATGAAACCACCCAAGGTTCCTCTCATGCCAAGATCGAACACCAACGACACTATGACCATCATTGGTGCCTCTAGCGGTATGAAGGGTCCGATCATGAGCGTGGCCTCGACGAAGGCTGCAAAGCCAGCTCCCAAGCCTCTGCAAGGACCGGAACTAGCAGAGTTCAAAGACGCTGTCGACGGCAGCAACCTCACCAAAGTTGATCTGCTCAAGGCTCTAAAGAAGAGGTACGTGGTTGTATCGTGATGTGCTGGAGAAAATTCTAACAATTTCAANAGATTCCCCAAGCACACCAACGACACGATCAAGGCAACGCTGTCAAGCTGCTTCGCTCGAATTGGCCAACATGAGGCTGACAAAGTCTGGAAGGCTGTTGCTGCCTGAACTAACATGCATTCTTGACGACTTTCTACCGATGACCTTTCTTTGCTTCTTTATCCTCTTCTTCAGCGACACATCCCAATACCGCATTTGCTATCACACAGGAGCGTTATTGCTGGGGCAACATTCATATCAAGGTGGGAGGTTTTGTGTATCGGCCGGCTGGCTGGTCTGTTCTAGGACGAGGGGCCCACTTAGCTTTTTGACAGCATGCTCACGAAAGGCATGTTTATAGATGATGGCATAATCAAGATGCTCATAGCTTTTATTACGACTTGTATTTTGCTCGAATGTCATGCAATGACGTGACCTCTTGGCATTATTGACAGCAGTTTTTGAGGTGGCTGGGAAGCCAGGGTGGTACGAATTACAATGCTCCTCGAGGTCGTCGTTGGTATAGGGGCACCACGAGGGTGTTTATTCATTCTACTGTTGTATTGCGGGACTCTGTATATCTTGGCCAGTGCTGTGTGTGTGTGCAGTGGCTGTCATAGTCATCGTCGTTGCGGGATCTCGGTTTTTATGTTTTCATCATGCTCTCTGGTCAAGACGAGCATAAGTCGTGCAGTTATGGTCAGAATCACACAATCACGGGACCGCACGGATATAACAGTCAGTATAGCATGGATACGTCCGAGACCATAGTATTAGTCTTTAAAGGGGTCTTTCAGTATCTCCAATACAACAGACACGATGATATCTGCATGATGATGGTGGAACGAAGGGAGATATGTGGTCGACAGGGTGGTCCCCATGACAAAGATGACGTTTCAGCTCTCGGGCCGAGTGTTTCGTCTCCCCGATCAACAAGTCGGGAGTCTTTTGTTTTCCGAACTCTCAGGAGACAACATTCGCAGCGCATGAACGGATTGAGTGCGGTTACAGAGACGTTAGTGTCTCGCGATGGTGGCAGTCACGCTGCTCAGATCTCGTCCATCACATTGGGAGCTGCCGTAGTCTGCACTGTGTGGTATGCTGCGGTCTCGTTGGTTTGCGTCGTGGGATATACGCAGTTGTGAGTATGCACGATTTGGATGACTGTTTATGGAACTGATTCTGTGCAGNNGAGACGTCACTATTCGCAGCCGCCGTCGAAGCCTCTCGTCGCCGATTCAGATGCACCGCGTGTCACCATCATTCGACCTGTAAAAGGCCTCGAGCCCAGCCTCTACCAATGTCTGGAATCGACCTTTCTTCAGGAGTACCCAAAGGACAAATTGACAGTTTTTCTCTGCGTGGCTGATCGCAAAGACCCGGCTTTCCCTATCCTACAGCAACTCATCAAGGACAATCCGAGTTTCGACGCTCATGTACTGGTTGAAGAGGAAGATCCCGAACTACAAGGAGATGATGCAGACACAAGACTTGGTCCCAACCCCAAAGTCAGAAACATGAGTCGCGCATACAGAGAGGCCAAAGGCGACATTGTGTGGATCATTGACTGCAATGTTTGGGTCAACAGGGGTGCTTGTGGCAGAATGGTCGACACCTTGATCGGCAACCGAGGCATCAAGAATAAATTCGTCCATCTTTTACCCTTGGTCGTGGATATCGCAGGCACTCCTGTTCCAGAGAGTGCGCAAGGGCTTCTGGAAGGTCGCGATCCGGATACCGATTTCAGAGTCGTGTCGACCAGTACTGCAGGCCACCAATTGCACTCTTCTGACAACGCTTCCTTGAACGTGCTCAGCGAAGGCGGTGGAAGGATTGAAGAATTGTTCATGTCCTCCGCACATGCAAAGTTCTACACCGCCATCAATACTGTCTTGATTGCCCCCTGCATCGTCGGCAAATCAACCATGTTCCGCAAATCCCATCTCGACAGTCTTACTAATGGCCAAGGCATTGATTTCTTCTCTGAAAACATCTGCGAGGACCATTTGATTGGCGATCTACTCTGGAAAGGCAAAATCCCTGAAGAAGAAAGAGGTGAGAAGTGGGGCAAGCATGCGCAGGTCTTTGGCGATCTGGCTATTCAACCAATGGCTGGTATGAGTGTGGCTGAATATATCGCTCGTCGCAGCAGATGGCTTCGAGTGCGCAAGTTTACAGTTACTTTGGCGACGCTGGTGGAGCCTGGCACCGAAAGCTTTTTGTGCTCGTTCTATGGTGCTTTTGCCTTCACCACACTCCCCTTNTTCCACAACACTCTGGGTGTACCGCAGACATGGACGGCATTTGCAATGTTCTGGCTATTCAGCGTCTGCATATGGTGTTTTGTGGACTGGACACTCTACTGCAAACTACACTCTTGCGCCTCCGTCCAAGTCGACGAAAACACACCTGCATTTGCGCGGCCACCTAAGAACGGTAGACGACGACCTTTTCTTGTGTGGTTGTTTGCGTGGCTGGCGCGAGAGACTTTAGCATTGCCGATTTGGACTTGGGCAGTCTATGGTGGTGTTACGGTAGTTTGGAGGGGCAAGAAGTTGTGGGTGGGTATGGATATGAAGGTTCATGAGATCAAGGGTGATGGCAGTTCTGCTGCAAGCGCAGTAGATGCTTTAAAGGCGAGGACAGATTAGATTTGGAAATGAATTTTTCAAATTGCATATGGCAATTGCATACTTTGTGAGAGTGAAGAGGAAGGTGTGAAGTGCTCGCTGCCTTCCTTTATGACAACGTGACCGTCATCACTTACTTCATATCGTACCCAGACATGTGAGCACCAGCCAATCTACTTTCGATACGCTCCATCGTCCTCATGATCATCATCGAATCAGCAAAGCCTTCAGCAGCGGTACAGCCACACGACACGAAGGACAAGAAAGCAAGTAACGCGTTTGAGTATATGGCATTTTCGCAGCCTATCTTGTGTACCTAACCTTTGCATCTCGAGTTTCCTTCTTTATATCTGGAAAAAGTTCAAAACGCCCAATTCCCGAATCCACGTTTCCCCATCGGTTTCTCATAATCTCCTATTCAGCATCACCACCTTCTGTGTTTTTGGTCTCTAACCAACCCACTTTCTAGCACTCTTGAACATTCTAACCCAAGGGCCAAACTCGCCCCAAGTGCCGGATTGATCCTTGGGCATCCAGCTGCCGACTTCCTTGAGAATGGTGCGCTCGGGGTGAGGCATCATGGCAAGGACACGGCCATCAGGGGTTCTGACACCAGTGATACCTTGAGGCGAACCGTTGGGGTTGTAAGGGTACTTCTCAGTGGGCTTGAGGTAGTTGTCGACGTAGCGCATAGACACGAGACCTTCGTTCATGAGTGCTTGCGGGGAAGCAGAGGAAGCGGCGCTGGTGTCGAAGGTGGCTTGGCCTTCGCCGTGGGCGGTGATGATGGGCAGGTAGGAGCCGCTCATGCCGTGCAGGAAGACGGAGGGTTGCTTGGGGTTATCCATGACTTCGACCATGCACACTCTAGCTTCGTACTGCTCGCTGACGTTGGTTTCGAAAGTGGGCCAAGTCTCAGCGCCGGGAATGATGTCTGTAAGGCGCGACAGGAATTGACAGCCGTTGCATACACCGAGGGCGAAAGTGTCCTTTCTCTCAAAGAAGTCCTTGAATTCCTTGCGGGCGCCAGAGTGCAGCAAGATGCTCTTGGCCCAGCCTTGACCGGCACCGAGAACGTCACCGTATGAGAAGCCTCCGCAGGCTGCGAGACCGACAAAGGATGCGAGCGACACGCGACCAGAGAGAATATCGCTCATGTGGACATCGATGGGTGAGAAGCCAGCAACGTTGAAGGCGAATGCCATCTCGGCTTGACCGTTGACACCCTGCTCACGCAGAATAGCGACGCGAGGCTTGGCACTGATGGCCGATGAGATGGTGGTGGTCAAAGGCAAGATGTTGTCCTTGGGGTTGAAGGTGAGCTTGTAGGAAAGACCAGGGTCCTTGTTGTCGGCAATGTTGGCCATCTCGATGTCGGCACATTCAGGGTTGTCTCTGAGGCGCTGCATGGCCATAGAGGTGGTCTGCCATGTCTNTTGCAAGTTGTGACGGCTCTCTCTGTAGATGACATCGGTCTTGTAGTGGAAAGAGATTTCCTGCTTGGTGGCTGCAGGGACTCTACCGATCTTCTTGATCATGCCAGGAGGAGGTCCACAGCTGGAGAAGCAACGGTTGAACTCAATCTCGTCCTTCTTTCTGACCTGGAAGACAGCACCAATTTCCTCGTTGAACAGAGCCTCAATGACATCTTCAGTCTTGTCTGACTGAGTGATACCGTCAAGCATGACCTCAAGACCGGTGCGACCGGCGAACATCATCTCAACAAGGGTGGTGAACAGACCACCATCAGAGCGGTCGTGGTAAGCGAGAACAATGCCAGACTCGTGGAGCGACTCGACAGCGTCGTAGAAGTCCTTGAGCATCTCAGCATCACGGACGTCAGGTGCTTCATCACCAAGTTTGCCAAAGACTTGAGCAAGAGCAGAGCCACCCATTGCCTTCTTGCCGGCAGCAAGGTCAACAAAGAGCAGAACGGTCTCGCCAATATCCTCGAGTCTCGAAAGGGTGGGTGTCCAGGTTCTCTCGATGTGGTCGACGGGCGCGAAAGCGGAGATGACCAACGAGAGAGGTGCAGTGACCTCCTTTGCCTCCTTGGTCTTCTCATCTTGCCACTTCATCTTCATAGACATGGAGTCCTTGCCGACGGGGATGGAGATACCAAGCTCAGGGCAAAGCTCCATACCAATGGCCTCAACAGCCTCGTAAAGAGCGGCGCCCTCACCAGGGTGGCCACTAGCAGCCATCCAGTTGGCTGAGAGACGAATACGCTTGAGTCTGTCGGGAATGCTGGCAGCAGCCAAGTTCATCAAAGACTCTGCGACTGACATACGGGCTGAAGCAGCGGCAGAAATAAGAGCAAGCGAAGGACGCTCACCCATAGCCATAGCCTCACCAGTCTTGACACCAGGCAGAAGCGAGGTAGCAGTGACCGAAACATCAGCGACAGGGGTCTGCCAAGGACCGACCATCTGGTCACGAACAACGAGACCACCAACAGATCTGTCAGCAATGGTGACAAGGAAAGATTTGGAGCCAACAGAAGGCAAAGAGAGAACACGCTTGACGGCCTCGCCAAAGACATCCTTGGTAGAGACCTTGGGAAGGTAAGTAGCAAGAGTGCTGTCGAACTGCGGAAGCTTGAGCTTTCTGGACTCCACGATTCTCGACATCTTGGGAGGCTTGCCGAAAAGAATCGACATGGGAAGGTCGATAGGGCTGGGGTACTTTTCGGAATTACGATCCATCAGAATGAGACGCTTCTCCTCCTTCGAGGCGCGGTCACTGGCTTGACCGACCACAGAGAAACCACATCTTTCACGCTTGCAAATCTTCTTGAACAGCTCTAGGCCTTCGGGAGAGACAGCCATGACGTATCGCTCTTGTGCCTCACAGCACCAGATTTGTAGAGGGCTGAGACTGCGGTCGGCGTTGTCGATCTCTCTCAACTCAAACTTGGCACCAAGTCCGGCATCGTGAACAATCTCGGGCAGAGCGTTGGACAAACCACCAGCACCGACATCGTGAATGAGCTGGATAGGGTTGTTAGATCCAAGGGAAGTGCAAGTGTTGATGACTTCCTGGGCACGTCTCTGAACTTCGGCGTTTCCTCTCTGTACACTGGCAAAGTCGAGTTCGACGTTACTTTCGCCAGACTGAACACTGGAAGCTGCACCACCTCCAAGACCAATGAGCATAGCAGGTCCGCCGAGAACAATGAGGGAAGCGCCAGCGCTAACAAATTCCTCTGACTTCAAAGCATGCTGAGGACGAACGGTACCAACACCACCAGCAAGCATGATAGGCTTGTGATATCCTCTGATCTCAGTAGTGTTGTCGTCGATGGGAACTTCGGTTGTCAGGGTACGAAAGTAACCAGTAGTGCAAGGTCTTCCGAACTCGTTGTTGAATGCAGCACTGCCGATGGGAGCCTCAAGCATAATATCGAGGGCGCTAGCGATGTGGCCAGGTCTTCCAACATCCAGTTCCCATGGTTGCTCGTGGCCAGGAATGAGAAGATCAGAAACGGTGAAACCAGAAAGACCAGCCTTGGGCTTCGAACCCTGTCCAACAGCACCCTCGTCACGAATTTCACCACCAGATCCGGTGGCTGCTCCGGGATAGGGAGAAACAGCGGTGGGGTGGTTGTGAGTTTCGACCTTGGCCAAGAAATGAACAATTTCCTTAGTCTGCTTCCATTCGCCAGTAGAGTGCTCGGGGGCCCAAAGACTGGCATGCTCACCCTGGAGAACAGCTGCGTTATCGCTGTAAGCGCTGACAACGTACTCAGGGTGCTTCTTGTGAGTGTTTCTGATCATGCCAAACAAGCTGTTGGGCTTGCGCATGCCGTCGATCGTCCAGTCTGCATTGAATTGCTTGTGTCTGCAGTGCTCCGAGTTGACCTGGGCGAACATGAATAGTTCAACATCGATAGGGTTACGCTTCAATTGGTTCGAGTAGGCTTCAACCAGGTAATCAATTTCTGAGGCGTCGAGAGCCAGACCAAGTGTACGGTTGGCCCTTTGAAGGGCCTCCTTGGGAGAGCTTCCCTCAGCAAAGAGGTCGATTTCTTGAGCTTCCGCAGGCTCGTGCTCGGCAAACATCAGATTGAGATCCGGAGGTCCAGATTCGATGGTTTGAGTCATACGGTCATGAAGCATGTCAGGGTTGGGGATATCATTCTTCTCGGGGGCGTTCTTGAAGCTTGCAGCAATAACCATTCCGCGCTCAATACGCTTAATCTGCTTCTCCAAGCCACAGACATGGGCAATACTGGTCGCCTTTGAGCTCCACGGTGAGATTGTTCCAGCTCTGGGAGATACGTAGTAGAGACGGGTGGTGTCGTCTCTAGCATCACCACCACGATGGACGGCATCCAGAAGAACTTGTGAAAGTCTGTCTTGAGTGGAGAGTTGAGTTCCGTACTTCAAGAGCTGATCCAAGATCTTTGTGTCGTCTTTGCTGAGCTCCTGCTTGGGGTTGATATAATGCATCCATACAGCGCGCACCTCGGTGGCGCCGATTGCGGCAGCAAGACGAGCAGTGCGGAAACCAGAGAATGCAGAAGAGCCTGGCAGAGCCAGATAAGGTGTTTGTGAGACCATGATGGGTTATGTTGAGCTACCAAGGCTCACACCAGAAGGAAGTGAGATGGATAAAGAAGTGTTCGAATGGTCGGCGCGAGATTTTTGGATGGACGTGGAGGGCGGCCCAAAACGGCTAGCGTGATTGAACCCTGATAACATTTTTGAGTTTCCTTCCTTCTGCCACACAAACTTGCTGCAATTGTTTCTTGTAGGCACTTGTAGCTTTAAAGCCTTTATACGAGGAGCCTCGACACAGTAACAACACATTGTCAAACCATGATCATATTCTGATATTCCCCTCCCTCCCCCATCTTGACATTGACGTAGCAAGCTCGCGCACTGACTCGAACCCCAGCCTCCCCGGCGTTGACATGGGGTATTATCTAAATCGCCGTCAGGATGAGCAATACCATAGAAAATTTTCTGGTTAGGTGAATTTCGAGGCCGATATCGTAGGAATGATGATTTCTTCAATTTGATCTCCATGCCAGATGACCATAGGTCATATGCTTGACAACATGTCCTTAATACTTCCTACTTGCAAAGCAAGGCGTGTGATACTGAGATCGGTGGTGGACGTTCAAGACATTCTCGGCTGTTCTTTGGGTCAGTAGCCTTCGTGTCAAGCCAATTTAGCGATCGAATCTTCATGGCAACGGTGTGATTGTCGCTGCTGGGCATGAAACCCGACGTTCAACGGAGGTCCACAGCTCCTCTGAGAAGGTCTTCGGATTGTCTGAAGAGGTTCATGGCTTCTTGAATGTCCTGTGTGCTTGTGAACTGCGAGACTCCTCGTTTGTCTACAGTAATCTCAACAGAGACGTGAAACACGTTATTGCCAGACGCGAAATGAATGAAGCGTTCGAGAGCTTGACGACGGCATGGCTGGCGGTGGGTGTAGCTTGCTAATTCAGAGAAGTGATAGTGCGTTGGGCGAAAGGCTGGATGATGGAGTGGCTGGCGGCTCCTGCTGCGGTATGCTCAGGTTGAGAATCGAGTATAGAGTCCTCGACAGGCTGAACGGTCGAGTAGGGGGCTTTGATCGGTGTGCTTGAAGAGTCCCTGTATGCGAATCTGGCCGAGTGTTTGGAGCTTTGTGATCTCTGTTTGGGAGCAAGACGAGGAGTATAAGCGCGAGGCTCGAAGAACGGTCATTAGAGTCATACCGCCTGATTCTCCGATACGTCTCGGTTACTCTTCGATCGAGTTATCTCTGTTTCTTGATGCCATGCTTCAAAAGCAGGATTTCTGTTCTCACTTGATGGTAGGTAGGCTCCGCGGTGTGTGCAAGCTTTGGTGTCACGAGCTCTTGCATCTCTGAACAGCTCAAGCCGTTGGAAGGTCCCATGGTAGGAGTGGAAGGTGAGTTGTGGCCTTGAAGGTTCATGAAAGTTGCAGATGATCAGTACTTCACACCGGGCGTCACGCTGTAGACGTGCCAGCGTCAAGTCGGATTTCGAGCAGGCAAGGAAAGAACCTTGGACTGAGGTTTCTTCCTGTGACAGTCTTTCTCTTTTGTTAAGGAAGGAGCGGCTGACTGTGTCAAAGTGCCCGTCTGCTCTTTCTAAACAATGTGCCCTAGCAAAGAAAGAGCAAGTCGTTACATGCCATGACGCTGCAATTACCATACCGACTTGACAGAAACAGCATCTCGAAACATAATCGAGACAGTCTTTTCAGAACGAGTTCGTGTCATTGGAACAGCCATAGCGTTACCTGATACATGAAAGGCATGTTTGCCGCTTTCTGCGTCATGAATTATCTGATTCCTCTTGCCGTTACTCGAACAAACCAACGCTGCCATGTGTTTATAACGAATTGGACAGAGTCTCGTGCAAGATTGCTCGTTATATCAGTGATGGAAGAAGCCGACGGACGAATCGGAAGTTGCTTGCAATGCGGGAAGACTAACACGAAGCAGCCTAGCGTATCAGGAAGTCGCGACAGTCGCGCCCTCCTCTTTGGTCTGGCTGTTCCTCACTGCTACAAGCTCGTGCTGTACAACACTTGACGCCTTTAACGATCATCTTCTTTTACGGCAGCTTGTTCTTTTCTGGGACTCGTTCGACTGGCGCATTCGACTTCTGTCTTTACGACCCTTGATACCCCTTCTTAAAGTGCATATTGGACCTGGAACCACTGCGTATACCCAAAAGTCGCAAACCAAACTCGCTTTCCACCCCGCGTGTCTTCTCTACAGTACTTTGCGCGTCCGACAAGCACCACCTCATAATCAACCACACACGAGCAACGATCCAAAGCTACATCGCTCTATTGATGGAAGGCGACTACTGATCTTCAGCTGAACGATCTCATCGCTTGCTGTCGGGCAGCACAGCGCAGTCATGACGGAGCGAAACCTCGACATCTTCGAGAGCAAACTCTCCGATCCGAACACAGGTATCCAAAGATCGCCTTACGGTTCGTTTGTCGCCGCCACAGTCACTGACTATTCGTCTNNAGATCTCCGGACGAAATGTAACTTCCTCATCGAGATCCGTGATGGCATGGACCACTGGTGCCAGGGCACTACCTACCCTGTCTTCCTGCAAAAGTTTGTCCCAGTCCTACTCGATATCCTCAGTAGCTCTCCAGTCTTCATCAGCACATCGCCGGAACAGCGACTACGAAACTGCGCCCTCGAGATTCTGCATCGTCTACCCATGTCCACGCCGGACGTAACCGATCAGTATGCTCCACAAATCGTCGACAAGCTGTTAGAGCTCGCACGTACCGAGAACGAGGACAATGCTGTACTCTGCATGAAGATCATTATGGAGTTCGAGAGGAACCACCTGAATTCATGCGCAAGCAGAGTCCAGCCATTTCTGGACCTCATCTTGGAGCTATTCCAGACCATGGATCAAACCGTCAAAGACACCTTCGACACACCAGCAGCTGTAGGCTCGTCTTCTGCTGTCGCGCCAGGTACACCGCAGTACAACTCTCCTAGGCCTGCATCACCAGTCGCATCAACAACATCTTTGACTGCCGATGTTGGCAATGACCAACCACAAACTCGACAACTTCAAAAAGGAACTCAGTCATTCAAGCTTGTAGCGGAGTGTCCTATCATCGTCGTCAGCATCTTCCAGGCACATCGTAGCATGGTAGCGAAGAATGTCGAAGCATTTGTTCATCGTATCAAAGCAATTCTTTCACTTCAGGCTGGACCGCAAAAGAGAGCACACGAGGAGGCCAAAGAGCGGGGAACAAGTTTCGTCGGCGTGGCCAAGGACATCAAGAATCGCGCGGCCTTTGGAGAGCTTGTCACTGCTCAAGTGAAGACCATGAGTTTCTTGGCCTATCTTCTGCGTGTTTACCAGAAACTTCTGACAGACTTNTTGCAAGAGCTTCCAGAGATTGTCGTGCGCCTACTACAAGACTGTCCGAGGGAGAAGTCCAGTGCGCGTAAAGAGCTCTTGGTTGCTATCAGACACATTGTCAACTTCAACATCAGAACCATTTTCTTGCCGAAGTTGGACGAGTTGCTCGACGAACGCACCCTGATTGGCGATGGCTTGACGGTTTACGAGACATTACGACCTTTAGCGTTCACTATGTTGGCCGACTTGATTCACCACGTGAGAGAACAATTGAAACCAGCACAGATCGAGAAGAGTATCTTTGTCTACACAAAGAATCTGCATGACGATTACCCAGGCACTAGCTTCCAGACCATGAGTGCAAAGCTACTGCTCAATATGGCTGAATGCATGGCCAAGGTCGAAGACAAGCAGGACGCTCGCTACTTCCTTACCTTGGTTCTAAATGCAATCGGCGAAAAGTTCGCATCGATGAACCGCCAATACCACAACGCTGTCAAAGCATCTGCACAGTATGCAGAGACGACGATGGAGGCTGGTGCTGAGAATTACCTTGCCGATATCAACCAGAAGCCCGAGTGGGATGAAATTGACATCTTCAATGCAACACCAATCAAGACGAACAATCTCAGAGATCGTGGATCAGACCCTGTGGCAGACAACAAATTTCTATTCAAGAATCTCTTGCATGGCTTGAAGACGCTCTTCTATTCGCTACGCGCCTCTAATCCGACCCGTATCCGCGATGAGATGGACGCAGCCAACGTACCGCCTAATTGGCAGGATGTCTCTTACGGATTTAACGCCGAGGAAGTCAACGTACTGATCAAACTGTTCCATGAGGGTGCTCAAGTCTTCCGCTACTACAACGCGGAGAAGACACCCGCAGAAACACCCATGATGAACCCAGTCGAGTTCTTGGCCAACAACCACATGATGAGCAGTGGAAAGGAAGAGAAAGACCTTCTCGAGACTTTTGCAACCATCTTCCATCATATCGACCCTGCCACGTTCCATGAAGTCTTTCAAGCCGAAATTCCACACCTCTACGAGATGATATTCGACCATCCTGCTCTTCTGCACATCGCACAGTTCTTGCTCGCTAGTGAGGCAACATCTCCTGCGTTTTGTGGCATGATGTTACAGTTCTTGATGGGCAGACTAGAGGAAGTCGGGACTTCTGATGTCCAGAAATCAAGCGTGCTTCTCAGGCTCTTCAAGCTGTCTTTTATGGCAGTGACCCTTTTCTCTGCACAGAATGAGCAAGTACTACTGCCGCATGTGACAAAACTCATCACAAGGTCCATCGAGCTGTCAGTAACCGCTGAAGATCCAACAAACTACTTCCTTCTGCTCAGATCGCTTTTCAGAAGTATTGGAGGCGGTAGGTTCGAGAACCTTTACAAGGAAATTCTACCTTTGCTTGAGATGCTATTGGAAGTACTGAACAACCTGCTCACGTCCGCGCGCAAGCCTCAAGACAGAGACCTCTTTGTCGAACTGTCTCTGACTGTACCTGCACGTCTTAGCCATCTGCTGCCTCACCTGAGTTATCTGATGCGACCGCTCGTTGTGGCTCTCCGTGCCGGTTCGGAGCTTATCGCGCAAGGTCTTCGCACTTTGGAGCTCTGTGTCGATAACCTCACAGCAGACTACCTCGACCCTATCATGGCTCCCGTCATTGACGAGTTGATGGCTGCTTTGTGGGACCATCTCAAACCTCAACCTTACAGCCACTTCCATGCTCACACCACTATGCGTATTTTGGGCAAGCTGGGAGGTCGTAACCGTAAATTCCTTACTTCGCCTCCTGCTCTAGAGTACAAGCCTTATGCAGATGACGAAGCCAGCTACGACATCAAGCTTATAGGCTCTATGAAGGACCGAGCCTTCCCTGCGAGGTTAGGAATTGACGTCGCTATCGACAAGCTTAGAGAACAGCCAAAGGCAGCAGCAGCGAAGAAGTCTGATGCTTTCCACAAACAACAAGCCCTCCACCTCGTCAAGGCTCAAATCAAGCTATTGGTTGGATATGATTCTCTTCCAGAGGATTTTGCAGGACTCGTTCGCTTGCAGGCAAACGACTTATTTGACAAGAACTACGATGTCGGACATGACTTGTTCTCGAAATCCGAGCGCGAGAAGTCAGTTGCTAAGAGAGATGCTCAGCAAGCGACCCTGCTCAAGTTGATCAAGGCTGCCATGGTAGCAGCTGCAGTCCCCGAACTCAAACAGGACGTTACGCCCTTCCTGGATGGTCTCTACAAGCATTTGACAATAATTGAACTCGGCCGATCTCTCGGTCAGGAGAAGCACGTCAAGCGACCCTTCGAGCCTTTGTCTGGCGAAGGTCCAGTCTTTGTCGATAGCAGAGTAATCGCCGATGCAATCGCCGATAGCTTGTCTTCAGACTCTGCAGATGTTCGCGATGTTGCTTTCAACGCCTTGGACACCATGTGGAAGTCGGCAGCCATGATCTTCGGAGCTGAAGACCGTGTCGAACGTTTGCCATTCTTCCGTGACCTCGCGAAATCTCTCATTCACCACTGTTTCGAAGAAGAATGGTTCTCAAAATCTGGAGGTACCGCTGGTATTGATTATATTGTCAATAGGCTCAACTTCAGCGCTGCGTGGTTGAAGGACCGCCAGCTCGAACTCATTCGAGCACTCTTTTTTGTGATGAAGGACATGCCTCAAGACCTTCCTGCCAATGTTCGTGTACAAGCCAAAGACGTGCTGCAGGATATCATCAGAAAATGCAACGAAGGGACGCCAACGTCTGATATTGGCACAGCGAACACTCTTCTACACAACGTGTCCAACAAGCTCGTTGGAGAAGTGTCACACATGAATCGACATGTTCGCGAGGCCGCTCAAGATGGTCTTCGATTGCTTGCAGAAGTCGTTGGTGTCAAGCTCTACGAGATCGTCAAGCCAGTCAAGGAGCTAGTCCTCCAGCCCATCTTCAACAAGCCGCTTAGAGCGCTGCCCTTCGCTGTGCAGATAGGATACATCGATGCCTTGAACTTCTGCTTGGACATGGAGAATGAAGTCTTGCAATTCGAAGACCGCCTCAACCGGTCACTCATGGAGACATTGGCTCTTGCAGATGCTGAAGACGAAACCCTCGCACCAAAGCCGATGGAGCATAGAAGTGCCGAGTCAATTGTCAACCTCAGGGTTTCTTGCCTTCGTCTTCTGACTACTGCAATTCGCCTGCCTGCATTCAACAACTCCCCCCACGCGCAACACCGTAGCCGTATCATCACGGTTTTCTTCAAATCTCTGTATTCTAGAAACATCGAAGTCAAGACAACAGCCAATGCCGGTCTGCAGATAGTACTGCAAGCTACCCAGAAGCTACCCAAAGACCTCCTTCAAAGCGGTCTGAGGCCGATCCTCATGAATGTTCAGGATCCTCGAAAATTGAGTGTCGAGGGACTTGAAGGTCTGCGCACGCTTCTCCAGCTTCTAACTAATTACTTCAAGGTCGAGATTGGTTCCCGTCTCTTAGATCACATGAAGCACATTGCAGACGCCCAAAGCTTGCANAAGGTTTCGTTCTCGCTCATTGAGCAGAATTCTAAGATGCGTGTTGTTACCGCTATCTTTGGTGTCTTCCATCTTCTTCCCGCCGCGGCTGTGCAATTCCTCCCTACGCTGGTCGAAAGGGTACTGGAGCTTGAACGTAGTCTGCGCAGAACTCACTTCAGCCCTTTCCGCGAACCCTTGATCAAGTACCTCAATCACTACTCGAAGGAAGCATTGGAGCACTTCAGTACGAACTTGAAGGACGAGGCAAAGGGCAGGTTCTTTGCCCAGATCCTCTCGGACAAGGCAGCTGTACCTCTTCGAACAGCCGTGATGGAATCAGATTCTTTCTGGGCACCGCTGACTGGAGAGGGCTTGACTGACGTCGAGAAAGATCAAGCGGCAGTCAACGCTGTCCACGTTACTTTGTCTTTGTCAGAGTTTCCTGAGTGTCGTACTTGGCTCACAAACCATGACAAGACGAGATTGGCTCTGTTCGAAGCGGCCCAATCACTACAGCAGAAGCTGCAAAACAAGACATTGGCTTCGTCGCTTCGCCTGCCAGTCGAGCAAGTTGGGGACCACCTCATGATAATTCTCACAAGATATCTGTCCGAAAAGCCGGACGATCTGGACTTCTTCTTTGATCTTGTCCAAGCCTGCGCCAACGATGAGCTTGCAGAGTCACACCGCTTGTTCCACTTCATCTACGAGTTCATCATCACCAGTACATCAGTTGAGTACCAGCGCTCGGTCGCTGTGCGCTGCATCGATATCTACACCAATCGCCAGAAGACACCACGCATGAAGTCATTCGTGTTCCACTACATCCTGAACCCCATCTTTGCCATGGACATACAGCGCAACTGGGAGAGCCTCTTTGGCAACAACAAGGGCACCGAACTATTCGACAAGTCCATGACTGACATTGTGCACTCGAAGTTGTGGAAACCGCAAGCCAACAGCGACATCTCTGAAGACCCCACCCAGCCTGGCGTCGATCAGTCAAGGATGGAGCTGATCCAGCTGACTTCTATGCTCCTCAAATACCACCATAACATGCTGTCTGATGCACGCAAGGACGTAATCATGTTTGGGTGGACGTACATCCGACTTGAGGACACCATCAACAAGTATGCTTCATACGCGTTGATTTCGTATTTCATTGCCCATTACGATACTCCCGCCAAGATCGTTGTACAGATCTATGGCAAATTACTGGGAGCACATCAAGCCGAAGGCCGACCGCTGGTTATGCAAGCTCTTGAGATTCTTGAGCCTGTTCTTGTCAAGAGAACTGGCGGTGAACAAGCAAGAGCGCCTGCTTGGACTCGCATACCTCGCCGCATCCTTAGCGAAGAGACATCCAACACTCCACAACTCACCAGTATCTTCCAATTCCTGGTCAGGCATCCTGACCTCTTCTACGAGGCTAGAGAGTCTTTTGCATCCATGATCATTCCTTCGCTCAACAAGGTCGCTCAATTACCCAATCCTTCCACCGAGAACAAGAGGCTCGCTATCAACCTCTTCAGCATGATATGGCACTGGGAAGAACGTACCATGAAGGAGAACGGATCACTCTCTGGTTCTCAATCTCCCGACAGCGAAGCACCTGCCACAAACAAGAAAGCCGCCTCAGCTTCATACGCTCTTCGCACAATGATGATCAAGTACATGGTGAACTTCATCGCCATCCTGCCAGAAAGGTTCCCTGTCCCGAGCTCTACTGATGAAGGTAAAGATGCGAAGGAAGGCAAGGAGCGTCCCAGTCCGTCTTCCAACGAGACGATAAGAAAGTCATTGGAGTTACTTTGGCGTTTCTTATCGCCAGGCTACTGGGATGACATTGATGTCGATGCTATGTTCCCCAAGGTCACAGAGCAAATCCTCCTTTCGGAACCCAAGCAGGATGAGAAGATGGAAGCCTGGACTAGCCGCGTCATCAATACCTTGCAAATGCTTCGCTCGCTTGTCAATGCCAAATCTGACGAGTGGATCGTTGCTCGTTTGCCTCAACTGCAAAAGTTGCTCGCAAAGCCGTTGAAGAGCGAGAGCGCCGAGATCCAAGATTGCCTGCATTGCAACAAGCCAGTCGAAGGTTTCCCCGAGCTGAAGCCATTGATGAAGGCGATTTTGGATGCAGTTCCCTTGCAGCAATCAGAAGAGGACTTGCCTGATGCTGAAAGTCCAACCGATGAGTTTGTCAACTTCCTCTCCACTCTTGCGGGTGATTGTATGTCAGCTACCGGCAAGGACACTCAAGCCCAGACCGCTGGTATAAACATCCTCTGGACTCTTTCGCAACGTAAGGCCGATAGCGTAGACACTCATATCCCCGCTCTCCTCAAGGCCCTGCAAGGTAATCTGGCGAAGAACCATCTCGCAGCTCAGATGCCTCAGCAAGTTGCCACTGCCAACGGAGTCGCAGCTCAGCCTCCTGCCAACCCTCAAGAAGTCGATCTCAACACCGTGCTGATTATCAGAGTGATCGAGATGCTTTCAGCCCGTATTGCCGCTCTTGGAGAACAGCGCAGACCTTATCTGAGTGTGCTGGCCTCGCTCGTCGAGAGATCTCAGAACAACACACTTTGCGAGAAAATCCTCAGCATGGTCGAAGAGTGGGTGTTCAATTCGACAGAGCCGGTTCCTACTCTCAAGGAGAAGACCGCTGTGCTGCAAAAGATGCTTATGTTCGAAAACCGATCAGACTTGACCCTCTACCACAAGTTCCTTGATCTTGTCATCAGGATCTACGAGGATCCCAAGATCTTCAGGTCCGAGTTGGCTGTGCGCATGGAGCATGCTTTCCTTATCGGCCTTAGAAGCCCTGATATTCCTATGCGCACACGTTTCATGACCATCTATGATCGCAACCTCAGCCGTACGGCTGCCAATCGCTTCTTCAAATTGCTAGCCGAGCAACAATGGGATGTCCTTGCTGACAGCTTCTGGCTTAGTCAGGTCATCCACCTCATGTTTGGTTCGATCGACATGAACACTTCATTGAAGCTTCACAACGATGATTTCAAGTGCCTGCCTGCCTCGAAGCTCTTCAACACACACTCTGGAGATCCACGACTTGCTGATCTTATGATTGATTCTGAATTTGAGAACTTCATTGCAAGCCACAAGCGTTTTGTGCAAGAATTGGGTGAAGTCAAGACGAAAGATGTCCTTGAACCATTGGCCCATCTTCAGCACACTGATTCAACCCTCGCTCATGATATCTGGACGGCTTACTTCCCGCTGATCTGGTCAAGTCTGTCAAGAGATGACCGTGAGGATATGGAAACAGGTCTCATCAACCTCTTGACCAAGGATTTCCACCAACGCCAGACCGACAAACGTCCAAACTGCGTGGCCACTCTAATTGATGGCATCGTCCGTGCTAGACCCCGTGTCAAGTTCCCACCACACGTCCTGAAGTTCCAGGCTAAGAACTATAATGCTTGGTACAGCGCAGCCACTTACATTGAAGAGCTGGCAATGAAGCCCATCGTCGATACTCCTGCTACTCGCGAGAGTAATTTGGATGCTCTGGTTGAATTGTATGCCACTCTTCAGGAAGACGACCTTTTCTACGGTACCTGGCGCAGAAGATGCCAGTTCGTCGAGACCAACGCTGCTCTCTCGTATGAGCAGAATGGCGTCTGGGACAAAGCCCAAGCAATGTATGAGCAGGCACAGATTAAGGCCCGTACTGGCTCGATTGCCTTCTCACCTGGCGAGTACATGCTCTGGGAGGATCACTGGGTCTATTGCGCAGAGAAACTTCAACAATGGGAGATCCTCGGTGACTTTGCTAAGCACGAAAATCTGAACGATCTGTTCCTCGAGGCAACCTGGCGCAACTTCGATGCTTGGGAGGAGCCTGACAACCGAGCTCAGCTGGACACTATCATCAAGGCCGTCTCTGATGCTCCTACACCTCGCCGCATGTTCTTCCAAGCCTTCATGTCACTGCTAAAGCTTCACAACAAGACTGAAACCCAACAAGACTTTAACCGCATCTGCGACGAGAACATCCAGCTCTCGATCAAGAACTGGCACAAGCTTCCCAAGCAAATAACACAAGCTCATGTTGGGTTGCTACAGAACTTCCAGAACTTGGTGGAATTGCACGATGCAAGCGTGATCTGCAGCAGCCTGGCCCAGACCACCTCTGCCAACCTTGATGTCAAGAGTCAAGAGCTCAAGCTCCTTCTCGGTACTTGGCGAGACAGGCTGCCTAACTTCTGGGATGACATCAACTCGTGGCAGGACTTGGTCACCTGGCGTCAACATATCTTCCAGCTTATTAACAGAACATACTTGACACTGCTACCATCGACGAACCAGGGCAACGCCACTGGTCAGTCGTATGCTTACCGTGGCTACCATGAGACTGCTTGGATTATCAATCGCTTTGCCCATGTCGCTCGCAAGCACCAGATGCCTGACGTCTGTATCACGCAACTGAGTAGGATCTACACTCTGCCCAACATCGAGATTCAAGAAGCCTTCCTCAAGCTGAGAGAGCAGGCCAAGTGTTGCTATCAGAACCGCAACGAGCTCACCAGTGGCTTGGATGTCATTAACAATACCAATCTCAACTACTTTGGTGCTCAGCAGAAGGCCGAGTTTTACACACTGAAGGGTATGTTCCTAGCCAAGCTCAACCACAAGGAAGAAGCCAACGACGCATTCGGTACTGCTCTCTACTTTGACATCAAGCTTCCAAAGGCGTGGAGTGAATGGGGTAGATACAACGATATGCTCTTTAAGGAAAAGCCTGACGAGAGCATCGACAAGGCTAGTGCTGCCATCAGTTGTTATCTCGAAGCCGCTGGTCAATACAAGAGTGCCAAGTCAAGGAAGCTCCTTAGCAGAATTCTCTGGCTTCTCAGTTTGGATGATGCAGACAACACACTCGCAAAGGCATTTGAGAACTTCAAGGGAGAAACTCCTGTATGGTACTGGATCACCTTCATTCCTCAGCTGCTCAACAACTTGTCTCGAACTCCTAGCGAGGCCAACATCGCTCATGGAATCTTGAGCAAGCTCGCAAAGACGTACCCTCAAGCACTTTACTTCCAGCTGCGCACCAGTCGTGAAGACATGTCGGTCATCAAGCGAAGTCAAGAGGCAAAGGAAGCTAAAGAGAAGCAAGCAAGGGCCAAGCAATCTGGAGGTGCTACGCCAGCTGAAGGTGCCAAGCCAGAGACGAAGCCCAATGGGGATTCTGCCAGTGCAACTCCTCAGCCAAAGGTCGAAGGTCAAGATGCAAGCCAGGCGCCGAATTCTGAGGCCGCTGAGCCAGCGAAGCCCAAGAAGCCATGGGACCACACCGAAGAACTCACGCAGACGCTCAAGACGGCGTTCCCTTTATTGGCCTTGTCGATGGAAACTATGGTTGACCAGGTCCAAAAGTATTTCAAGTGTACTCTGGACGAGGATGCATACCGTCTTATCGTCGCTTTGCTGAACGATGGCTTGGCATATGTCGGCAGATACCCGACCTCGTACGCTCAAGGCGTGAACTTGCCGCCTTCCACCGAGGCCAATATCACTAGATTCGCGGAATCTATCTTGCCAGCTCACATCCGCAAGTCGTTCGAAGCCGACTTTGTGACCAAAAAGCCATCGATGTTCGAGTACATCGCCAAGCTACGCAGGTGGAGAGACAGATTTGAGGAAAAGCTCGATCGCAGAACATCTAAATGGCATCTCGAACAGACTACTCATTTGGCTGAATTCCGCTTCTTGAAGTTTGACGAAGTCGAGGTGCCTGGGCAGTATTTGCAGCACCGTGATAAGAACCAAGACTTTGTCAGGATTGAGCGATTCCTGCCCGATGTTGAGCTCGTCAGAGGCGTCACTGGCTGTCATAGAAGACTGACTATCCGTGGTCACGATGGAAGTGTGCATCCATTTGCCATTCAGCACCCGACAGCCAGGCACAGCAGGCGCGAGGAAAGAGTTTCGCAGTTGTTCAGGATCTTCAACAGCATATTGGCGAAGAAGAAGGAGAGTAGACGTCGCAACTTGCAGTTCCATTTGCCCCTAATGGTTCCTTTGTCTCCTGGAATCCGCATGGTTCAGGACGATGCTTCGTACATCAGCTTGCAAGGGATCTATGAAGACTATTGTCGCCGCAACGGTATCAACAAGGACGACCCGGTCTTGTTCCAAATTGACAAGCTCCGCGCCTTGACACCGGTAAGTAACCCCAAAGGCGTAGCAACAAAGCACGACACTGACTTATGGTTCCAGCAAAAACCTGAGCAGGCTGCAAGCATTCGCTTGGAGACTTTCAACGCAATTCAAGAAAAGTATGTTCCGAGCGATGTTGTTCAGGACTACTTCCAGCAGACGTACCCTTCGTACGACTCGCTCTGGTTGTTCCGTCGCCAATTCTCTGCACAATTGGCTGCTCTGACGTTCATCACATTCACCATGCACATGACGATGCGCTACCCTCACAAGATGTCCATCTCACGCGGTACTGGTAACATTTGGGGATCAGAGTTGGTTCCTGCAATGGCTGCCGCCAAGCCATATTTCCACAATCCTGAAGCAGTGCCTTTCCGTCTTACCCCCAACTTGCAGACTCTGATGGGCCCGATCCACACTGAGGGTATCTTCGTCGCTGCTCTGATGGCCATCGCTCGCTGTTTGACCGACTCGTCTTCTTCGCCCACAACCTCGACTCCACCCGCCGTTCCTACGCCTACCAACTCAGGTAACGGTGGCAACAATCAAGACGAGACGGAGAGTAACACATCAGACCTCGAAGGCCAATTGAGCATTTTCATCCGCGACGAGATGAACTTCTGGTCGTTGCAGCAGCATAAGCAAAGCATTAAAGATGGTGAACTGCGCGAGCACGTGTACCGCAATGCTACACACATTGTCAAGAAGGCAGTCGCCATGGCCAAGGAGCCGGATGCAAAGAACTTACCTGCCAGTCAGAGCGTGCTGGACCTGGTGGCCAAGGCTACCGAGCCCAAGAACCTTTGCACAACTGACGCGCTCTGGCAGGCTTGGCTGTAGAGGATGAAGGCATTGGTGATGATACCTGGGAGTGCTGGATTCAATGAAAAATTTTTCTATGCATAGCGCTAGGCGAAAGGGATGGGGAAAAGGTGCCTAGCGATTTACTTGCGTTGCTATCATTCGCTTCTTATTCATGTAATTATATCGTTTTTGTTCCTGCAATCATGCTCCTGTATATCACATTACCATACATTTGATTCCAACATCTAGTTCTCCTGGCTCATGGTTGGTCACAAGTGTTGTCTCGATGACGGGTTCCGGGTTTGAGTTCGAGTTAAAACCATCAGAGTTGTTTGAACAAGCCACATCCACACTCGATCAGCGAGCTCTCATAGCTGGTTCCGCTGGGTGTCCAAACCATTGCCGCCTCCACTTCTGGTCGATGGTTTGGTAGATGGACAGGGTCACTGGAACCCGATTGGATCTTGGCGCATGACTCAGGACAGGCGGCGGGGTTGAGCTTCAGTGATTTTGATTCACAATTGAACTTGTTTCGTCACACAGCAGACATTATGGCAGCAACACATATCGCCGAATGGCAGAAGCGTGCAGAGGCCTTCAAGCCTCTTAACCTCAAGCAGATCGAGGGACCCATCGCCGAGCTCGACGCACACCTCACCCTTCGCACATACATCGTTGGCTACTCGGTCACCGACGCCGACCTCGATGTGTGGAAGGCCATCCGCGGCAACCGCATCGCCCACTCGTCCGTCATCAAGCAGGGCCTCTACATCAATGTCAGCCGCTGGTTCAACTTCATCGAAGAGTCGGAGCGCCCGGTCGTCGAGCTGGCCAGCCGTGGCAAGGAGATGGCCAAGAAGGCCGAGGGCAAGTCGGACCAGGGCAACTACGACATTGGCCTCGAGGGCACCGAGAAGGGCGTCGTCACTCGTTTCCCTCCCGAGCCTTCAGGCTACCTCCACATCGGTCACGCAAAGGCTGCCTTGCTCAACGACTACTTTGCCCACAAGAAGTACCAGGGCAAGCTGATCCTCAGATTCGACGACACCAACCCCTCCAACGAGAAGCAGGAGTTCGAGGACTCGATCGTCAAGGACCTCGAGCTTATGGGCATCAAGCCCGACCAGGTCACCCACACGTCCGACTACTTCCAGGAGCTGTACGATGCTGCTGTCAAGATGATCAAGAGCGGCAACGCCTATGCCGACAACACTCCTCAGGAACAGCTCCGTGACGAGCGCATGAAGCTCATCGACTCAAAGCACCGCAACGACTCGATCGAGGACAACCTTGCCCATTTTGAGGAGATGAAGAAGGGCATCCCCGAGGGCACTACCTGGTTCATTCGCGCAAAGATCAACATGCAGGACCCCAACGGTGCCATGCGTGACCCCGTCATCTACCGCTGCAACCCCCAGGCTCACCACCGCACTGGCGACGCCTGGAAGATCTACCCCACCTACGACTTTGCCTGCCCTGTCGTCGATGCTGTCGAGGGTGTCACTCACGCACTCCGTACCACCGAGTACAACGACCGTGATGCTCAATTCCAGTGGATGCTCAAGGCTATGGACTTGCGCCACGTCTACAACTGGAACTTTGCCCGCATGGCCTTCGTCCGCACCTTCTTGTCTAAGCGCAAGCTGACAAAGATTGTCGACAAGGGCGATGTCTGGGGCTGGGACGACCCTCGCATGCCCACCGTCAGAGGTATCCGCCGTCGTGGTATGACCGTTCCTGCTCTCCAGGAGTTCATCCTTTCTCAAGGACCCTCCAAATCCATCACCTTGATGGATTGGACCAAGATCTGGGCCACCAACAAGAAGTACATTGACCCCATCGCCGGTCGTTACACCGCCATAGACACCAAGGACAAGGTCACCGTTACCGTCACTGGTGCTCCTGCAACTCACACCGACATGAAGGACTTGCACGCCAAGAACCCCGCTGTCGGCCAGAAGAAGGTTGTCTTCAGCAAGAACATTCTCCTCGACCAGGTTGACGCTGCCTCCTTCGCCGAGGGTGAGGAAATCACCCTTATGAACTGGGGCAACGCCATTGTCAAGTCCAAGTCCACCACTGTTGTCGACGCACTCAAGTCTCCTCTCGCAACCCTCAGCGGCAACGCTCCCATCTCATCTATGGAGCTCGAACTCCACCTCCAGGGTGACGTCAAGAAGACCTCCAAGAAGGTCACTTGGCTCTCAGCCGACCAGGAGCTTATCCCCGTCAAGCTGTACGAGTTCGACTACCTGCTCACAAAGGACAAGCTCGAGGAGGAGGATGACTTTGAGAAGTTCCTTAACCCCAACACTTCGACTCTCACCGAGTGCTTGGCCGACTGCAACGTCGCTGACCTCAAGGAGGACGACATCATGCAGTTCGACCGCAAGGGCTTCTACAGAGTCGACAAGGCTTTCAAGAATGGCGAGCCTGCTGTCTTCTTCCAGATTCCTACTGGTAAGGGTGGAAAATAGACGATTGTTTTTGATGCATGATGGAAATGAAAAAATGGAAGACGATGTAGACAGGATATGTAGGTGTGAAATCGATGACTATCTTGAGCATGCCACTCCGTTTTAGGAAGGAAAGTGCTTCCCGTGCTGCTTCATCTGCACATGCATCCCCAGATTGTCTGCAGGCGCCACAGACGTACCTTCTAGACCTTCTAAAGTCGCTGTTGCTTCTGTAAACAGTCGAGCGCTGTTCAACACTTCGCACTTCTTGACCCATGTACAACTCGCAGCAAGTTTCTTCTTTCTTCAATCTTCTTAGTGGATCATTGTCATTGCGCTTCCATGTAAACGACCAACGCTGAGTATCCCGCGCTAGTGATCCTGTCTGCAAGTCGGGTGCAATCCTGCGACGCGCACAGCCCCTCACAGATCGACGCACATCCTGGCCATGTTGCTGATTTGTTCATAAGGCATCGCCATGGCCTCAAATCTCGCGACAGGTTTACATCATCTTCATGGCTATCTAGACGGGCACGATAATTACATCTCGCCGACCGAATCAAGTCTTTGGTCAAGAGCACTGAACAGTCGTATGTTACAACTTTGAGTCCCGGTGTCAGGTTTCTTCCGCTACAGACGACACAGACGTTGGGTGCAAGATGTCTTTGGCGCCTCACCAATATCATCAGGTTCAATTCGAGCCCAAATCAAAGTATGGTCGTCATCAAGAAGAGATCGCTACGAAAGATTCGCGTCTTTCTCCGTGCGAGTTCAAAGAACCAAGTTCGGTGTATACGTTCTGGTTCGACAACAGACTTCCCGGAACAACTGGTTCGATCGAAGAGACGGGAAGATACATCGACCTTCGATGTGTTGTTTCTATAGCGGGTATGGTCTGTCTTGTTTCTGTCATACCACTGATAGTGTACGCTGCTACACGCAACCAAATGGCTGATCTCACTTACGCCAACGAGAATGATACGTACGACTGCTCGTAAGTGTCTTGTTGTAAGGGATGGCGTTTGTTTTTGCTAAAGGCCTCCCAGNNACTCGCAAAGAAGGCTTCAAAAGTGCACTCTCGGGAGATCTAGGTAGGATAACCATGGGTTGGGTAGCTTAAGGACCAGGAGTTCGAGCTAATATCCACAGCTATCAACCTTATCGTCTTCAAGAAGATCTCCTTCACCGCCGCAAAGGCTATAGATCTGGCGTGGAACCTGCTCGTAGGTCGCGGTTTCCAAGCCATCGCGGCTTTTATCTGCTACCGCTTGTTTACTGGCATACTGTATCTCATCTTGGAACAGCAAAGCATATCCGTGGAAACTTTCTCAGCTCTTGCCTTTTATACCACGAGCTTATGGAGCTGCGGACCCATCATCAAGACGATGCGTCATAGCAAGCTAGGCCTTTTCAACGCATTCGCTGTCGCATGGATACTTATATCGATCACGTACTTGCTGTTCGTTGTGACGATGGCCGACTTAATGACTGGATATGTAACGGGCGAGATGACCTGGGTGAGTGTATCCAATCACTCGCTGTTACATATAAACTGACTTGGCCCGCTATCTGACAGNCTCAAGTTTCCAAATGGGACAATGATGGAAACAGGCTCCATCAATGAGACTGCACTGAACATTATACTCGCCGATCAATTCAGACATTCACCACCGGAAAATGTCACAATGCCAGACAACAACACCATTTCGCCAGATTGGACGGGATGGTATGCGCTCGTTCCGCTCGTTCCATCGGCGATAGTGCCATCATCACCCGGAAGTAGAAATGGCACCATGCTCTTTGAGAAATGTCTCAATGTCCATGAGATGGGTCTGTTCCACGTTGACGCCTATCTGGACCTGCGACCTACGAAAGAAGGCAGATGGTATGCGTCTGGCGACTATCGATACAACGATCCTTCTCGCGAGAAAATTCTCACCAAGTATCCTACTGAATCGTGTCTGAGTCGCTATATGCTCGGCATTCAGGATCTCTTTCAACTGCCAAATTATTCTCCCAATATGACGTGGTGGAGAGACGAGACAAACTTCCGATGTCTGCCTTCGACAGACTATGCCTGGGTAAGTAGGGAAGGGAATAGCAATTCGAGGCAGGACAAACCTGACACCTTACTGAAATAGGGCTTCTCATATCAGTACACTATTCTACTCACTTCTATAAACAGTATCTGGCTCCTCGTCACCGCAGCCCTGTGGTTGTACGTTGAGATCAAAAGTCAGTTCCTGCAGAAACGCGGTCCTATGGGTACTTGGCGGGCAGTGCTCGATCTAGCATCGGCATTGCGAGAAAAGCTCGGTCATGATACTGGAGGTTATACTGACGTCCGGCTAGAACAGGCAGTTGGAGAGCTTCAACCATTGACTTACGAGATACATGCAGACAAAGTAATGGGGATGGAGAGGATTAAGTTGAGGGAATGTGACAAGAATGACGAGTGGCGCAAAGAGATGTTCAGGTTGAGGTGGAAGACTAAATACTGCTGATTTGGGGCAATTCATAACTTTGCAGCCGCACTGCCCAATGCTCCTTCGCCGACCCCCAGGAATATCTTTCTGTCCATTTCCGATGTTTTCGTCCAGTTGGCTCCGCTAGGAAGATGGAACGCCGTCGGGCTCATAGGATGGCTCCTCGCCCACCTGCGGGCCAACTCGACAGCAATTTCGTTTTCGTCAGTACAGGCATCAAATATAAGTAGCACCGCACAAGTCAACCATTCCAGATGTTGCAGCAACTCACGTCCTTTGAGCAATAACTGCCCTTTGTCGACAACCTCGACCATCTGTTCCAAAGCCTTGAGTCTTGCCAACTCAAGCACAACCTCGTCTGCAAATGTCTCTTGACATGCAGTCAAGATACCTCGTGCCTAAGGCGCATAGACGGCTTGAATGCACTTGCCTCCTCCAATGCGGGTATCCGTTAACACCTTTACCACATCTTCAGCCATGACGCTCACAGTGCCCTCCCAGATAGGTCCACTCAGTGTATCTCTAAAGATTTTGGAAACGTTCAAAAGGCCGCCGTCTTCGTTGTTTTCGCAGTAGCCGACGCCGCCTAGGCATTCCATTGCTTCTCTGAGGCCTGCTACACTGGCGACGGTGATTTGGAGGCGAGCCTGTTTGGCAGCTGGACGACTTCCAGCATCGCTGCTGGCCTCGCGCTTCATTTTGTATGACAGCCAATCTGTGCTCCAACATCAGTAGGAAATAAGAGGTCAAAGTATGATTATGTTGGCACCACTTGCTCCGAGAGCAACGAGCAGGGACTTGGTTGGGAGGAAGCTAGGAAAGCAAGAACGAAGAAAGGAAGGAAGAAAGCGAAGGAGGTGTCCAGATCTTCTGAGTGTGGCTTCCGTCCTGGTAAACAAAAAGAGGCAGCGAGCCATGTGTTGGTAAACACGATTGTGCAGCGGTCATGCGTCTGAGCATAGACACGGGGTGCAGAGACGGACTCTAAGCCCTGTTTGGTCATTCGCCTCGTTACCGTGGACAACCCACACTGTGCTGAAAATCGTTGCCTACATCAGCTCTCCGACGGTAGGAACAAGACAGAGTGTGGTTGCTATTTACTTGGAGAAGACAAGAAGGCACCTCGCAAGAAGATCACCACCTAAGCATGTTCTTGATGTACTGCGCATGGTTCTCGTGCAACTTTTCACCAGGGTCCTACATCGAAGCAAGAAGGATACAACCCACTCTCCAGCGTCAAACAAGACAATGTCGTTCCGCATTGCTCTCGTCTCGGTTGCCATCATACTCTGCTCTTCTCAAAACTTACAGTACACATGAAATTCCAAGCCCCTCTACCGAGAGCTGTCACCTCGTCGACTATTTCTGGTACATGTCGCTATCTTGCAACCACTCGTGCATTTCTACGGCTCCACCAACGACAAGTCTAACACATTGGGGGACTCGTATCAACTCATTCGCCCCTTGTTCTCCAACATTCTTGTTTTCTGATTTCTCGATCTAAATTCTTCTCTTCTTCTTACTGGAGCCGGATCATTGGCATCTCGCCTGGACTCTCTGGTCATTTCTGTCTCTCTGGGTCATGTTTCTTTGTTCCTTGGTTCACAAGATGTTGCTTTCGGACTTTGGTTTTGGACTGCCCTTCGACTGCCTTGTTTTTCTTTTCTTCTTTTCTTTTTGGATCCGATACACACGTTTCCTTACACCAGCCAGCGCCTCAATGGTGAATCACGCAACCACAGAGAGTGATACAGCATAATGTTTTTTCTTGTCAAGCATTAGCGTTTACAAGCAGTAATCGAATCCCTAATACAACCGTCTTTTCCTTACCTCTTCTGTGCTAGCATCCGTGTTTCTTGTTCTTCTCCTATAAATGTTTAGCACCGCGAAAGCATAAATGCTCCTAAGCATAGAAAAGCAGTCAAAGATAGCCAGTAAGTCATTGCCTGCTCAGTGGTAATGCACTAGTTCTTGAGATTACTATGGAGTTCTCTGTCTACACGACTCAGATGCCGATACACGAGGAGATTGCTTGGAGCGCAGAAGCGAGCAAAGCAAGGAAAGAGATACCAAAGGGAAGAAAAAGGGGGCAAGACACAATCATCCACATCAAAAGACCGATAGACAACACAATTATCGGAAAGAAAAGAATGGTATCATAATGCTGTCATCAAAGCTACCCATGCCCTCTGCCTCCTCTCCAAGCAATCTCAGCCTCCTAAACTTCAGACTCATCTGCTTGTGTCCAATCCTCTTGTACACCACTAAGCTCCGTCCCATCCAGCAACTCTGGATTTTCCATTTCGCTGTCCATGCCTCCTAACACCCTCCCTCTCCCTCTCCCTCTATTCCTGTTTCTCTCTTCTACAACTGCCAATTTGGATTCTAATATCCGATCCATTTCCTCATCTTCTGCATCCGGGATGCGAGTTTCTGCTTCCAAGCCCTCCAACGCACGAGAAAGCAATTCAGTAGCAATAGGGTCTTGAGGGCTCAACGCAAGGGCCTCGTGCAGAACAACCGTAGCCTCAAACCACTCTTCCAATTCCAGCAATACCAACCCCTTGGCAGAGAAAATAGCTGCATCTTTACCTCCCAATCTCAAGACTTCAGAGAATGTTTCGAGGGAAGCTTGGTATTGAGAATTGCATCGATAGGCATGTGCAAGATTAGTCTTGATATCCAGACTCGCTGCTGAAGAGGGAGTAGCGGAAACTTCTCCGGCGATGGAGATGGCGAGTTCAAAAGTGCGGATTGCAGAATCGAATTGTTGGTCTTGGTAGTATGCCACTCCCATTTCATTGAGCACTAGAGGGTCGTTTTCACACATTGTGTATGCGGTTTCCAAGTACTCTCTCGCCAAGCTCAGGTTTCCCAGACACAAGTTTTGCATGCCGAGGAATAGTTGCGGGAGATGCGTGCCCTGGAAAAGGCGTGCTGCAGTCGAGTATGCAGAAATGGCTTGATCGTGTTCACCCTCTGCAGCAAACGTATGTGCAAATCCAATCCAGGCGGGACCGAAATGGGGGTCCATGAGCGAGGCTTTGGAAAAGTAGCCGCGGGCTTCGGGGATGCGCGAGATGCTGAGGTAGTAGGTGCCTACTGCGAGCCAGGTGCATGCTTCTTCTGGGTGTGTGTCTGCTAAATCATGAGAGAGAAGGAAGAGGGCATTTGTTTCTTTGAGTTCGAAGAGGGCGGCTAGATGAACAGGAAGAGCGGAGAAATTGTAAGGGTCTGTTTCGAGGATTTGGGTGGTTAGGGCGAGCGCATCTCGGAAGCGGCAGTTTGTGAAGAGGAGTTCGGCCTTGGATAACAGGATGGAAGCATTGCTCGAGAGATTGTAGTGCGTTGACAGAGTTTCGACTGCAGCGTTGAAGTCGTCGGGTCTGCTGTATTTTGACAACCTCGTCATGTAAAGCATCTTTGTGAATTCCCCAGCTTCTTGCATGCTCGAGGCAGGTGTATCTGAAGCACTGACGCTGTCAAAGTCTAGCGAGTCCAGAAACTCCCATTCTTCGGCTGGCGACATGAGCGAGTTCTTCATGAGCTGGTCAAAGGCCTCGAAGCACAGTACGTCAATCCGTACGGCATCTTTGTAGCAGTCTTTGGCGCGGTCAAAGGCGTTTTGTTTTGCATAGCAGAGACCGCGCAAGTAGCACATGGCGGCCTCGAAGCGGATGTTGCTCATATCTTCCTTGTCTCTTTCTTCACTGCGGTCCGCGCGATCTGACCGCAGCTGAGGCAGTTTGGCCATCTTTCCGAGCGCATTGCGTGGGTCCAGGTGTTGCAGTTTCCGGCGCGATCGATCCGAGGAGGTGATGAGATGAACAGGGTNTTTGTCGCCGAGAATGTGCAGTGCTTCGTCGTATCGGCTCTGCTTGACGTAGCAGTGGGCAGCGAGGTATTTGCATGACGGGTTTCGGGCGATCAGATCTTGTCGCGAGAGGAAGCCAAGGGCGCGCGTGTAATTCGCCGTCGAGAAGTGAACTTGAGCCAGCCAGAAGGCGTCTTTGTCGTTGTTGGTCAAGGCGAGCAGCTTGTCGCCGACGAAAATGGCAGACTCGTACTGGTGTTTGTTTAGAGCATCCTGCCGCCAGTCGCGCAGGAACTTTTCCATGTCTGGTTATATTGATGCTATGCGGATCAGATGCTTTGGGTATAAGAGCTGGATTGTTAAAATGCACTATAGTATCTGTATCGCACTTGGTGATGTATGTTGATTGTCGAAGCAAAAACAATTCGAGAGCTGCAAGTAAACATCGTCACCCTCCACGGCGTTTACACCTGTTTATCTCCGAGCACCACTCCGCCTGTCTCCCCGAGCTTGCTCTATGTACCATCGCTGCTCTCGTCCTGGAGTGATTAGAAGTAAATCAGAGAGAACCTGCCTTCCGGATGGGGCTCCAAGGCAGATCTTAGTCACCAAGTAGATAGGCCAAAGACATGAACATGACCGGACCATGACACGTCCGAGGTCGGCTCGTCCGCACATTCGTTACTCCGCATCACCTCCCATAAAACCCCACTCTACCCCTCCATAGCCGGCAACAATATATCCCTCCTTCTCTCTACCACTCCAAAGCTTAATGCCGCTAAACATGTCAAGCACACAAACCTTCAAGATTGCCTCTATCCCCGGCGACGGCATCGGCACAGAAATCACAGAAGCCGCCATCCAAGTCTTGGATAAATTGGCTCATGTGGATGGGAGCTTCAAGTTGGAATACACGCACTTTGATTGGAGCAGTAAAGCATACAACGAGAGAGGATGGTATATGCCGCCAGATGGCATGGAGCAGCTACAAAAGCATGATGCCATATACTTTGGTGCCGTCGGTTGGCCAGGTATATTCGACCATGTCTGTTGACAACATGGAAATATACTGATGCGAGTTCCAGATGTACCCGACCATATCTCGCTCTGGAACTTGATCCTTCCAATCCGCAAGAACATGAATCAATACGTCAATGTGCGTCCCACGCGCATCCTGCCAGGCACAAAATCTCCACTCTCGTCCTGCGAAACCGACCCTTCCACACTCGACTGGATCATCATCCGCGAAAACAGCGAAGGCGAATACGCAGGTCAAGGCGGCACAACCCACGAAAACAGNCCCCACACCATCGCCACCGAACTCGCCATCTTCAGCCGTGTCGGCATAGAAAGAATCATGAGATATGCCTTTGAGACCGCAAGATCGAGGGAGAGAAAGAAGTTGACAATGGTGACCAAGAGCAATGCCCAGAGGCATGGCATGGTCCTGTGGGATAAAGTGTTTTACGAGGTTGCCGAGGAGTATCCAGATGTTCAGCATGACAAGATGTTGGTGGATGCCATGACAGTGCGTATGGTCAACAACCCTGCAAGTCTGGACACGATTGTCGCGACCAATTTGCATGCCGATATCCTCAGTGACTTGGCGGCTGCGCTGAGTGGCAGCATTGGTATTGCTCCTAGCAGCAATTTGGATCCTACCAGAAAGCATCCCAGTATGTTCGAGCCTATCCATGGCAGTGCTCCCGACATTGCGGGCAAGGGTGTCGCCAATCCTGTGGGTGCTTTCTGGAGTGCGGCCGAGATGGTCAGGTGGCTTGGTCAGGGCAAGTTGGACGGTACTGCCGACAAGCTCATGCAAGCGATTGAGAATGTGACTAAGGCTGGTGTCAAAACGAGGGACTTGGCAGGAAACAGCAACACCAGAGAAGTGACGGAAGCAGTGTGTAGGGAAATCGAGACAGTTTTCAGAAAGTAGAACAAGAGCAGAAGAAATGAGTAGCTTACCTGTGTTGATGTACCCAAGTCATGCTCAGTATAAGTTCTCCCACTGGCCAACATCGACCTCTTTGGCTTTATCGACCTTGGTCTTGATCTTGTAACCAGCCCATTGTTTTTCGCCAAAACGTTCCCAGGGCCAGAGACAGCATATGGCCTTCCCTGCAATCAACGATTTCGNAGATCTATACCACACCATGTCAGCACGTTGATTCTCACACCTATTCAGCTAACGCAAACTCACCGGGCCATAGTCATTGCTGTCCTTGCTCATACCCACATTATCACCCTCAACCCACACATGACCCAACGGGACCTTCCACTTCCTCTTGCCCACTCCAAACACCTTTGCCTCACCAATAGCCTCCCAGACCATCCCTTCCTTGTCCGTAGCCTCGGTCCGCCTTTTCCAATCCAAAGTCACCCAATCCCNCTCCAACGCAACCACCCTCTTAACCCCCAGCTTCTCAGGCTTATGCGGCAAGTTAAACATTACCACATCCCCTCTTTCAAGGTTTGCAGCAGGCTTCCACTTTTGCATGAGCAAGGAGTCTTTTGNCCCGGTTTCGTGGTAGGTAGGCGAAAGGGTGGGTGACATGGAGACGCCTTCGATGGTCACGTATTCGAGGAAGTGGTCATTTATTGTGATGGCGCCGGCTATACCGATGAAGGTGCCTTTGAAAATGGACGTCACCAACCAGGGGATGCGTGGCATGGTGTGTGAGAGAGCGTGATGGTGAGTGTGTTGTAGATCCGAAGTTGACCAGTGGTGAACTCCCTGAAGTCTTGTCGCGGTCGCGTATACCTGAGGTCGGTAGCCGAGAGATGTGGTGTCGGTACGGTTTGGAAGAGCAAAGATACTCGGCGGTATTATATGTGTAGGAGAAAGGTATTGGCAAGAGACAATGTCGCGTCACATTTGGATCGTCGGGTAAACTTTCTGAACTTCCTTCGGACTTTGCGGACTTTTGTAAAGTCGAGGGAGCACCCTCGCCTCGGTATATTTATGGCTCTATAGAGACGAACAAGGGTAAGGACTAGACACCAAAAACCTGTGTTTCGAGTATTCATCTATAAAGATCCAGGTTCTGGAGGGTAGACGAGAGAAGTAGCCGATTTTCACATGTGTTTCACACATACGGGCTGACTGATGACGGTCATGAATGCACCTTGTTTGCAAGACAATTGTAGATCAAACCAAATATGCATGTCGAGTCTGACTTGAGTCGAATCAAAAAACAGTAAATTGCTTTTCCAGAGTAGTCTTTCCTCTGACTACTCACAGGTATCAAGCCCGGAAATTGTACAACCACCTCCAAGTCCTTTTCGTAGGATTAAGAACGCCATGACCCATGCAATATCACTTTAGTCGTCAAGCAAGATCATATCCCGTCCTCCTTTTCTTTCTTCATATCTACTCTTCGGTCTTGGTCTTCTTGGCCTCACCCTGCTGACCCTCGTCCTCACGTCCGCGCTTACGGTCTTCACGCTCTGCGTTGCGAGTGTTGGGACGGTCTTCACGATCGCCACGGTCACCACCACGGTCACCACCACGGCCTCCGCGACCACCGCGTCCTCCTCTGCCGTTTCCACCGCGACCACGACCGCCACGGCCTCTTCCGTTTCCGCCACGGCCGCCACGACCACCGCGCTGGTCGTTGTCTCTTCTCTCCTTCCAGTTGTCGTTGGGAGTAATGGTGCCGTTCTTGATGCCCTCGAGCTTCTCGTCCACGTAAGCCTTCTTGCTCTTGATGCTCAGCTCCGATCCCTGGAATGCGGGCTTGGGGTCAAGCTTGAGGAAGTCCTCGGCGGTCTTCTCATCCGAGAACTCGACAAAAACGCTGCCCTTGAACTCGCCGTTGTTGGCTCTGCGTAGGCGCACGGCGTTGAAGGTACCGTATACGGTGAAGAACTCCTCAATATCGGTCTGACTGGTGGGCTTCTCCTCGCCGAAACCCTTGGCGTAGATGCTGCGGGCCATGGTCTGGTTCTCGAGCATCTTGCGGTTCTCGTCGACGTTGTCGCTGAACTTGTCACTGATGGGCTCCTTGCGGGTGATTTGACCGTCATCGGTAACGTCAATCACAGTGCTGGCCTTGCAAGCCTCGAGGACAGCGGAGTAGGGCTGGAAGTGGCGCATGCGCTTGAAGTTGTGGATAACCTTAAGGTCGACGGGAAGGTTCTTGTGGCCGCCAGTTTGCTTGAGAAGGTAGTTGTCGGTGGGGAGGTTGGAGTCGGAGAAGTAGAATTCGACCTGGCGACGGATTTCCTCGGGGTCGCTGCTCTCTGGCAGTTCATCGTAGTTGGGTCTGACGCGCTTGGTGTTGCGGCCTGCACCCTGGGGACGTCCACCTCTCTTCTCGCCTTGGTTCTCAGCAGGCTTGGAAGCTGATTTCTTGTCAGCAGTTGCGCAAGTACTTTGCGCACGATGGATAGTCGTACCCTCCTCGGTCTTGGTCTCAGGCTTGGCCTCGGCCGTCTCCTCCTTCTTCTCGTTCTGCTCCTCGGTCTTGGCCTCGGCCATTACAGCATCTTCAGAGGTGGTGGGTGCGGCAGAGAGCTCGGTGGTCTGATCGGGGTTGGAGGTTTGCTCGACGGTCTTGTCATTCTGGATCGAGGTGGCGGCAGGGTCGGCCTCGGCGGTGGGAGTGACCTTGATGTCGGACATTGTGATATGCGGATCGCGATCTGGGATAATTGCGCAATTGACGGACGAAGCTTCGCAAAGGGTGACTCGACGTGATTATGTAGTGACAGTCGGTGTCGATGGGTTGTATAGGTATAGAAAGAAGGTCAAATCAAAAGCTACACAAGGGCTGCTCTTTCTCAAAAGCTTCACTGCACTTTTTGGATTTTCAGAAATCTTTCTGGTCCGTGCGTCAAGGCCTCGAGCTTCCATGACTCGTGTGGGGAAGCGCTTCAGACCTCAGCTCCTGCATCTTGCTGCACCTTGCCGTATCTCGCCATCATGTCGATTTGGCAACGAGCTTGCAGTATGCCGCATCGAGATATTTCGGGCAGGCGGCGTTGTTGATGGCTGTCTGGTCACTCGAATACCTACATGAAGTGACCTGTCACAACCAGAATACACCCTTATAGCATCCTCCTCGACCTCTTGGTCTCTCATGTTTGACTGCTCTATTCTCTGCTACCTGTTTCTGTTTATTCTCTTGCTCTACACATCGATGTCTGAATGGGGTGGCGGCTTAGCCACCAATCTTTCTCACTATCAGTATAGTCTTCTCAACGACAAGATCCTTTCAGACGTTCAAGTCAAATTGAAACATGGTCCTATATTTGCACACAAAGTCCTGTTAGCTCGAAGATCTGAATGGGCTTTCAGAGTCTTCACCGGAAAGTTTGCAGTGCGCAGAAGATCGCAATAAAGCCGGTACTCTATCCGATGCTGATTCAGACTTAGGTTGCTTGCAGCAAGGAAGTCTGCCTCGATNGACGAGGAAGACGACCTAGAAGCCATTCTCGCCATGATGCGCCATGTCTACGGCTTCCCATATGACCACTTATACGAGTCTGGTCCTCCTTTTGCAGCCGTGATTACAGATCTGATCTTTCATATCAACGTGTTCATGGCCGCCGACAAATACGACATTCCTTCGCTGAGATTACTAGTCGTTGATAAGTTTGCCGAGTTGATGGATCTGAAGTGGTTCGCAAACCAACACGAGTTTTGTACCGCCATGCAGCGCCTTTGCGGACCGGACGCTGTGGCCTTTGCAGATAGATCGCTACAGGCATCCGCTGCTTCATTCTGCTCAAAACACATATCCGACTTGATTAAGCTTAAGAGTTTTGCTAGCATGCTTGAAGATGGTGAACCTTTTGCCGGACGTCTTGTGACTGCTGTCTTGAGCGGTAAATCTGATAATCTTATTGAGACCTTCAAGTGTCACATCTGCAGATCGATTGCGGACGATACTATCAGAACGAAGCTTGAGCAGAGTTGTATCAGCTGCAATGTTGTCTACGTTAATTTCGAATGTGTCGAATTCCAACACTACAAGAAGTTCATGCCGCTTAAGGCACAAAAGAGAAGCAACACCCAGATACGCTCAGTAGTTGTGTACCTTCCCCAAATTGTGCTTGAAACACCGCTGATAAATCTTGGTGTAACCATGTGGCTGCCTGCATCGCGCCCCGCCACAATCTATGCAAGTGACTCGTACCTGCATTTCATCTCGGCAACCCAGTTAGTCGTCACGTCGACCAATTTGTCGTTGATTGCTCACGTTACACAAACACGTCGCACGTTTTCGCCAACACATTTTGGCAAGACGTGCATCTCGTTTACTGTGTCTCGAGGAACACCACAAACTCCAACAACCATGAGCTCCACTGTCTCACCATTCCTAGTCCCAATGACTACCAGACAACGAGCTCGAACCGCTCGACCATACCTCAAGTACATCGTGGACCCTCCAACATTCGACGCCAGCGAACTTCAATCGGTCAAGATCAAAGATTCTCTTCATGCGAGGTTCGAAATTCTGTGTGAAGAAGCAGGCTGGGTACCTACGAACGCACTCCGAGAGGAGTTGATTATCCTTACCAAGCTCGATACCCCGTGGAGATGGCGCGACTGTGAAGCTGCTGTTTTCGCCTTCGTACAACACCTTGATTTTGTATGGAACAACAGCTGGGTGTTGCTCGGGAGAAAGAAATTCGACGAGGGAGTCCTCTACGTCTGGTATCGCCCGGTCTATGGCCCTAGAGGATGATCGATCGAATTCAGCTATGGGTCTAACAAGACTATCTTCAAGCCTGATGGGCTCCAAGCTAGAGTGGATAAAGACAAAGTCTGGCTACCATTCACCAAGCTCTTTGACTTGACCAACCTACGAGGAGACTACCAGAATATATACCTCACCGGCGTCTATGAGGTCCTCAAGAGATTCACATATATGAGATGCATTCTGGATCCCAATGACCCTGAGGATGTCGCTCTGAGACACGGCTATCCAGAGCTCCTGCCTCTTCCATTCATCCCTGGTTCCGCTTGGCTGCGACAACAAGGAGTTTTGTGCATCGATAATACTCCAGAAAGCCAACACAAATCTCGTGACAGCCTTCAATCGCAATCAATATACGAGTTGAACACAGACAGTCATGTCGAGGATGACGAAGCTTATCAGACTGCCACTACAGCATTACTAGGCAACATGACCGATGGTGTCAATAAATGCCAATCCCGTTCGGCAGCAGACATCGACAACGTACGCTACGCACATTCTAGAAAGTCAAACAGCTCATCCCACACTGAACTGGAAAGGGCGCGCAGAGAGAAGCGGACAGCTAATAGCAGCTCCAACGGCTTACCATCTCGAAAGAGAGCACCTGAATCAGATGCTGCATCTGAGAATTCTTCTGTCGATACCACAAGGACTTCTGTTCGTAGTAGATTACAAGGCCTTTGTCAGAAGTTCCAGTGGACACCTTCTAAGCCTACACTTCAAGAGATACACGACTTGCTCCAATCAGTCGGCCCTGAAACTATTGATATGGATGATGCGGGACTCACATCTCTCGCATTCGTTCAGCACTTCGACTTTGTATGGGAGAACGACGCTATCTTTATTGGCTCTATTAAGGTCGAGGGCGCACAACACTATGAGAGAATTTGGTACAAGATCACCTACCGTGACGGGATCTATCAGGACACCTTCTCCATCGATGCAGGTAGTCAACCATGTTCACCCCCGGTCGAACTAGGCGGAGTCGAGTACTTCTGGCCTTCTTTCAATGACTTGTTCGACATGAAAAATATCAAAGATACGGATGGCAGACAGCAGTATGGCTACATCATTGGTACATTCCTCATCCTGTTGAACTATCCCTCATTGCGCAGGCATCGAGCGCCTGGCTCAGGTATAAAGATCATATTGGCTCCTCGTTCCGGAGATGCCGAGCTACCATTCTTACCTGCGTCTGGCTCAGAGGACATGACACAGTCACGCGAAGACAGTCGATCATCATCATCGTCATCATCCGAACCTCCAACCAAGCGAAGGAGACTGGTCCGCGGCGGTCGTGGAGGTGGTGCACGCTGGATCAACGAGATAGACAACGAGATAACAGGCCTTCCTTATCTTGTGCGCCTACAACGATCCGACATGACCGAACATGATAAGCATGCTGGTATCCCCAATCAGCGACGGATCACTAGTACTGGGAAGACTGCTCCAGAGGACCACCGCGGACAGAGTGACGCTGACGCGCAACCCCTGGCCGATGCGTCCAAGGAATCAGAGAAACAGCGCAAGATCACTACGATGTTCCAAAGCAGCGAGCGTGCTCATCATTCTGAGCCACAATCCACAAGCTCCTCCAGCACGCCAGTCATTACAAGAGCCATTGGATCATCGGCGAATGCTCCTACGATTGTGGAGACGACCGAGACCAATCAACAGCCTGGGGATCAAAGTCCTGTTGGTGGTCTGCTCGATTATCTCCTGCGAAACGTTCAAACCTTAAGTTTTGTGGACACTAACTCTGGCGAGACTCGGCTTCGGTTCAAGGCTAGTCTTCCTGCTAGTCTCTTCCAGCCATTTTCTCTTGAATTCTCTCCCGTTGCGTCGTTAGTCATAGCGCCAACTCTACCTTCCCGTCACTGTATCATTCAGGAGTTGGAAAGAATCGCCATGGGCAGGTTCAATACTCAACAGCAGGCTACTCAGCATCAGAAATTTGCACCTTCTCATAATCACCAAGCCACTCGGCTCCCAGCTCCTGTCGCATCGATGGTACGTCGGCAAGATTCGAGCAATGATGGTCGTAACAGCAGCATCACTGTTGATCAAGCAAGGGAACTTCTTCGCCGTCCTCGTGCGAAAATCGTGTCTTCTGGAACTGAGAAGGATGGAGGCCTCGAGTTATGTGATTTCGAATTCACGTTCCTTTCTGCCGCAGTCGAGAAACGTTGCCTGGACTCTATGCCCCTCTACCTTACGAAGAGTCAAGCCTCTAGAGTTCTTGCTGAGTACGCAAAAGAGGATGAGGAGTCTTGACTGTTCGTATGGAAGGGCGTAGGGACCTATGCAATCGCTGGTTTGGACGGGACAGACGAGCCGCCACAGATGTCGAGTCGAGTTGGAGAAGGAAGTGTACATCAAGCGCAGAAGTAGGCATTACTTCTATTGTATAGTATCAGGCAAGAGTGTTAGACGAAATAGACTTTCGAAAACGTCTTCTGCATCTAAGTTGTAGCCTCAATGTTGTCGGTCCTTCGGCCAAAGCTCTATTATCCTGTAGCTTTATGCATCAGGCTTGTTCTGTAGAGATGTTGAGGGAGATGGAGTGGGATGTGGTCTTGGAGTTATGATCGGAACGCGTCCTCTCATGGTTGGACGAACTGGGTGGAAGAGAAGTGGATGTTAGCATAGATCGAACCATAGCTGCACAATTGAATTACTATAACAATGTCGGATGCTGATGATGAAGACTGATGAGTGGAAGAAGTGTCTTGTATAAGTTGGTATTTCAGAGCCGCTGCCATAAATCTAACATCAATATCCCGCAGGCACAACCCACCGACCTCAACGGGATTCTTCCCTTGATCTTCTTGCTGGCTCGAGGCCTGCTCTCTTTCTTCCTCCACGCACCACCCATGCACTCATGATGAAGTACTTTCGAACAAGGCGTCAACCCCCGGGATTTGCTGGCCTGTTCAGTATACATCGCTGATGTATCGGTCAGTCTTGACACTCTGGAGCCATGCCTCCGCCTCATCCATCGACTTTCCATTCTTCTCGCACCATACCCTCTTGCAAACTTCAGCGGCACTCTTGCCTAATCTCGCGGCACTTCCGCACAGATATATCTTTCCACCATCCATAAACATCTTCGCTACCTCCTCGCGATGCTCCCAGATAGCGTCTTGTACATACCGTGGACCAGAATTGCCCTTACTGAACGCTGACACGACTTTGACGACGCCTTGTCTCTCCCACTCGATTAACTGGTCACGATACATGAAGTCTTTCTCCGGATGGCGGCAGCCGAAGAATAAGATCGCCGGGCCGAGTTTTCGCGCACCGGCTACAGCTATGGCGGCTCTTTCCTGCAGGAAAGCTCGCATAGGTGCGATCCCTGTGCCGGCTGCAAACATGATGATGGGTGTCTCGACATTGCCCGGAAGTCGGAAGCCAACGTTGGTGGGACGCACAAAGCATGAGATACGGTCACCGATGCGGCGAGAAGCGAGATAGGTGGATGTGACACCGAAGAAAGAACCGTGGCCTGAGAGAGCTGGTGAAGTATGTACATCGAAGCACAGAGACACGATATCTGCGTGTGGCCTGTGCTGAGGGTTGTTTGCTGGGTGCAGAGAAGATGAGGCAATGGAATATTGGCGAGGCGTCAAAGCTGGAAGCATGTCGACGTATGCACTGAAAGGGAGGGCGATTGAGGTCTCTTCAAGAATATCGAGGATGCTGTAGCGTTTCTCAAGGAAATGCTGGTAGGAAGCGTCTTCGAGCAATCCTTTGTACTCTTCCTGCTGTTCGGGAGTCGCATGCGACAGGATGCTCTCTATTTGGCGCTTCGTGATGGGCTGACTGAGTTCGACAGCGCCGGAAAGGAACTCATCCATCGGAGTGGGCTCTGTAGGTAAGAAGAGCTTGGATGATCCTTTGACTTCCAAGATGTCGTTCTCTCGCAGACCAAAGTATGCCAGGACCCTACGAACTGTTTCATCTGGATTGCGCGGCTGCACTACAAGGTAGTCGCCCGCAGTGTAGCTCATACCATCCGGCAGGCGAATATCCATATGACGTTTCGCAGGTCCTACTTCAGTGCCTGCAAGCTGGTTATTCGCGACGACAGTTCCGACATTCATGTCTTTGCCGCCAAGCAATGAGGTCAATTTGGATTCGCGAATCATGACCTCGGTGACAGGCTTAGCAACGGGACAAGCACCAATTGACTTTACCAGTGCATCTACAAGCTGATCTACCCAGTCTTCCCATGGGCCGAATAGATCAGCTTTGACATCGGAGAGTCCGAGATCGACAATTTTTGTAGCTCCAGCTTTTTCCATCAGGTCGTTAACGAGTTTTGGGATCCGGTGGAAAGTGCTCGCCCAGTCCTAGGAGATCGTCAGTATCAGAACCATACGCGGATATCAAAATACGCTTACTGAGCTCCCCACACCATACACTGCATATTTGGCTCCGCTTAAGATAGAGGCATTTTTGTTATCAATATCTTCCAGCCACGCCACAAATTGCTTTGAGTTATCGGCAGGTTGGCCTTCGTACGAAGAGGCAATGATCACAACAGGCTGATCCGGAATATGCTCAGTCATGGTGTCAAGGCTCCCAATCGAAGCACTTAAGCCATGATCAGTCAACTTTGTTCTCAGATCTTCGGCGAGAGCTTCGCATGTTCCGGTGTTGCCTCCGAAAAAGATCGACACGGGCGTCTCAGAAGACTTGTCCTGAGCTTGTACATGGTCATGCTGCTGTTCGTGTGTCTTTGCGACACTGGTAGGTACCCCTCCTGGAATGCCAACCATGAGTGTTTTTCCTGGTCGACAGCGAGCCTTCATCTTGAAGTTCCACGGCTTGATTGTCAAAGTTGACTTCAGTTCGAGCTCGTATGTTGGATCTGCCAACTGTAGCTGGAAGCGCTGAAGCACAAGCGCGATGTTAATAATCATTTCTTGCTCAGCAAAGCCTCTGCCAATACACGATCTCATCCCGTTGCCGAAGGGTTTCCAGCTATTGGGAGGCAACTTCTCGAAATTTGACCTAAGCATTCTTTCTGGCTTGAAGTCATCATGGTCATCGCCCCAGACAGCAGGATCGTGATGAAGAGCTTTCAAATTGCTCACAAGCTGGACGTCTTTCTTCACTTCGTATTTACCTTGCAAGGTGGTGTCTTTGCGTGGACAAACACCCCAGCGAGTGATGGGCGAACTAAGACGAAGACTCTCCTTGATGCAGGCGTCGATATATGTGAGCTTCGGCAAATGCTGGAGTTCCAGTACGTTGTCTCCTACCACCTCGTCGACTTGTCGCTGTGCTTTGAGGATTGTATCGGGATTCTTCAGCAAGTTGTAGTAGGTGAAGGACAAGGTCGAGCTGGTAGTTTCGTGTCCAGCGACCAGGAAAGTCGCCATTTGATATCTGATATTCTCATCCGACAGTCCCTCTCCGGTCTCTTTGTCGATACTGTTCAGCATGGTGTTCAATAAGTCCTTGTTCTGAGGTTGCGGATTCTTTTTCCGATCTGCTACAATCTGGTCACAGAGGTCATGCATTTTCTTGACGTTCTCTTGTCGTTTCTGTTCGCTGTTGCGGTAGACATAGTCGTTGATGAACCCAGGACGGCTGACACGCCTACCACTCTCGGTCAAGACATCGGCCATTTGTTGAGCAAAAGGATGAGCGTGATCCATGTAAAACTCGTTGAACCTGTACGAGAAGGCACAAAGCCCAATAGTGTCGAAAGCAAGACGTGTCAAGTCATCGGCGCAATCGATCTCATGTTCCGGTCCTAGTCGATCCCACTTCAGAACCATTTGAGACGAGATATCCAACATATCATCGAACATTGAGCGGAGAGTAATTGGACCAAACGCTGGAACAAGCATGCGATGAGCTATCCACCAGTTCATCTCAGAATCATAAGCTGTGAACAGGCCGTCTCCTGTCAGTGCTCGAATGGCTGTCAGGGCACCAGCAGGGACCTTGTGGAATCTTTTTANGTCGCAGATTTCGTTGATGTGTTGTTGGTCTCCAAGTATTACTTGCTCGCTACCGAGTTTCAACTTCATGATAGGACCGTACAGCTGTTGCATGCTCCATATGTTCTTGGAAGGGAATGAAGGATCTAAGTCGGGCAGGTTGCCAAGCAGGCCGAAGAGGTGCTCCGGAGGTTGAGGTATGGGCAAACGTTCCGGTGACGTCGTGCTTGAATCGTCGACGTCTGACGCGTGAGCTCGCATAGGACAAGACATGTCGGGAGGATGCTTGTTAGTGATCAGATAGCTTGTGTTGAAGTTGCCTACTTGTGAGATACGGCACTCGAACGAACTCGATATTTCCTCTTATATATTAAGGTGTCATACTTCTTCGGCTGCTACCCCGCTCGCGTACAGCAACAGCAATATCGCAGGCAGGAACGTGTCACCTCGCATTATCGCGGATGCCTTGAAGCATGCTCCAACGCATACCGACCATCCTGATTACCGACAGGGCCAGCACTAGATGCCATTGCAAACCTGTCTGAAACTCAGATACAAAGCCGAACGCTGCGACTGAATGATAAGGAGAGAACAAAAATTTGGAAACGAGCAAAGGACGTCTGTTTGTTCTGATGAACTAGTCCCGATTGGGCAGTGACACGGCCGATCTTCTCTCCAGGACCCTCGTACCGCTCGGCTGGCCTTGTCCCTCAACATCAGCTTATTTGCATGTACTATTTTGAAGTATATACTGCTCATCCTCCTCTCTCAACAGTATCTGGATGGAACAAAGCTGTTTTGAATCCCTCGCAAAGATGTTGCTTCTTTCGGACAACGTCTAGTGCAACTTGATTGTGTAACCTCGCATCATGTTTGGGTTCAAGGATTCGCCGGAGCAAACATTTTGCCGCAATGATTCACCCACAGGTATTCGGCTGTTGTATACAAGCTCTCTTTGGCATTCTAGAACCGACAATCGCGTCTTCCAGAATGTCTCAGCCTGGAGACATGTCTTCAAGCAAGAATATCCATGTTGGAAGCATCCACAACAATCCCAATGGCTCAGGACATTCGAATGATTGTCTTGTTCAATTGTTTGAAGACTCTCATTATATGACATAAATCTCTTAAGACACGACGAGCTCACCTACTCCAATGTGTTGTCGAGCACATCGTTGGCGGACAACACAGACCCAGCTCTGGCACGATGGAAAATTGCTCGACTGGTTTTGGTGACATTGTCGTCAAGTTCGGCGACGAGCAATCTGTGGCCACGAAAGCTGTGCTCGCCTTGAAGTCGGTCTACTTCAGCCGCCCATTCCAAGGACAATCCTCAGTAAGGACGCGGACATACGCAAGGTCTCTGTTGAAGCTAACATAGACAGGTTGCAACAAGTCCGTTCATCGACGTAGGTGATGAGGATCCCCCTGCTCTAGTCTTCTCCATGCTACGGTACCTACACGGTTCATCCTATAAAGATCTCAAGCTGAACGTTTCAATTGCTGAGATTTTGAATTTTGACATCGGCATGTTTCTTCTGGCAGATCAGTACGATATCAAATGCTTGCGCAGTCGGGCAACTAAGCACTTCTACAAAGACGCAGAAAACCTGATTTGCTTTGGTGTCGTTGCTCGCGGCATTCAACGTCTACTGGGTCCCGGTGCACCTCTTCTCGCAGACTCGTCGCTACAAGACCTCGCTTTTCAATTCTGTATGGAGCATGTCGAGAATCTGCTGCAAAACCAAACCTTCCATGATCTGCTGAAAGATGGCTCGCTACTGAGTCCTACGGCCGCTGGAAAATTGCTTGTGGAGGTTGGAGGACGTCTTCAATTGTTCAAGACAGGAAAGCGCGGCCCACTCGAGGATTTGGACGTGTTATTGGATCGTGGCTCCAAGGATACTTCATCGGACGAGGAATTAACTATCACGCAGAACGGCTTTCACATTGGTTCGCACACTGGTTATTGAATTGATATCTCTCATACACCTGGCTTTTACCAGGACTCACGCTTGATGCTAGACATGTCAGGGAAAAATTTGTCCTCCTCGGACTCCTCCTCACCATTTTCAAGCACCCAATCATACTTGCTCAGATCGATCCCGCTCATAGCGTCTCGCAGCAAAATCGCGCTCTTCATGTCTTTGTAGGACTCTTCTGACAACAAGTGCTTGACATAAGGACGCATCTGGCGGATAGTGAGTTTCTGTGCAAACTCACAGCTCTTGCTTAGACACTTCAAAGGTATATCCGGGTCGAAGATGACGTTCTTGAAGCATTTTTCCACACACCCCGCACACCAGGTGCAGCCACAGCTCTGTCGTGTGAAACGAGGTATGTCTTCCAGTGGCAAGTCACATCTTTCGCACTCAACTTTCTCTGATGTGGTTGACTCGGTTTTGAATGGTGCAGGTGCGGTGATAGCACTCGATGGCTTTGGTTCTGACTGCTGGCCGACAAGAGTTCGCAGTGCCTTTGAGATCTCTGATACATCGTACACGGTTGTTGGTTCCCCCTTGATGTAATCCAGAAGACGCGTAATTAGTGGGAAAATGATACAGTAGTGAATGATGGCGAAGAGAACAAAGTCCAGAACCAGCTGGAGGAATGAAGAAGACATGATGGGTTAGGGAAGCGGCACAGCCGTGGTGAAAACAGAAAGAAAAAAACGGAAGAGGGGAATATGTCTGATCAGGCTCGCGAGGGCCTTGACGGTGGATTTGTCCTCTCTTGTTACTTCTTTGATTGACAAAGACAGCCCAAATGACAATGCGCTTGTGGCTTGTATGGCGTTCTTGACCCACATTGCATTGTTTGCCCTTTGTTTGAACATCTCTCTTCAAGTATCATCTCCACATCCTTTGTGTGCTTTGTATCCATCAGTCTTCATCGTCTCCGTCGCCATTTGGAAGCCTTGAGCTTCTCCCGAGTCGGTTGCCTTCTTTGTACCGGGTATCTAATATACGCTTGCCTGTTTATTATCACCATCGGTAAGGAAGGCAACGCACGCCCACGGTGATTCTGCGAACTGGAGGCAGCTGTTCGATGCCGGAGAGACTCCCAATACGGGACTGATTTGAAAGAGGTGATACTATGGTGATCTGAAGAAAGAAAAGGAAACGGTCGAAGTAGTGAAACGTCGGTAGTGAACGATGAAAACACAAAGCCTCATGCCATCACATTGGAGCAAATCTGACCTGCAACCATCGAACCGGTGGGATGGCGCAGTGGTAGCAGCTCGTGTCTCCCACGTAGTTGGCCAGAGCCCACTAGTTCGATATTCCGTGACGCCAAAGAACTTCAGCTGTAGGAAGTTTGAATCGCTACTCGAGTAAATTGAGATATTTAGCTAATTCACAGTCTCCTGACCAGATTGATTAACCATGTACCAACGTCAGAAGGCTTGAACTTGCCTGCGTTTGACGCGGCTTTTCGGTCTTCTCGTGTTCTTCTTCGCGTTCTTCCGATTCTTTTTTTCTGAGGTCTGGCTCCAGGTTGTCCATTGCAACTCTCAAATGGGTTCATCGTTTCTTTGCTCCTTCCTCACGCTCGGTTTGTCCTGCAATCACCGGCAAGGTTCTGGCGCTCCCATCATCCTACCTGAGCTTGGGCGCGTAGAGCGTGCCGCGCTTTTGATTCCGCCGCAGTGCTGTCATTATCATCCTTTTTACGATGTTGCAGAAACGATCTCGACATACGGTCTTGGAGCCAGGATGTGCGAACTCATAATATAGGTCAAGTGCAATTGCAATATGCCAACCTTTGGCTTGATCTAGGGATGCGTTCACAAGGCGATCTTTCAAGATAGGATCCATCTCGCGGAAGTCGTCTGCAAGCCAGTAGAGCAGTGTAATGTAATATGAAGCGCGGAGTAAGCTCCAGACTTCCGGTTTGAAGCGAAGTTTATGTACCTTACAGTCGGTGTATGGACACAATTGAAGGTACAGGACACGCGATAGAATCGGCAGCCAGAGATGGGGTGTGGTCTTGCTTCAGCGCTCAATTGTTCGCGGAATGTAGTGTCCACGATGACAAGTTCAATGGCATCATCGACCGCAGGAGTCACGTCACAAGTGACATCCCTGACTATGTAGTCGACATTGTCATTCAAGACTGCATGCAATAACTTGCTCGCCTCCGAAAGGCGTACCGCGGTCTCAATGTGCGAACTTAGGCCAAAGATCTGGATGGGTAGCTCGATGGGCAGCGAGAGAAGCCCACACGTGGGTAAATTGCCCGCAGATGTCATCGGGTCGCGATATTGACCAGGCTCGTCCTCGATGTTCTGATATCTCGAAAGCGCCGTCCGTGATTCTGCCGCATGCAGACTGCTCTCCTTGGATGTCCGTGCTCTCGTTGCTGGCAGCAAGTACCGCGGTGAGTTTGTAGAACGCCTGAAGGGTGTTCTCAAGGAGATTGAGGATGCCAAGGAGGCGATTGTGCTCTTCCTTGATGAGAACCATCTTATCATGGGCGCTCAACTCTCAGTAGAAAGTGGTATGGATGCTGCCATCTTGCTAAGTCTATGCTTGCCCACGGTCAACTGCTGTTCGTGTCGGATTAGCTGGCTGCTGTCAACAGAATGTCAGCGCAAGAAAGTGCGTTCGGCCTCGAATCTTCATGTTGTATCACTCTTGAGATAATTTCTGCATTTGAGCAAGTTAATCTTGTGATCCAAGTGATGTACTGCTTCAGGTTGATATCTTGTCTGCGCGCTGACAGCCATGCTTCAAAGCGTGAATCAGTCAGGTCCTTGGATTCAAGTATCACAAGGCCTGCGAACAGACACAGATTGCGACGTGAGTCGAGTCGATCATCTTTGTGTTCAACAACCTCTCAGCTCATGCTTTGTGATGTCGTGGAGAACATCAGGTGAGGTGTGATGTTACACGCGAGTCGTCGGGCGAAGGCGTGATCGCAGAAATCCGGGGTTGAGAAAAAGCTTGGACGCCACCATCCCGCGATGGCACCCTGTCCGCACTGGGGAAGGTGAGCACGCGCGACTTCGGCGATTTCCAATCCTCCCTTTCTTCTTCTTGAACATCTTGCATCTGTGTGCTTCATTCTTTACTTTTACTTTGTCTATACCAAGGAGTTTCTGGAGCCATGCATAGAGTAGCATTTTCCGCTGGCCGTTCGGTCAATGCTGCCACCAAGATTTCGAGTTTGAGGACTTTTGCATCAGTGAGCTCTGCTACCAGAAACCACAAAGTTGTTGTCGTCGGTGGTGGATCTGCTGGTCTAGCAATCAGTCACCAGTTGCTTCGTACTGGAAAGTTCACACAGGACGATATTGCCATCGTGGACCCTTCATCCTACCATGATTACCAGCCTGGATGGACACTAGTTGGTGGTGGCCTCAAGACAAAGGAGGAACTGAGGAAGCCCATGAGCAGTCTTGTGGACCCAAAGCTCAAGCTGTACAACCAAGGAGTCAACACATTCGCTCCCGAGGAGAATCTGGTCACTCTTGGCAATGGCGACAAAGTGGGATACGAGCACCTGGTTGTGGCACCTGGCATCGGTATCAAGTACGACAACATCAAGGGACTGCCTGAAGCACTGGCAGATCAGTCATCGCCTGTCTCGACTATCTACGGCTACGAAACTTGTGACAAGGTCTTCCGCAACATCAAGGAGTTCCGCGGTGGTGAAGCCTTGTTCACCCTTCCTACTGGCGTTGTGAAGTGCGCTGGTGCACCCCAAAAGGCAATGTGGCTTGCTCTGGACCACTGGAAGAAGGCCGGTCTCTACGACCCCAGCAATGTCGCCAACTCGCCCATCAAGATCAGCTTTGCAACCGCTCTGCCAGTTATGTTTGGTGTTCCCAAGTACAGCGCTACTTTGGAGGAGTTGCGCAAGGAGCGTGGTGTCGAGGCCATGTTCCAGCACGATCTGGTCGAGGTCAACGGTGACAAGGCCATTTTCGCTCGTCTAGACGGCAGCGAGGAGAAGGTCTCCAAGCGCTTCGACTTGCTCCACGTTGTCCCCAAGATGGGACCTCACGCTTTCATCAAGGACAGTCCTTTGGCAAACGCAGCAGGTTTCGTCGATGTTGAAGACGCCACCCTGCGTCACAAGAAGTTTGCCAACGTCTGGTCGGCAGGCGATGCATCTTCGTTGCCTACTGCCAAGACCGCTGCGGCCGTCACTTCTCAGGCTCCCGTGTTGGTGCAGAACATGCTCCAGTCTATCGAGGGCAAGGAGTTGAATGCCGCCTATGATGGATACACATCTTGCCCTCTATTGACCGAGTACGGCAAGGTTCTGCTGGCCGAATTCAAGTACGGCGGACAGCCCAAGGAGACATTCGCCAAGTTTGGCGTTGATCAGGCTGTTCCCCGTCGGGCCTTCTACCACCTGAAGAAGGACTTCTTCCCGTGGGTGTACTACAACAACATGGTCAAGGGTACTTGGGGCGGACCCAAGGGCTGGGTCTGGTAAAGGGGTTCTTGCCACTACTGTTTTTAATTCTTGTATCGTTTGCATTGCTGGAGATTTGATTGGGTCGAGCCTGCGGGAGGATGAGATGTATATATAGACAGAGGATAGACAAAAGCTACAGGAGTCATAGACTGTGTATACAAGAAGCCAATTTCGTATCAAAATCTTGACCTCCCCACGAGAAAGCGCGGAAGTGAATCCTTTCGGCGGGTCGGGCAAGAGTGTTCTTTGTTCGATAGGGTGTTGCACAAAGCATGTGAAGGGTGCATAAACTCAGTGACGTGTGTGCGCAAAGCAGCCAACACGAATCCATCGCGTGGATCGCGTCTGGCAGGCGCCACCACTTTACGAGCACCTGCAGCTGTCGTTTCAATTGATTGCGGAGAAGGAGATGGCGAGCCAGGATCCAAACAGTCTCGAAAGCGAGCATGGCATATCTTTATTGCATGAGAAAATACTGCAGGTGAGTGCTTGTCACAGCTACAGACCAATCTATGCGATCGGCGACCAGGATATGCAGCGAGGCGGCTAACTGCGACGTNNGCAGGAGAACAACCACTTCTCTCTGACCCAACCATCCACCAGACATGCTCACACACGCCCTCGCCATACCTCAAACACCAAGATCCAGCGGCTGAAGTCCTCGTCCACCGCTCCCGCCGCCTCAACTTTAACGGACATGGACTCGACTGACCAACAAGATGCTACGCCCTCGCTAGCCAAGCACACAGCATTCCATGGCTTTCCTCTTCCTCTCGACCTTGACGGTGACACCCAGCCAATGCCCTCGCAGTTTTACAGGAATTTCACTAGCGGTCTTGGAGAGGACGACACTCAAATCGACGACGAAATTGCCCCAGACACCGAGCAAGAGACGCCACAGATTGATTTGATGCAACACTGGGAACCGCCCACCTACCACGAGCTCTCCAGCGACGAAGACGAGGAGAAAGACGACGGTCAATACTTCTTGAGCTCCGTCGCAAGACCTACCTTTCCCAAGACTCCCGCAACTGCTGGTCGCAAGCGCAATCATCGTGGAGATGTCATACCCTCTACTACAAGCACAAAGACCCCAGGCTCAGGTGGTCTGTCGGCATTCGCTTTTGGCAATGCCCCGCCCTTGACCAGCACTCAACTGTTTCAAGCTACACAATCGCCTTCGAGTCCTGTAGCCGATGGCCCGCGAAGCGACCCAGTACTGAGTCGACCGAGCCCAAATATCAGGCAGAGTTCGCCTGGACAGAATCTAGCTTTCTCTTCGCCTTTGAAGGCTTTGCCACACAGTCCGAGTCGATCGGCCAACATGGCAGGCAAATTGAGCAGGCCGGGTACAAGAGACGGTCTNTTTCAAAACAACAATCCCATCGTGAGTGGACTGGAGAACGGAGGCGAAAATGAGTGGGAATATCATGACCGTGAAGGAGTTATCCTGGATGACCATGACCACCAAAGCCCGGGAGGCGATTCGATGGACGAGTACGATGAGTTTGCTCAGTCAATAAGATTTAGTCAACGACAAGCTTCATCCTCGCCTCAGCCCGTCCAATCCGACCAAGAGAACGACCATGTCGAGTCTTCGAGCCGCACCTCGACGCACTCTAGTCAGCACAACCCAGGTCTCGAACCGCTCAACGCCTCTGTTCCTTCGGGTCGTCAACAGAGCTCACATCAGCTGCCCACCACGCAAATGCTAGGCCGAGATGCTGAGACTTCCGACTATGCTGTTGCCGATTCACAGCCCACTCGACAAGATGAGACTCAGCTTCCGCCACCTCTGATTGAGCCTTCTTCCATGTCATCCTTTGTTCCTGGCTCCTATCCACTAAGCCAGACGACGCAGCGTTTGAACGTCTTGAAGCGTGATGCTGCAGACTCATCATCAATCCCGAAGCCTCCACCAACGACTAGCCAAGCTGCTCCTCAAACCCAGAACCGTCTACCGAGTAGTCCTCCCCAACTCCCTGCTGTGTCTGAAGAGTTCGAAGAAGAGGAGACTTTGGACATTAAGAATCAATCAAGACCGAACGAGGATCATGCAGGAGCGTCGTCTCCTTTACCAGAGACACGACCTGCTCCATCTCAGAGAACTAAGGAGCTGAGACAAGACGGCCACAAGCAAAGTTCTACTGTCCCCGATACCGATCCTGCAGATGAGGTTCGTTCTTCTAATCGCCCGCTTGTCGACGCGACACCTGTACAAAACCAGGTTCCGAACACCACCTCGAGCACTGACAACGACGCACCTCCGACTGTTGCTTCTGTCTCGCAATTTGAAAAGCACCGTGCGAGCCAGCTGCAGACTCAAAGTCAAGTCCAGAGCTCAGTGTCGAGTATTGAGAGCCCCCGCAAAGCCGCTGGTATCCTCAACTTTGCAGATATCGCCACAGATCCTACACCTCTTAATGCGCTTGGTGGTAAAGATCTAGACATGAATATCGATATATTATCGAACGAAGATCACGATTTTATGGACATCATGAAATCTCCACCCGCAAAGAAGATGCGCTTGTACGGAAAGAAAGCAAGAGGATTGGAAAAGACAAGATCAAAGGTGGACGACAAGAGTCCAGCGAAGCCGCAAGACGCGATCAAGAGTCCCGTCAAACTGGTTGCCAGGACTGTCGCCTTCCACACCGATATTGCACCAGAGCAAGAGCGGAGAGATACCTCTCAATTCGCTACCAATGCTTCAGATGCTTCTAAACAAGCCAATCAGGTAGAGCTAAAGCATACAGAGACGGCAAGCACTATCGACCCCTATTCACAATCACACGAGCCTGTCGAAACGCCACCGGAGAACTCGATTGAGGAAACATGCGAATCTACAACGAAGCAGACGGTAGCAAAACAACCAGACAGATCTGCCGACCTCGCGCGAATCGAAGCGGTTGTAGACAGAGAACAGCAGGAAGACGGCACGCATGCGCGTGAAGTCTTCCCTACTGAAGATCAAGGACAATTGACTCCGCCTTCTGCTAGGAAACGAGAGCAAGCTGGTGCTTCTGCAGTGACAAAAGCACGCGATGCAACGTTAACCCATAGATCCGTCGAAGTCAAAACTCCAGTCGCCAAGAGCAGTCCAGGAAGACTTGTGCGGCCCAAACGCAGAACGTCTGACCAGAGTCCATTGCGTACACCTATCGCTAGAAGGCAAGAAACTGGAAAGGCACCAAGGTCAAATCTTTCGCATGCGCAGCGCCTCTCACCAAGCGAATGTCCTCAGCAGGAGAGAGTAATTGCGCCAGCAGATTCTGTGCTCCAATCAGGAGCTGCTCAAGAAAGCACAACCACCACGACTGAGCAAGCAGATGTTACTGACGTGTCTATGACTGATGTTGCTTCAGAGCACAACAATGGTCATGACGAGAACAGCGAATCAAGTGCTGAAGTCACTCAACCCCATAGAGTCCTAGCTCTCTTCAAAGGTACTGGACAAGCATACTATCCAGCTACATGCCTTGGGGCAGCAACTCTCGATGGTCTCAAGCTCCGCATTCGATTTGACGACGGCACAATCACCCAGCTAGACTCCTACCTAGTACGACGACTCGACCTTCGATGTGGTGATCAGGTCAAGGTCGATCTACAAGGCATGCGTAGTAAGGTCTACGTTGTTGTGGGTTTCCAGGACAAAGTCGAGAACGTTGAGCCCGAATCTTATCCTAAGACTGATATTCATGGAATCGAGACTCTGCAACTAGTGGTCAAAGATCGCGACAGTGTGTCAGCATTGCCTCGGGCAGAAATCACAACATCGCTCAAAGTGCCAGTCACAAGCGTCTACCTTACTCAAACTATGTGGGTCCGCTTCGAGGGCAGAAACTATCTTTCTTCTACAGCAAGCATGACGACTATTGCCACTGGACACTCTTCTCGCCCGCAAACGCCTGTACCTCAGAATCCTACTCTCGCAACACCGGCCTCGCGATCCAGAAGAGGCACAGTGACTTCGATACATACCTCAACGATCACTTCAGTGCGATCATTGACACGCCCGGAGTTTGCCTCGCCACTTCCAGCCGGTCACGGGATACTCTCTGGTATGGCTTTCGCGGTATCTTACAGCGCAGACTCACCCGAAAAGAATCGCGTCCTCGAGCTTATCAAAGCCCATGGTGGCCTGACCCTAGAGAAGGGCTTCGACGAACTTTTCTCCGTCAAAGATCTTGGAGATGCTCCTGAAGAAGCACGTTCACCACCATCTTCTGCAACCAACGATACCGATGCCTTGATCCTGTCCGCTCGTGCACAGACTCTTGGCTTCGTGGCCCTGATCGCAGACAAGCATTCTCGCAGAGCAAAGTATGTCCAAGCACTTGCACTCTCTCTACCTTGTCTCTCGGGCCGCTGGATTCTCGACTCGGTCGCCTCGGCCACACCTCTATCTTGGGCCAAGTACCTCCTCCCTGCCGGAGAATCCACATTCCTTTCTGGTGCCGTTCGCAGCCGTACTCTCACACCCTACCTCCCGACTACAACCAAGCTCGCACAAACGATACAAGATCGAGAAAGACTACTTCAAGGTGGTAGAGTTCTTCTGGTCAGCGCGGGAGCAGGCGGCAGGAAATGGGAAGCAAGACGTGCTTACGCCTTCCTCACTGTCGCCTTAGGTGCAAGTGTTGTGCGCAGAGTCTCTGGCCTTGACTCTGCTAAACGCATCCTTGATGCCGAGGAAGGATGGGGATGGGTGTATGTCGAAGGCACGATCGAAGAAGCAGAGAATGCACTCTTCCGCAATGGCAGTGTTGAGGATGCATGCATAGCGAAGAAGGGACGCAAGAGAAAAAGAGAAGACGAGGGAAAGGAGAAGATGGTTGCAGTCGGGCGCGATGGCAAGGTCAGGATCGTGGGTGATGAATTCGTGGTGCAGAGTCTGATTTTGGGTGACCTGATGTTGTAAGAACAGGTATTGAATTACAGCGCGACGTTTGGGGAGTACCACAAGGAAGATTGGTCTATGAGGCCTTCGAGTGGCGTTACGAACATCAGCTGAATTACATACTTAATCAAAAATACCGTTCTGTCAACTGAGATTGCATTTCACAGGCCAATGGTCAAGTAGGTAGATGAGCACAAGCATCATGTCGACTGGCATGCCCATCGCTGAAGAATGTAGATTACTTTTTCATGAGAGGATGCGGTCCACAGAGTCAAGGTCATCTCAGATCGTCTCCATGGACACTGGTCTAGGTTGGAAACTATTGTGCATCTCTATATGTATCTGTAGGATACCAATCTCGTTCGTTGTCTCCATTCTAGATGTATCTTCTTTAGGCTGTTTGCAATGTCTGCCTTTCACTTTGCTTCTTGGGCCACTTCAACAAGCTTTTCTTCAGCTTGGGCGAGCGACTCTGGCATCTTCGAACCCTTGATCTGGCCACAGGCCTCAAAACGTTAGTATGGAATCACGATACAGAATTGACAATTAACATACTAGCNTTGCCACTCTTGGGCACTCTCATGTTCATGGTACAGGCAGAAGTCATGACAGCATGCACACTCGGGTGGATCTTCACCTCTCCAGTCATCGTTTTGGAGACTGCGAGCCTCCATAGCCTTATACAAGGAGTTGGCCAGAACGTAGTCAGGATCTGTCGCACTGTTCAAGAGACATGGATCGTTGTCATCGTGGCGTGGGTGCCAGTGAGCAACGAAACAATCCAATGCTCATTTCTGAAGGGGCGAAGATTCTGCAGTATGCTCGAGCATATATGTTGCGTCGCGGTAGCTCAACTCGAGAGCAACGTCTGGCTTGTCACCAACGTGCTTCATGACGTGACTGATGGCCGCACGATGAAGGGCCATGATGTCGACCAGATCGGCGAACAGATAGAGGTCTAGAGCGCAAAATGTAGCGTCATCATGTTCAAGAATTTCGCCGGTATAGAGCCAGGCTACGAATGATTCCAGCTCCTTGCCATGCAGATCAACTTTGGGATATGCCTTGTGTGTCTCCGAGGAGTTTCCATTGGGAGCGGCGGCATAGTAAGTAGAGAAGAAGCATAGTAGCTCTTTATGAACAAACACCGTGACGTTATCGCCCTTTGTAGATGTGAGAATGATCATCTTGCGTGACTTGGCGATGGCGATGCTGGTCAGTTGTCAACTAAGGTAGACTGTAGCGTAAGACAAGTAAAGTAGTCTTGACTTACAGAACTGCCTTCGCGGACCAAGTGTGGCTTGACCACTTGGCTGGAACCTGGGTACCTGGAAGGTTGGTAGTATCCTCCGCGGTTGGCTCAGCCGTTTCCTTGAAGTTGAGAGTAAACTTCATGTTCAGTGTGATCGAAAGAGAAGTTTCCGTCTTTCTGTCGATGTTATAGCCACGGGTCGAGGTGGAGGTGGAACAGAGTAAAACTCACATTTTTATCTGAAGTCGTCTGACTCGAGTTTTCCCATTGACTCACCCAGAGAGTAATATTCCTTGCCGCAAGCTAATGCTTTATGGAACCAGTCACGCTTTGTAGGTCTCCACGTGGGTTGAGTAAGATCGCGGAAGTATTGCCATAGTATGCTATAGAAATGCACAGCCGTCTACCAAAACAGACTTACGGCCACAAGAGTAGTTCTAGATTTTTGCTTCTCCTCAAACAATACTTTGTTTGACCAGATATCTTGCGTCTTCATAGTGAATCCTTCGGCACACGCAAGGAACAAGGCAGGGAGAGGAATTTCAACAAGAGATCTGAAGTCCAGCACATATGCTCTATGATCTACCGCACGTTGTCCAAAAAGACCATGGGGTGTAGAACGTAGATCGGGTGTTCTTCAAGTGGAAAGGAAAAAGGAAGCACCGTGTGCAGGAGTCGAATCTGCGACCTTCCGATCCAAATGAACGACTAGACAAGTGAATATCTAATGGAACCATGGTATTAAATGAATGACCAAGAATCGGATATGCTACCACTATAGCATCACGGCTTTCTACTGCTTGAAGTGGTACCAGAAGATTTTGTATATAATGGTTGGACGTTATGAGTTGATGGATTGCGGGAAGAAAGCTTGGATGAGGGTGTTTGAGCGGGCCAGCAAACCGACGGAGAAAGTGCGGCTGTGAGTCCCTGTGAATGATTATAAAAGACTTGACAGACGATTTTCGCTGTTGAAGAGGCTACTACTTTTGTAATACATCACGCTTGTCATGCAGAGAGATGGTATGCGTAAGAATTACCCATGCAAACTCAATGAGAAGAGTCAGCCTTGCGACATTGTCCCTTCAATTCATGCTATTCATTTCTGATCGATAGATAGAACTTCACTCTTGTATTTGTGAAACACCAGATGACGACATCATAACGATGAAAAAGATAGTGAACTCGAATCTTCCATCACCGTTCCTGGATGACGAAAGGGCCGCGTCGACAATATCAAGTGACAACTCCGTGACTCCTATTGTTCCGATCGGTTTACTATATCCCGATCTAGCTCCACTGTGTTCTTGTATGCAGCTGCACCCCTTGTTAGCAGTGAGACAACCTCGACCACTCCATTCCTCAGTCATGCCATAGTATACTGGTCGAGGCGAGCGATGGCTGCGAACTGAACAGAGGACGTGAATTTGAAGATTGCGGATGCTGCAATTCTGCTTGTAATTACCATCACCATCCCTCCATTGAAGAGTGGCAAGATAGTAAGCATTTCTGGTCCTGTTGTTGATCCTCATACTGACATCTGATAGCTTGTGGAAGAATCAGGGGCACACCCAAACCTTTGCTCGATACTTGGGTAAAGTCCTTCCCAGAATCAACGAGCCTGCTGCCAACACTTGCTCAGAAATGTCTATTTCATCAAGGGTTTTGGCAATCGATGACTCTGATCTTTAAATGACTTGGAGAAAGTGATCGGTTGGATAACTGCTTGGAGGAAGGATTTGGAGTTTGGAAAAGGGAAAGGACGATTCAAAAGGTTCATTTTGTTTGGAAAGAGCCGTCCTCATGCAGGTGATTAGCACTTTCCAACGACGCTCAACTCGCACAGCGCAAGATAGGAACGAGCTCCAGATCGCGGCTGCCTAAGCCTGTTCTCTTGACCAGTGAGCCATGATTCCGATAGATACTTTCTATTCGAAGGCAATCCTCAGGAAACAACACAAGGTACTATCTACACAACTGTTTTGACGTCCCTCCTCCATGGAATAGACTACTGCTACGCTTGCTCAAGAAAGCATACCTAAACTCAGTTGACGCGATGGTTCTCGACGTACCGTATGTCTTCTTGATTTTGTCGTCCGACGACGAGAGTACTCTCTAACTCCTGCTATTCCTGATCAATCAACGACATTACAGTCCGACTGAAACTACTTGCGTGTTGACGTATTTCCCTCCGCATGCACAGCAGGAAGCCACAATCTCACCTTCGAGCCCTCTCCGACACTGATATGTAGTGTTATCATAAGCTATGGAAAGGCAAAGTCGCTTTATGAGTAGAAGTATGGCCATGGAGATGCCTGAATACAATGTTCTCTCCGCGGATAATGCTCTGTTATGGATAGTATCGTGTATCTCCACAAGTGCACTGTGACTGTCTATCACACACGGGGAGGTTGTTGTTCGTCGATAGTTGAACTTCAAACACGATTACTGGGTCGACGTCGACGACGGTATCAGGCCAGCTTCCTCCACTATCCCGGATCTGTCGACGACATCATAGTGTAACTGAGGTCTTTCAAGAGCAGAAGTTCACTTGTTGTCGTCGACTGTCGACCAAAGCCTTCCGTTTGTTACCGCACTATCTTCTCTCGGCACACCACAACTTCTCCGCGTACTACTCTTCCGGCACACAGTCGATTGTTCAATATACTTCATCCACGACAGCTCCCACTTTGTCCCTTTCAAATCACCACTTCACCTGCCTCGTCAACATGGACCTCCCTCAGTGGTCAAGCAACACCTGGGATTCAGGTTCTGTATTGTAAGTTTGGTCCTTGTCTTTGCTGCACACAGAAGCTAATCACGTTGCCCAGCGACATCCTCGAGAAGTCGTTCAAAACCATCCAGCTTAAGTCGTACGACGGCACCACAGTCCATGTGAACAAGGCCCTACTCGTCTTCTTCTCAAAGTACTACAGAGCAGCGCTCACCAGAAACTTCTCGGAAGCGAACAAAAATATCTTCGACGTCGAGCTGTCCGGCGAGCACCTCAAGCTCTTCACGACCTGGCTGCACAGCGGCAAGATCGAAGAACCAGTTGCCCCAAAAGGCGTGTGTGTATGCGAGACCTATGTGCGTCTGTACATCTTCGCAGAACAGACAGAAATCCTAGCACTGCGCCGCAAAGTCATCGGCTATCTCGCATCTGCACCACTGCCCAAGTACGACACGGTTGCTCTCATCCTCGCGAATCAGCCAGAAAGTTCTCCTTTGAGAAAGCATGTGTTGAGATCCTACATCAACCACTGGACCCCCGAGGGCGATACCGAAGATAATTACCTCGAGTCGGTAGAGCGAGACACCGAGGGCGTGCTTCCTGGCTTTATGTACAAACTCTTGGTGGGCGTGGCAAACCGCGAAGAAGTTGACCCAAAACGCTGTGCTTGTTGCCACCGCCAGTGCAGATACCATGAGCACGAGAGTACTGAAGAGGTGAATGAGAGTATGTTGACACGGCTCGCCCGATCGCGCAATTCTTGCTGATGTTTAAACAGCTTGTGGTCGAGCTCTCCACTATAAATCAGACTCACGCCTCTTCAAAGACACCGACGAAGACGAATGAGGCAGAGATCGCAATCAGGACGAGGAGCTGGTAATGAACGAGATCCAATCACCATTTTGCCAAGCCAACATCAGTCTCTCTCCCTGCATCACAAGCTAGGTAGTCTCGCTTGATTCGGAAAAGTGAGGTCCATGATTGGTGTCAAAAGGACCTGGAAAGATGGACATCATTTCAAAGATTCAAAGGGCTACGAATAATCCCGGCCATGTCGTTTTCTTCTCGCTTCATATTCTCACTTTGAGAAGAGCCAAGAACTATGTACCCAACTATGCAGACCCTCCACTTTCATCAAACCATTGTTGATCTGACCTCCTACTCAAGTACCACTCTTGGTGAAATACTGTCTCTCGGGTTTTCGTGACTTTGGAAGCTGACCGCAAGCTATATCTCACTAATTAGCCAATAGCAAAGATGAAAAGAATTGATGACACATACTCGCAAACCACTCTTGCTCAGATTCATGCTCATGGAAGTGGCACACATTGGTGCAACAAGAACAACCCGAATGTCTGTTGGCCTTTGCTCGATTTTCGCTTTCCACAACCTCACGGAAGAACTCGCGGTGGACCGTGATATCCAAAGCACCGATAGAGTCATATCTATCGTCCTCAGGCTTCCAGTGATTTGCATAGTAATCGACAATGCGTCTGCGTAACGACGAACTGCTTGGAAGATGCAAAAACACCAAGCCCACTTCGCGATATCTCTCCATTCTTCCCTTTTCAGTCATGATCTGACGACGGAGAGCCAGAATGTCCACCAGGTCTGCGAATATGTAGAGCTTGACACGATCCTCTCGTTCCCAGCTGTGAAGGTCGAGTCGCCCGGTGTGGATCCAGTTTTTAAAGACATGGAGTTGCTTGCTGGAGAGTTCGACGTGGAAGATCTGCTGACTGGTTTCGGCGAAGCCGCCTTTCAAAGCTGCAGCGTAGTAAGGAGAGAAGTAGCATAGTAGTTCTTTGTTGACAGATTGCACTGCACCGTGGGTGGATCGAAGCTGTATCGTAGCGGAAGACTTATTCTTGATATCGCTTGATCGTGTTAGCAAAGCATACACCGACGATACTTCGAACAAAGCTTACTCCACAATATGTTTAGACCACATATTTCGCACCCAGTCATCTTGTTGTTTCATGCTGGTAGGGTTTTGGGGCTGGGGGTTCATCAGCAGGTTGGGCGGAATGATTTAGGCAAGCGTCGCAATGCAATCTTGTGTAGTCGAGACTTGGAAGTATAGAGGCCGAAGAAGAATTCACGATGGAGGAACGATCACATGCTATAAGCCGATTTCACAAGACCATGGGTGTCGACCTGACCGCGTGAACGTGTTGGTCAATGTCTCGTTTCGCTTTGTTCATATGTCGCAGGTTCGGGCAGTAGTTTTGCGGAGTCGAGGGTATCTCACTCAGACGAAACCAACGGGCTTTGTCTCCAAAGGTCGGAAAGGTTGATGTCTTGTGGACATAGAACAGGAACGACTGGCATACGAAACACAGCCGTGGTCCAGATTGAATACTGGATTTCTGATGAGATTTGAAGTCTCCTAGTCGGGACGTGATTGCCATTGTCGACTACATTATAAGATCTCGAGATCGACTCGTCCTTGGAGCGTGGTTTACGGTTGTTTATAATTCGTTGAACCAGGGAATAGCAGCCATGGCTCCAGCTTTCTCCACAGTACGCGCTGCGGCTGAGTTTGCGAATTCGATCATCTTCTCGGGCGCTTCAGGAGTCTTGCCTCCGTTCTTTGCAATCTCGACGGCGAGCCCTCCGACAAATGTGTCACCAGCAGCGGTGGTGTCGACAACCTTCGCCTTGCGACCAGGTGTGTGCCCTGAGGTTCTCGACTTAGCAGAGTGATACACGCNCCTAGTATGTGTCAGCGAGGATTACCAAAACGATCCTGATTTTCCTACCTTGGCTCCCAGAGTAACAACAACCATGTCGGGAACACCACGTTTGAAGAAGGCTTCGCAGATCTCTGGCAGATCCTCGTCCTTCAGCTCTTCTTTGGCTTCGCGGAGAATGTCGGCTTCGCTCTCATTCATGATCAGGCAGTCAATGTACTGATATATATCCTCGGGCAACTTTTGTGCGGGTGCTGGGTTCATAATAACNNCTGATTGAACGTCAGCATGTGTTAATAATTTGACATGGAACGATCATACGTATTTGCCCTTGGAGTGTGCAAGCTTGATGTTGTGCACAACTTGAGTAAGAGGCATCTCCAATTGGAAGACTACAACGTCTGCATCCTCAGGTACCAGATCCTTGGCTTCTCCGGCTCCGGAAAAGTTGGCGTTCGGGCAGAAGAGGATTCGATTCTCTCCAGTCTTCTCTTCAACGATGATGTTGGCAATTCCCGTCTTTTGGCCAACAACCTTTTGGATATGAGTAGTATCGATGAAGGTATCCTTCATGGCAGAAACGAAGTCTGAACCAAACGAATCTTCGCCAACAAAGCCGACCATGCTGACCTTGATAGGTGTGCTGTCGGCTGGCGTTGAGCCATCACTGTTGCGTGATAATCTAGCACATGCTACTGCTTGGTTTGCACCCTTGCCGCCAAAGCCAGTATCCGAAGAGCTGGCTTCGAGCGTTTCACCTCCAGCTGGCACGCGAGGAGTGCGGGTGATGAAGTCAATGTTCAGAGAACCAATCACAGCAATAGAGCCCGGCATTCTTGCAATTTGTCTGTTAGTACTATCGTAATGGGTGTGTGAGAGATTCTTCGAGTGATGCCACGTGTGAAGGAAATGTTGTTCGTCTATAGAGATGGCTTCTCGAAAAGGAAGGAAGGCCGAGCAGAAACAGCTGCGTACGCCAAGACCGAGGCACGTCTCCAGCTCCTTTGACCTTGACACCTTCACTGTCCATCTTTGTTACAAGTACGAGAGCATATCTTAACTTAGAGATACCAAGATGCTCCTCCTTGGTCTGACCGGCAGTATTGCGACTGGCAAGTCGACCGTCTCGAGAATACTGTCAGCGCATCCATACTCGCTCCCCATTGTCGACGCCGATCAGATTGCACGTCAGGTCGTCGAACCAGGAACAGCCGGTTATAGCAAAATCGTCTCACACTTCGGACCATCAACGCCCGACCTCCTGCTCCCGGCAGACCCCTCTACAGGTGGTGAAGATGGACCCAACGGCAAAGGCAGACCGCTCAACCGGCCAGCGCTAGGACGTCGGGTGTTTGGTGAGGGGAAAGAGTCGGATAGGAAGGTTCTCAACAGCATCGTGCACCCGGCTGTGCGTCGCGAAATGTACAAGCAGATGATCCAAGCATACCTCAAGGGTCACTGGGCTTGCGTCTTGGACATACCCTTGCTCTTTGAGAGTGGTTGGGAGCCGCTCTGTGGAACCATCATGGTGGTCGCGGTCAAAGACGCTCAAATCCAGATGCAGAGACTACTCGCCCGAGACGCACATCTGACCGAAGAGGATGCACGGAACAGAGTTGCGAGTCAATGGGATGTCAGGGACAAGGCTGCCAGATGTCTGCGTAGAGGAGAGAAGGCCGGAGTCGTTGTCTGGAACGACGGCGATCAGGAAGAGCTCAAGCGTGAGATTGATAGAGTCATGGAAGTCGTCAGGACAGGTTCCCCGGCTTGGTGGTCGTGGTTGCTCTTGCTCTGTCCGCCGCTGGCTGTTGCCTCCGGAACCTGGAGCTATCTCAACGGCATGTGGGTGAAGAGAAACTGGGAGAACGAGAAACTGAGAGAAAAGGCAAAGCTGTGATTCCCTTTTCATCAATCGTCACAAATACCCTACACGCCCTGATATCCTAATGAGTTTCGGAAGTTTGCATTTGCTTTGTTGACGCGCTTCACATTGTGTGTTGGGCACTTTCCACTTTTGTCACTTACACAAGTCAACTTTCCAAATCGCGTGATCGATTGCACCTTCCATGATTCGTGCCTTCTTTCCATCAACTCGACCTTAGCATTCTCGGCCAAACACGACCAACATGACTGGCAGCATCCAGGGTTCTGCAATTGACGATGGGTTCGAAACTCTCACCAACCCACCGGACGCCTGGGTTACTGGTCGCTACGCGATACCGCCTCCAGTCGACTATCAGCATTATGTCGAGCCTGGAGATGCGCGCAGCGCTGTTGACGACCGGTGCTTTACCGAATACGGAGCGGTTGAACATGCCCATCATGTCAACAAGACGATTAAGCCAGCAAAACCCGAACAGAAGCGCCACCGATCTCGCCAGATATCAACCAAGTCGGCGTCTCATGGCAAGCGCCGCCCTTCGCCTTCCTTCCGCATCCGTAGCAAAGACGGTGACAGTGTTGTTGTGAGCAATCCCTTCGTGTTGCGCAAGCCATCTCGCTCTCAGCCTCGCCCAGAATCAGAGCAGTCCTCCCAAACAGACGATCAAAGTCAACACTCTTCGACAACAATCTCTCGCTCTCGCGCCTTCCAGATCCGCATCAGAGGCAAGAATGGTGAGGAAGCTATACATGAAATCAAGAGGCCATTGCACTTCGCTTCCCAGTCACAAGGAACGACGCTTGTTGGAGATGAGTCGGGTCGCGAAGATGTGAAATATTGGTCTGCCAATCAATCGTCCTCTAGTCACAAACGCGACCAGAAGCACAACTCCAAATGTATGCACCATCCAATACGACCCCATGAGCACAGCACTGATAAGCCACCTATAGCAGGACTCGCAACTTTTACCGACTTCGTTGTGGACTTGACCACAGTGGCCTCATCAATGGCTGGGAGCACCGTCAGAATGTCCGGAGCTCTCCCAAATCCTTCTCCTGCCCCCACCACAGATACATCAAGATCGCGTCTGCTGCCTCCGGAGAGGCCCGCCAGCTCTATGCATGATTCGGTCATGTCTGTCAGCAGGTATCCAAGTAAGAGTCCATCTCGCTCTATCTCTGACCATTCCAAGGTCTCATCATCAAAGCGCTCAGCCCGTGCTTCTTCACACAATGAGATTATTGTAGTTCCAGATGAATCCTTGGATGGTTCAGTGACAACTCCGTTCACATCCCTCTCGACTCATTGCATTGTATCATCCCGGCCCTTATCTCCAAGTTCAATTGCCGAGCCCGAAGCAAACGATGCAGCTAGCATCTCCGATCTCATCACGTCCCAAGGCTCTTCCAACAAGATCGTCGACAAGAAATCATTCAGCGCATCGTCCGCCCCTCCGTCAGCATCTTCTCGCATGTCTTCGAAACGTGTCGTCACTTTAGCTGAGTCCTCAGTGCAGGCACAGGAAGTTCTGGACGACTCACGACCTGCTACCGTGTCACTCAGCAAGCATAGAGAGAAGAAGCAGGAGGCGTATTACAACTGGAAGGTTCCAAAAGACTCTTTGTATTCGATCTCGACAAAAGACTCAAAGCCTTCAGTTCACCGTCAAGAGTCGATTGCTCGAGAAAAACTGAGTCGNCTCTCATTCAGAAATACCAGTCACTCTGGTGGCGTCACACAGCACAATGCAGACGCAGCAAGCTGTACATCATCCCTGACCCGCCCTGAAGCTCGACAAGCATTACCTCAAGGATATCAACCACCTCCACGCTCGCTATCAACACAATCATCCAGCGCCAGAGAGACCACTGTTGGCTGGATGCAGGAGACGGCTCACTGTGTACCACTGCCTTCATCACGCTTGGCTTCGTCCGAACCGAAGACAAGACGATCATCATCAACCTCTAATCGACAGTCTACTCGCGTGGCATCACAAAAGTCGGTACAAGACGACCAAGCCTGGAACAAGCCTCTTTCGGCCGCAGCAGCCTCTGGGTGGACGACTAGCAAGCACTCTGGACGCTCCTCCACTGACCGAATGGGCCAAGAAGCTGGCGCATGGGATGAAGCTCCAGCATGGGAAGAACCGATTGCCTCGTCAGATCGCTCGAAGACATCACGAACATCGAAATCATATCGAAGCCAATCACACAAATCTATATCTTCTCACCATAGTGCCTTCGAAACCACCGAAGAAGCAGACAACGAGCAAGCATCATGGGCCGGACATGAGGAAGGCTCCAAGAGATCGTCCAGGTCAACACCACCAATCAACATCGGAGAGGACTTACTCTATTACCTCCCTCCACTCTCTGATAACGAACGACTACCACCACCGATGCCGATGCTTACTACCATCTACGAAGTATCAGAACCTGCGCCGTCGAACCATTCACCAAGCATGTTTACACAGGAAACTACACACTTCGCAAGACCAGGCGCAATATCACCTCATCCCTTGAGCTCTGTTTCTTCAGCAGCAACAGCACGAAAGCCACCAACCATTGAACTGCACCAACTCGAGTATCAGAAGCCATATGTGGAAAGCAAGTCAAGCTCAAGTGCCTCTTCGGGTGCACATGATAATAGTCGTCTTAGCAGTCGAAGCTCAAGACCGAGTATGTTGGAGGAACGAGCACATCACTCGTCAAAAGAAGCCGATCGTAGCCGTGGCAGTAGAGAAGAAGTATCAGGAAGTGCACAGTCGTCAAGGAAAAGCCCTGCTCCAACAAAGGCGTCAGGCGGAGGATGGAAATTTTGGTAAAGGAGGGTTTCTTTTTGGACTGATGATTACCGATGGTTACTTTCTTCTTGATTCTGCTAGCTAGTTTTGAGAGTGGTCTGCTCGGCGCGTACGACATGGATTTAAAAGTCTTTCTTTTCTCAGCAACATGATCTGGTCCTAGTGCTGATTTCGTGTGTGCAGCCATGAAGATCAATGCACTCCAATCGAAAATGCAAAATCATCAGCTCTAAGGGATAGGCTGACAAAAGACCTAAAGATATAACCAGTACCGAGGACTATCTGAGAAGAAGGTGTAGTTCATGTGATATCGTCGTGCTGTAGTCTAGAACGAGAATGAAGTGGCATGTTTGCTACTAGGTCAGGGTTGTATAGCAAGCATGCGGTGATGGTCGCCATGACGAAGCCGGAAGTCCGGCGCGCATCTTGATCTCTGACAGCACAATCAACAATGTGATGAGCGCGCAATTCCCTACACGACCGATATCAAGACTCACAGGGCACAATGGTGTGTACCCCTTGCGCTCTCCACAACAACCCTAGCTAACGCGCGCATACNNAGGCCAAGTGCTCGCCCTCTGCTACAGCGCCGGATCAGGCCAATACGTACGTCCCGACACACCTACCTACCACACCACACACGCCTGACCACCGCTCTAGCTCCTGACCGGCAGCACCGACCGCCACATCCGCCTCTTCAACCCCGCCACCGGCCTCGAAGTCCAGAAATACAGCGCCCACGGCTACGAAGTGCACGATTTGAGCGTCGCGCAAGACAACGATCGCTTCATCAGTGTTGGCGGCGACAAGACTGTATTTCTGTGGGATGTGGCTACGCATCAAACGCTGAGAAGATGGAGTGGGCATGCGGGACGCATCAATGCTTGTGCGTTTGCTGGGGAAGGGGATGCTTTGGTTGTGACGGGGAGTTTTGATTCGACGGTCAAGATTTGGGATTGTAAGCAGAGAGGGGAGAAACCCATCATGTCGCTTTCAGAGGCTAGGGATGCTGTTTCGTCTATTTCTGTGTCTGGAGCTGAGATTTTGGCGGGTAGTGTGGATGGCAGGGTTAGGTGTTATGATGTGAGGATGGGAGTTGTTGATCAGGATGTTCTTGGTCATCCTGTTACGTCTGTTACGCCTACTGTCAACAATGACTCCTATCTCGCCAGCACCTTGGACTCGACGTTGCGGCTCATGGACAAGAGAGACGGCAAGCTACTCCAAGCTTTCCGACACGCCGACTTCAAGAACGAAAACTACAGACTACGCTCTACACTGGCTGCGGCAGACAGTCTTGCCATTTCTGGCTCAGAGGACGGACACATTTACGTCTGGGATCTGTTGACTGGCAATTTGGTTCACAAGCTCAAGCACTCTGCTCCAGCCCTCACGGACGGCACCAAGACTTTTGTTTCCATGTCTTCAAAGAGAGAGGTGGTAAACTCTGTGGTGTGGAATCAACTGAGAAAGGAATGGGCCAGTGCTGGTGGAGATGGCAGTGTTGTCGTTTGGGGAACTGGATAAGATTATAAAGCATAATCTACTTTGTCCTCCATGCACAAATGTCTGTATCCATCTCTTCTACCTAGTCTATCTGAGCCCTCTTGTCCCTACTTGCTAGTTACGCACTACTTAAATTTGCTGTGTTCCCCGAGTCATTTCCCTCCCCAAGTCGCAAACTCTAAATCAGCAATTGCGCAACTGCCTATTCAAGCCTGGTCCTTTACGCAACAATATAACCTGTTATACATGAATCCCTCGATCCTGCCCTCGGCAGAATTGCCCTAGTAGGGCATTCAACCCGACACAATGGGCTGTTTTCTTACTTTGTTTGCTTTGTGCAGTGAGCGTGCGCAAATAAAGCGAATAGCCGGACTACCCTGCTCTCGCTACTAAGCCAGCTGTGGAGCAATTGCATGATTGACATGCTCTACCGCCCTTATACATACCCGGTGGTTAGGCAGGCCAATCAGTGTGATTGCGGAGCGCTTGTTGTGCTTGCTTCATTTAACAGTACAGTCCCATGTAATTGGCAATACGAAATCCGTGCATTTCTGTGACTATCTTTGAGAGCATTGAAGATGAGGTGTTTCTTGTCGATTTTCGACGGATTGAAGAGTGCAAGATTTCATGTGGTGATTCTAGGGCTTGGGTTGTCTCGTCAGGCACACTTTCAAGGAATGTCCGAGACGATAGACCCCCTTTTCTGCTTCTACGTGCGTATTGTACCGTACTTCGAAGATCTTCGAACGGCTAGTTTGCTGCATCAGGATGCCATCTAGTCAGCTCGGTAGGCGCGGCTAGCCGATGCAGCTTTGTCACTTCATCCTTTGGAAACACTCAACCATTACCGGGCGAACACGTTTCTGGGATGCATCGTAATCCTTCGCCAGAGTATAGGGAGAGACAGTACAGTGCATTGGCGAACGGTGTTGATTTTGACGGAGATGTGCCTACTCCTGACGGATGGATTCTTGCAGAAGAATCTTGAAGATAGATAGTCGCGGAATGAAATCCGCGGAGTAAACTCCTTATGTCATCGGCAGAACCGACCTGCATCGGCGGTTCGTTGCAAAAGAAAGACAACGAAGAGATGTGTGTACGTATCATGTGGTTGCCACGAGGGTTGCAAAACGCTTGGAACTGCTTCGCTTGAAGTGAGCCCCGCCGCGGAGGCCTTGTCGAATTGGGGGAAATCCGACAATATTCTGGTCATTATTCATGTTGCTTTGAGAAACATTATTCGGAGAAAGGTCGCCGGCAAAAGGTGCGGCGGAGGCACGGCCCGTTCGAGGTCGGCGAGCATATCTTGTCAAGCCAAAACTCAAACCGGGGCAAGGAGACAAAACTGTGGGACGCCACTTACTTTTGCCGTTGTGTGTTTTGTCTCTTGTGCCCCTCCCGGCGGTGCCTTTTTCTTTGGGTCGCCTACTGCCGGACAGGTTTCAACGCTTTTTGCGGTTGCCTGCTGCACGCACGCTGCAAACGGACAAGCTGATGGAAAACGAGAGAGGCGGACAGCCGTGTAAGAGCGCGTCGAGCGGGCCGGTTTTCTGCAACCTCCTAGCGGATTTAACAGAAATGTGGGTTGAACTTGGATGGCGAGCATCTCCGCGACTGTTGACTCGAGTCGCCGATCGGTGCGTTTGCCGGGCTTATAGGGATTGGCAATATTCGTGTCGTAGAACAAGACGAGGCTGTTATCCCCGAGATCATCCCAAGACAATTCAAATCTGGTGGGAATGGTGGGTGGTGGGGGCTTGCTTGTCAATCTCTTTCTAGATGCATGTCGACACGCGAGTGTGCATGCTCCTTTTCGAAGAAACAAGGCGCGCTGCAGTCGAAGATGCGCATCATCTGCGTTGTTGGTGTTATGCTGCTTCTTTGCTCGCCTGTCCAGTGTCCACACATGTCCGGCCATGCGCACTGTCCAGTGTCGGGGTTTTATTGGATCGCAATCGGTGATGCGACCTCCCTACCTGGCTCCCTACTCGGTGCCATTAAAAGCACAGCATGTCTGACAAGACTCATAACGCCCAGCCTTTAGGAACTCTCGTGTAGGTGCTAGTCAAACGGTACATGCTCACTGATTCGCATGCCGAGCCAGGTAGTTTCCCCCATGTCCAGGGAGGTCGCACCTTCCCCATGCCGAGTAAAAAGCAGTCATGGGTGCATTTCCCGTTCTGGGTCGGCCACAATGCTGACAGTGAGGAGCTGGCTCCTTGAATAAGAAGCGGGCTCGGCGTGTGTCTTACATACCCTTGCACTGCATACAAGTCGTGCCGACATCGACGTGTGACCTTGCTGCACATCTATCAAGTGAAAAGGGTCGGTTGCACTCTGAACCAAGGTTCATGCAATGCAGCCTCGGTAGTTAGGGTTTCAGTCCCCCGGCTTTTGAATATACTTGGGTACCTACTGTGTCTGAACCAGAAAAGAATACCTAACCTTGCTTGCAGCCCTTTTCTGCTGAGGCAGAAGTAGGGCCACGACTCGCGACAAGCTAGCCAGGCCGAGCATCACTAATTGATTGCCTGTCGCCCCAGCTTGCCGACTCAACCACCATGGTGCAACGATAGTGGTCGTATTCGTTCAAGCAACTGCGGAACCGACGCGCGATGCTCGAGTGACCTGTGGCATAACACATCCGCGATGTGGAACAAACTCCCTTCAAGAATCCGTGTCAATTAATGGTCGTTTCAAAGCGTCGCTCATCTAAGAAGTCTAATAACTCGTATATCCATCAACGACCCTCTCTCAGCGCCTTGAAGTAGACGGCAGGAGATGTTCCATAGCACACATCTTGCTGCAACGTGAAAACCTGCTCCATGGGTTCGCTGATCCTCCAGCAATTCTCGTTTCCTCCAGCATTGGTTGCCCGAGGCGCTGCTACCACGGCCGTTGCCTCGAAGCTCTCGGCAGCTCGGACTTCCATGAGTGCCATCCTTTTGCTGGTCTGTTTGGCCTGTATTCTTGCGCTGGCGCAAAATTGTGCAAGATCGTGTAGAGTCGCTATACTGTCGTTGATGAGCCTCATGATGTGCCCAAAGTCTTCCATCTGGCCTCCAGCACTGAGTGTGTCGATAGCTGCAGTTATGCCATAGGCAAAGAAAGGAGACAGCAAATTAATCGGATCCTGACCCTTGCCTGATCCTTGAGGTTTCGTGCTTCGGACGTCGCAGACCATTTCGAGCAACTGGACAGCGTTTGTATGCGCGAGTCGAATTTGCCGCGAAGTCGTGTGGGGTGACAGAAGCTCATGGTGCGCATTGCGTGCTGCCTTCAACTCTGAGATGTGATACAAAGCATGCATAGCAATAAGACTGCCAGCATATCCATGCTGGGTAGCCTCGACAAGTCTTTGTCGGCTGTATTGCAGATGAGGCGGTAGTGACGTTCTCCAATCGAAGAGCTTGGCCTGGACGTCGCCCAATAAAGACTCGTGGCTCTTAATATAAGAACCCGAATCTGCAGTCTGTCGAGGTCGGCGGAAGATGAGTTTGGTCACATCGGTCCAGAGAGAAGCCATGATCATGATGTATGCCGCCGGACTTGGTGTGCTCATCTTTGGATCCAATGATTGCAGGCCCATGCCTGGTTGGTAACAATCAAAGAGTGGTGCATCCGAAGCCAACCCTTCTTCATAGATCTGCTCGTTGCAAGGTAGTCGAAGCTGAATGTCCTCAAGTTGTATGGCGCAAAGCAGTCCTCCACAAAATCCATGGTATCNGCTAGAAAACGTCAGTGTACGTGCTTGTTTTGAAGTTTGGTGGACACTCACATCCACAAGGAAACCAGTCCAGAAGGTCCGCCTGCGACACTCTCTAAGTTGCTCACGCGAAAAACTGAAGTATCGTCGCGTGAACTCGTCCAGATCCTCTCCACATCCCTCTTCGCTATTCAAACGCATCGCGCTGATGACTCTGAGAGCGGAGCCGCTCAAATCCCAACCCGTACTGTCTCTGCCGAGAAGGTGGTTGTATCCAGCTACAAGCAGTCGAGCCTGGACTATAGCCAAGCTGAACTTTCCATCAATACGGGATACTGCCTGACCAGCCCTGTCCGCACAGGTTTTAGCGAAGGAGGAGAACTCGTTCTCGGCAAAGATGGAACCCATGGCAAGGACGGCATATAGTACCATGCATTCTCGCTGACACTTGTCGCGAGACTGTCGCACCCAGCGAGTGAAAGTACCGCGAGGGAACATTATGCTTACCTCGCGGGCGGATTGTGCAAAGAATAGTTCAAGGAAACGCATGGTTGCTTCAGGGTCGTAGAGATAAGGGTCTTGGTCCCAGGAAGAAGGCTCTATCTTCTCGGGTCGAGGGGCGGGATGAATCATGTCCTCAAGGTCAACTCTTTTGCTGTCCTTGCGCTGTCTTTCAGGTCCATCGAGCGAGGATGCAGAGCCATCAGACTTGCGTCTTTTGAGACTTTGCGGCGATTTCTCGCGATTCCATGTCGGTGGTAGATTCAACACGTCTTGTTGTGCTGCCTGTGCTGAACGCCTACGCTTCTGATTTGGCACTTCGGCCATGACGATGCTGCCGGAAGATTGACTAGACCACTCAGCTCGTCCTAGGGNGAGATTAGGAATAGCCAACGTCGTATTGTTGACATGTTCGACTTGTGATTGAGGAGCTGGTGGCCTGCTTTCACTTCTTAGTAGACAGTCGGCGGCTGGTTTTGGAGACGCAAACCTGTGGCATTCTCGCTTGGCCTTTTCGCATTGGAGGCAGCTCTTCTCGCCAGGCTCACATTTGATCTTCTTCTCGCGGCAATTNNTCTGGGGTTTGGTCAGTCGCTGCTTATTTGAAAGGTCGTTCTGTTCAACCTACAGGCATGCCTGGGCAAGTCTTTNTCGAGCCTTGCCTGCCTTGGTCGTTCCCCAAAGTGGATTTACTGGTTCTCCATCGATGATGGTTGGACAAGTACTGCCATCCTTGAATACGTAGCACATGCCCTCTCCAGGGATATGCCGCTGACCTACGCACTGTAGGCTGTAATTGCTGGCTGGCGGTGCATTTAGCATCCCTTGAGTTGCATTCAGACGTCTAGCTATATCGCCCTCCGTGTCTCCATGGTAGGGAGAAGCTGCCTGTGACTGAGGTGGCCCCATAGCATCCACGCCTTGCGTAGGTTGGCACGGTGGCTCCGGCCCGTGCGGGCTTGGAAAGTCCGAGAATCTGCGGAGTGGAGGAGGGGCAGGTAAAGAAGGCCTGGCACCAAGGGGGACATTTGATGCAGGCTGAGAAAAGCGATCAGCTGTAGAGACGTCCAGAGAAAGGCGATGGAACGGCGGTGGAGTAGGATTAATTGGGAGTGATAAAACTTGCGGTGGCCTGTGTTGACCGCTAGAGGAAGAGCCATGACCGTCCGACCAGCTGGACTGTGAGTTGTTGACTGATGGCCAATTGGGCGTGTATGATGGCGGACCAGTCCTTAGTGGTGGACTCAAGAGTTCTTGAAGACCAGGAAGTTGTTGGCGTGGCTGGTTTGGATCATTGATCCTAGCGGGCAAGTACGGCCTCGGTGCACTGCCCATGCTGGCGGGCTCCATTGGCCTCAAAGACTCTGCTTGCACCATGGAAGGCCTGCGCGGAATGTCGTCAAGCGTCCATGGTTGCAGTTGTCGTGAAGGCGTGAAAGCCGAGGGGCGGTCTTGCATTGATGGCATGTTGGATTGAAGGACAGATGGTCATGGGAAATAGGGCAAGGTGTATGTATGTGAGGGCGGAATACGTGCGAAGCTTAGGATCGCGGCCGAGCTTGGGGCTAAGAACGAAGATAGGGAGCAACGGTGACAATGAAATAATACCGTGCGCGAGAAGCCGGTGTGAAATAGCCGGAGCTGACTTTAAGAGGACATGCGCCACCTGGGAGATTAAAGTTTGCGGGACCAAACAACCGATAGGGACAAGTTCGCTAGACGGGAGTGATGCTGATCTCTCGCCTGGTGTGGAGAGGGTTTAGATCCTTCAGATGCAGGATCAAAAACCAAGACCGTACCGACCGATCCGCAGATGGTGAGATCAGGGCACACCGCGTGCTCGATCTGTGTCTCTCCTCGCCGTCTGAGAGCAATAATTGCCTCCGAGAAATGATTGTATAAAAGCGAGCATGCGAAATATAGATGTGCAATTATTCCCGACCAATACTTGCAAGAAGTGACGGGCCGGATGTCGTCTTTTTGTACCGGACCAGGGTTAATCAAAATTTCGACGACGCCGGCAACAAACTTTGGGGCAGGTACAGCGAGCGGTTCTCTTTTCCGGCTCACAACAACGGATCCTGGTATGACTGTCAGGCAGTTGGTGATACTCCCGAGACCGATCGAACAAACGCCTCACGCGGGTCTAAAAAGCCAATGATCTCGATCGGTCCCGTATCTCGAATACAAGATCTGGGTAGGAAATTCAAAGCGACCACGTCCACGAATGGGCAGTCTAGTCAGCAAGTCTGCCAAAGCCACGACCTGAGGGACCAAATCTGCGGCAGCACATTTCCTACAGACAGGGCAAGAGAAGTCGTCGGACGAGTCAGTTTCTAACACCAGCGCCGCCGGCCAGCATCCGAATAGGTAAAACGCCCTTTCCGTGTCGCGCCTCCACACTATTCGAAATCCTCTCTCCACTTGGCTCATCAGAGACAAGATATAAAGCGAAGTAGTCACCGAGCCGGATGGCTTGCATGTGGCTCTCTCTGCAGACCGCCAACCCTCGTCACTGCTGATGTGGTCCCGCGAGGACTTCTGTTCTAGACCATGGTCCATCTACTAATCAAGTCGTGTCAGTCGGTCCACACATGCATTCCAGTCAAGCGAGAGGAGTAGCATGCGCAGACATTTGCCCTAAGTCAGACAGCCTATTGTATCACCCTCTCGTCAACCGAGTGATTGCGCGCAAACGAGCTTCATTGAACAGTTGACAAGCCCAATATCGTCCACCTCATCACATGGCGATCGAGTTGGTACATCTTTTGTCGGTCTTGGCGTATCACAGGCACGGGATAAGCTTCGATGCATCTGCTCAAGAGTGTCGACAGCTCTCTTCCATCAAGATGTGCATCTTTGCACGGTGGCTAAGGAAATAGGAGTGGTGCAGCGCGGAGACGGGCAATATACCGCTTCAACGATGTGACAGTCCCAGATTGCAGTACTGAAAGGTTTCAAGAAATTGTCTTGGTGGGTTACTACAATCGTCCTGCATGGTCAGTGGAGATGCTCTCCTCCTTTTAGTTGCAATAACACATGTCCCGGAGGTTCACCCTGCCGATGTCTCGTCGAAACCCTCGATGGCATTCGGTATTCTATCTACTGTTATAGGATTCCTCTTAAGGCGCGAATTACCGATCGACATGCGTGATCCGCCAAGCTGACCAGTTGTTGTCGCAAAACAGCAACCTGTACGTGCGTACCGCATCTATTAGAGTTAGCTAGCGGGGTTAGATGTACATGCGAGTCTGTGACGGATCCGCACCAAGCCTCACGCCGTTTGTATCGAGTAGCACTTAGCAGAGACGATGGCCGACGGGCTCTGAAGTCGTGGCCGGCGGGTAACGCACGAGTCCTTCGATCTTATCGTCGTCCACGCAACTCATCGCGGGTTGTGAACAACAAGTGCAATGAGATCTCGTGTTCAACTTGGGTCGACGAATTAAGTGCTAAGCCGGAGACGGTTCCCGGATGCTGCATCCTGTTGAGTACTGCAGTACATCGTCCATGTGTCACGACTCACCAGTGCGCGTTTCCAACGATCTGGGTAAGCCTGAGCTGATTTCCCATCGCTGGTACACTCCAAAATAGCTAGCTCCTCGCCATATCTTTCCCGGTCGCTGACTAGCAGTCTGCAGTCGCTCTCAACCACCATGTCATCCTGCTACGTAATCAGTGGTCGAACATAGATGGGGAGTGCAAGTCGTGTTGTTTGGTTGTGCCAGAGTTCCATCGACGCAAAGCACGTCAAGCCCACGCCATTGCGCGTCGTACAACAGAGCTGTCAAGCAGTAAAGACTTCGAGCGACGTGTAAAACTCTAGGTGACAGCAGTTCTACGGGGAACTCAGTGGAGAGGCTCAACTTAAGGTGAGGTCATTGCCTTCTAACTCACGGCGCCCTGAACACTATTTGGAATCATATCCTGACGGTAGCGAACAAATCCAGGTCTTCTCTGCCGGGATCCTTCGTATGTTTGGTGAACGGTCAAAGGGTTCGGCCAGGATACACAGGTACCGCAACATACCTCTGTTGTGGCCTAGTTTTGGCTCGAGGGAATGCCGTTGCGACCTCCACGAGCTTGGCCGCATACGCCTGAAGCGTGAAAAGTCAATTCTGATTAGACTTTCCATCATCTCGCAGATATATCAGATCCAGGAAATGGTCGATGAAGGATGTGACCTTCATGATAAACAACACGGCTAGCCTTAGGTCGATACATACACTGTCTCTTGCCAATCAGCATGGGCTAGAGTTGAGCGTCATGCTAAGGACTCTTTACCATGTAGCCGTATGACGAACGGCAGCTTAAACAATGTCAGCCGAAGTCGCCCGTGAGCAAGTTATCGTTTCAAGAACCGCAGGATGCAGCCAAAGGATGTGGCGGCTATCGAATGGACCGACATTCGACCAACAAGATTACTCAGTCGACACTCGTCAAGAGTCAGGGCGCCGGATTCGACCTGATTGTGGCATGACATCGCAACAACCCAAAGGTACATCCTCTGAGGATGCAACGACTCGGTCAATCCGAGACTCCGCCACCGCAAGACATGTTCTCATCTGCATATCACTGACGCGGCTGGCGAAGAAAGCGTTGGCGTCAGAGGAAGTCCGTACCAGGCCAGTGATGGACGCTATGCGGCTACATGTATGATATCCCCTTGCTCGTAATATGGCATGAAAAGCCAATGGACCGGCACTGCGTATTGTAGTACTGCCGGATTTCGATTAGGTTGAAAAGCACAACCACAGTGCCGGGACTAGTTGTCTTGCTAACTCTGGCGTAATAATCGACTGAAGGCGGCATGGCAAGGTTCAGACGAACAAAGGAGGGACCGGGGAACACCGGCTGGCTCACCGACGGGTATAAACAGCCGACGAGAGTTTCGGCAGACAACAGTAAAGCTATGTGCAAGCTGGAACCGATCACCGTACGTAGTGAGTCCAGGGGGAGAAGATGTCTGCCAGGAGCAACTCCGCTATATGCGCCTACATGCCGTAAGCTGCTCATAGAGAAATACTCGGCACTAGCTGTTCTCCGGTTCCAACTTGTTTAATATGCCGAGTCTTGCCCTACATTAGTCGGTAATTGCTCATTCGGCAGCAAAACAACGTGCAGAGTATAATCACACCTATTGGATCGCGTACATACGTTGGAAGGGACCGGATATGTTGCGATTAATTCCTAGAACAAGCAACATCCAAGCTCCTATTTGGATTATCTAATACCTCCTTCAAGTGAATCAAAAAGTATTAAATGTAATGGCTTAATAGGCATAAGAACCGCAAAGTAGGCTATAAAAGAAGTTAACTTATAAAACGCAAGGGGCGTCAATAGGGCTCTAGTAGAGTGGAAGAGTTCTAATTATGTTATTATTGTCCATGTTGCTTAGACGGCTAACTAAACGTCGAGCTTAGAAAGGCGTAGCACTTTTAGGCACTCTAATACCTCCACCTTTCGGTTAGACGGCTATGAACACTTTACCTAACATAGATGTGGGACAGCAATTAGAGAGAAGCTATATCTACGCAGAGTGTAGGTAAACAGAGAATGAAATATCGATACTAAGCCGCTTAAAATCACGATGAGTGGTACGATCAAGTATCGAGTAAGATCACCTAAGTGTGTTCTCACGATATTCGCATGCAATTATGCTCAGGAATAACCTCACTTCGAGAAAGAACAGCTAAAAATTACGTGCCCTCAATTGCCAGACATACTACTTCTAAAACAACTTGTTTCAGTGTCCTACGAACTCATACCACTAAAGCCAGGAGAGCATGTTGTACCATTCTTGCAAGCCGGAGCCCGGATAGTAATGTGTTTGTTGACGTGCCTCGATCAAAAGACCTACTTTTCTCAGTCACATATCACGCTAGAGGACTATCGGGATAGGCAGCTTTAATCTTGCACTCTCTCGTAAAGAGACATGTAGCTTCGCTCGTGAAGTATCTCTATCGAAACGGATTGGACTGGACTGTCGTGAAGTCTTCGAAACCCCTTCGCTCGAAGATTCGTCTCGGCACTGGACATGCTGTACGTCGAACCGCTGCTCCTCGCCGATACTTGCGCAGAAAGGAGCTACATATATTGATCCGATCAGAGCCGCGACCCTTTCCGCCTCGAAGCCTTGCTATATCGCAAAATCGCTGGGTCGTGGTCATTTCTTGATGATCGGGTGACTGACTCTTGTCAGAGGTAGGAATTCTTATTCGATTTCTAAGCCTCGTCGGCAAGAATGATTACTCGTCGCCAAATATTCTGGAAACACACCAATCAGTCTGGAAGACGCCGCCAGTAGACTAGGCTGGTGAGAAGAATCATATGGCACCAGCGATGGCAAGGCGTAAAGTAATGTGTTGCGACACGCAATTGACTCGGGACTGAGATATCCAGCACTACAAAACAATTCAGCGTCGTCAGGGCTCGAACCTGAGACCTCGCTACCCGGTCGGGTGCTGTGAAGAAAACCCCCAGCCACAAGAACTTTGGTATCTTATCGTACCCACTCGCCATCAGAACAACCCCTCGCAACACTCCAACAGTAACACTCTACAGGAGGATAACCAAAAAGAAGATGGCAGAGAAGTGACAGGACCTCAAAACATGCAAAAACTGGTGTACAGAGAAACCCTATCCCAGAGCGCTTCATACAACTGGGTGTGGCCCAAGTATTACGGCTAAACGCGTGTCTGTGGCGAAGGTGTTTTTGGTGAGCTTCCTAACCACTACACTGAAGACGTCCCTGAAGTGCCCACACTATGGAGAGGTTGCCGCTGGAGGGGTCGCAAATTTACTCGTATATATAGGTTTGATGGATGCAAGCACTCTCGTGCGTTCCATCGCCCTTGACGAATATCCACATCACGAAGAATACTCACATCACGAGGAGCTACTTCTGGCTACCCGTGTTGATCTGCTAGTCAGCCTAGGTTGGTGCGAGACTGGATGTGGCAGAGTCGCCATAGACATCCATAATGTAAGTGCTGTAAACAGCCTATGTGAGTGATTTGCTTTAGATCGTCTATTGTCTCTACTGTTCCTCCTTGCCATGATCTATCCTAGTTAAAGTTGATAGCAACAGATTACATGTTTCTGTAAACAGACAAAGCCTCTTGAGAAGTTCCCACAGACAATTAGTACAACGTATTACCGGACGCACTCGAGCAAATACGGCAATTCATGATCTGACATGAACCACCTGTCACCTAGCTCGTGCCACTACCGACTCTCGATCTCTCATAACCCGGAATAGTGTTAGATCTTGTCTCCAACGTGTAACTCAAGAATTCTGATAGAGACTGTGGCGTAGGTGTGGCGCAAGCGAGAGCAACGCATGGTCCAAGCTTCGCGCGTCACTTGCATGTGAAAGAGCGGGCTCCGTTTGCGACAAACCAACTTCCGACACTCTCCAAACACCATCTCAACAACCATATTGCACCCATTCATCACACATCAATATGGCTCCGATCAAGACTCTCAAGGAGATTCCGACTCTCACAAGCCTGTACAAGCTCAAACACCTGACACCGGCCGCTTCAACAGTGTCTGGCGCCAGCTGCGTCTACAACGACAAGATCTGCGTCATCCGCACCGACATTACAAAGCTAGGCGTTGACGCCATTGTCAACGCCGCTAATGAGTCGTTGCTGGGCGGAGGTGGTGTCGATGGCGCCATTCACCGCGCAGCCGGCGGAGGACTCTTGCGCGAGTGCGAAACACTGGACGGTTGCGACACTGGCGACGCAAAGATCACAGATGGCTACGAACTGCCATGCAAGAAGGTCATTCACACCGTGGGCCCTGTCTACTGGCGAACCAAGAAAGAGGGCAAGCACACAAGCCTGCTGCAATCATGTTACCGTCGCTCGCTCGACCTGGCTGCCGAGAACGGTTGCAAGAGCATAGCCTTCAGCGCGCTGAGCACTGGTGTCTACGGCTACCCCAGCCATGAGGCGGCAGCCACTGCTATTGGCGAGGTCAAGAAGTGGCTCGACACTGACGACAAGGCTGACAAGCTCGACCGCATCATCTTCTGCAACTTCATGGAGAAGGACGAGGACGCATACTACGAGTGGCTTCCGTGAGTTCTTTTTCAGAAGGCTCTTGATCAACGACTAACTCGCTGTACAGCAAATACTTCCCGTATATCGAAGAGAGCGAAGGCCAGAGCAAGAGCGACGGAACTAAAGATGGAGAGAAAGAAGAGCACACGACCGACGAGATGAAGAATGACACAAACCAGACCCAGAGCGGGGACAAGATGGTAGAGCAGATCAAGAGTGAGCTCGAGGTTGAGGTCGAGGATATAGACCAGACCAAGGCTGCGGACAAGGCGGAGGAAGGCAAGAACGAGCAGAGTGGTCAAGAGCTGTCTCAGCTGCCAGATGCAGAGGAGAGCGGACAAGAGCTGTCTCAGCTCCCAGATGTACCCACTACAGACCCAGGTGAGCATGGTCTGCCTGAGGCTAAGAAACTCAAGACAGATCACAACTAGAGGTTCCCAGAGGCAACATGTACTCTGAACAACGGTCTCGGAACAGCAAAAGGGGTCAGCGGCAGATGGAAAGGGGTAATGATATCTCATGCAGTCATGAAATAACGAAAGAAGGTCTGTCACTAGTTTCGAAGCAGGAAGATAGCGAGAAGAAGAACAAGAAGAAGAAGTTATGTTTCATGTAAAAATATGGACCGGCGTGGTTTCTCAAATGTTGTGACGAATGCCTTGTCGATCAGCTGGGGAAACGACGGTCCGCGGGCAGCGCATGCCGCGTTTTTGTCTCCTTCTCAACCGTCGCGACTTGATCCTGGTCAACAAGCTTCTTGGCTCCATCATGACTGTAACGCTGCTGTAGTTGGTTTCTCCTAATGTATATTCTTTTCTCTCTCTTCTTTCTGCGCTTGTACAAATCACCTCTTGATCTCCCTGACCTGAGCTGCGGCTGGATACATGGCCTCCGCCGACGACCCTGACGCGACTCTTACAACAGCCATCGAATCGCTGGGCGACGACTCTTCCTACACCGTCCACCGCCTCCGACATGCTTCNCCCGAGCACCTGTACCTAACCACCCGCCGCTGTTTTATCGGCCCCATCCCCGAAGGCTGGCTCAAGACGCATCGCAAAGAATGGTACAAGCACTACCTGGGCATCCACCATTCCTCCAAAGCCCCTTCCTTCTCTGCATCTTCCGATGTTGGCCGCCGCCGCCGTCTAACCGGTCTTGACGTTCCGAATGCCTCTTCCGTCTATCGAGCAAGCTTTCCCCAACCTGATAACATGCGTGGACAAGGAAGTCAAGAAGAGGAGGCTATTGAAGACACAGAAGACGACGATGAAAACACTGGAAAGAGTCGCAAGAACAGCAGGGGCCAAGATTTGCACATAGTATCCACTGTCGAAGAAGTCCACGATGGTGCCGACTCAGACGGTGAGGCCACGATCAGAGCGCCGGTCGCTCTCGACATTCCAAGAGGAGGACCAAGCGATCCTGCTCTCTTGAGAGAAGAACAAGGAAACGCCGAGGAGGTACTATCCTCGTATACCACTGCACATACAGTGGCCTCCCCTTCGACCCCGACTCCTTTAGCTACACCGAGGCCTGGCGATGCCCAAGTAGACTACATGAACTCGCGCCCGACAGATACCTTTCGTAGACGTCAGACCTCCGACACTTCTTTCGTAACGGCTTCAGATGGCGGCTCGATTATCGTAGACGAACCAGGCGCTGCTTCTCCAATCCAGTCCGAGCCTCCTAGCGACCATGATTCGACACCNAAAAACAGTCCTCCTGCTGGAGTGCGAAGCAGTGCTTCTTTCGCGACGACGAATCCAGCCACACCAGGACCTAATACATCCGATACTTTCCTCCTCGCCTCTCAACATAGTCAGCAACTTGACCAGGGTATGAGTGGGAAAGACACAGCGGACATGGCGCAAAATTCGGAATGGCAGCAACAATCACGACAGATTGCTGAGCAAGGGTATGCTGACAATGCCGAGCTGAGACCTCCCGGTCTTGTCCGATTCAATATTCCAGAAAATCCAGTCCTGAAGCAAGAGATGCAAGTGCGAGCGAAAATGGCCCAAGGCATCCGAAAATCTCGACTCTCGAGAGCGTTCACTCGTGGGAAGCTGAAGGATGGAGAAATCGTCAAGGTGGAGAAGATGCTTGTTCGTTTGGACATCACCACAGGCTCGGAGCAACCCAACGAAGACTACGACGAGAAAGACAGCCAGCGAGTCGAGACACGAACCACTGACAAGTGGAGGGAATTCATGGTTGTCTGCCGAGAAAGCCATGAAGATGGCGCCGTCCTATGCCTTCAGATGTACAAAACACGAGTGAGTAAGAAAGTCTTGATAGAAGTACAGACGTTGACTTTACCTCCANNGGTCATTCCAGCAACCAACCAGAGTAAAACTAAGAAGCGCTTCAAGCACCAGATTTTACTGGATCCTGCAAAGCTCAAAGTCAACTTGTACAGTAGTCTTGACAAGACACTTGTACTCTGGCAAGCCAAGGGACCACAAACTATCATCTGTTTTCTTCGACCTCGCTCCACACCCAGCGCAGTAGAGTGGTACACTTTCCTGAGGGGTGTGCTTGGCTTGGCCCGACCACGCACTCTGCTGATCAACATACCTGATCTGAGCGTCGGTCTCAGACTTGATAACCCATTTGAAGAGCTCGAGTCATCGGAAGCGTTGCAGAAAGCTGCAGAAGGTGATGAAGTGGCGATTATGAAAACCATGCAAGCTGAACGAGCCATTGCTTCGAAAATCATCGATCGTTGTTTGGAGATGCTAGCTCAGAGTTCTGAGTGGGACAACGTACTCAAGACCTGGGGACACAAATCAAAGATTGGTCTGGCTTGGAAACGCTACGACCGATTAGAATGGATCCATGGGATCAACGAGCACAAGATGTTTGGCACCATGGCACTGCAACGGACTCATGAGCTAGAGTTGCGACCCAAGCGACACTATCCGGTTTCTGTGAAAATGGCCAATGGTGAAATCATGCAGGAGCCTGCACCAGTCGAAGGTTTCCTGATCCGCCTGACTTCTCAAAAAGGACGCGACCAAAAATTTGGAAAGCTGTTCTACAAGCGACTATACTTCAGCACACAGAACAACTACCTTCTCTTCCTTCGACCAGTCAAGGCAAAGCCACCGCCGCCGCCCAAGATGTCGATGAAGGAAAATTGCAACATTCCCAGTGCAAAGCAAATTGCAGAAAAACTNCCTCTAATCTACGCAGTCAATCCGTTCCCATTGCACGATAATACGGTTGCTTGGTTGTCAGGAACTACTAACGATACCGAAGACAGAAAGAGGCATGATAGGAATGCCTATGACGAAGCAGAAAGAAATGCGCAATCCTTGTTAGACTGTGATGGTTTTATCAATCTCTCCGACATTGTAGAGGTTCGGAATGTGGTGAGAGGAGCAACGCCAGCCGATGAGGCGGTCGACGAGGGCCCAAACGTGGATTTTGATGAGGAAGTTGACGATACCCATCATGACGATGGAACAACCAAAGACTTTGATGACGCCCGAACGTTCGAACTGCTCATGCGCAATGGCCTGGTCGTGCGACTACAAGCGTTCAGTAAGGCCACGAAGAAAGAGTGGATAAGACGGCTCCGCGCTCTGGCCAAATACTGGACGCGGCGAGCTTCCCAAGATCTGGCTCTGTTCAAATTCGTCCGTCAGCAAAACCTGGACACTTTGAACCTCGACATGCAAGCAGAAGCATACGTTGGAATGTTCGCACACAAGTGGGAAGTCACAAAATCGTTCGCCTCACCTGAGCTATACAACGTTTGCGGTATATCGAATTGCCGTGCCATTCACCGCTCTGGAATTCTGTTCCGCAAACCTCGAGTTCATGGTACTTTCTCACGCTACCATGTGATTCTATGCCACGGCCACCTTCTCGTCTTCAAGGATACGGTGCGAAGTACGACAGGCAAGAAAGTGTCGCACATCCACCACGAGCGCGTCGCATCGATTGATCTTCGCGATTGCTACCTTTACTCTGGACTGATTACAGCAAACGACCTACTATATCAGAACCGCACGTTTGACAACAATCGACCGGGTAACTCGGCGATCCCTCGCATGTACCTCGAGGACGGATGGGCGAGTGCAGACGACGATGCCATGACCACTTTTGTGCTGTGGACAGGGCAGCACAAGGGATGGTTCAGAGCTCGAGAGGAGAATAGTAGCGAAGGACAGCAAAAGAGTGGAGGAGCACGCAACAAGTTGAAGAGAGTATCGCAACTAGGCACTACAGGCAGAGCAATCGTGTTCAAGGCTCGGAGTCGAACAGAGAGAGACCACTGGGTGCTGGGTATCGAGACGGAGATTGAGAGATTGTCTCAATCGGAAGACGTCAGGGTTGTGGGAGAAGGCGGTGGGGCGCAGGAGTAATGGGTGACGAAGCCAGGTCATTAGGGGATCCAAAGGGTGTACTCTGATAGCAGTGCCAGTATGACTGCGAGGGTATCGTTCGAAAGGCTTAGTGTTAATAATACTAATGATGATAGCAAAGATACTGTGCGCTATGAGTAGCAGGACGCTCATAAATCAAGACATGTTTGGGTCGTGCACAACGAAGCCCCGCAGGTGCAGCAGCAGCTTGAAGTGTTGGTTCGCGCAGGTGCGTCGCAGGTTGCAAGAGAGTTTTCGGAGGACAGATGCGGCAGGACAGCGATTGGTCCGTAAGAGGAAAAGATGTGCTAATGGGGGAGGAGTTGGCTGGGTCCGAGAGGGCCTGAGAAGGCCTCGACCGGGCTTCAGGCGGCCGCTCGCGCCGGGGATTTGGGCAGTCAAGACGCGGGTGGCCGTCGCACCTGCAGTGAGAGAGCAGCTTGCAGGAAGATTCTCAAATCGCCCAATTTCGTCCATTAACACTGCACGCCGCAACACATCGCGCTGCGACGACAGGAGACGGCTCACGCAAACACCCCATGCCGTCTGGCGCTGGATAGCACTCACCATGGCGTTGCCATCGTCTTCTGAGACGCCAACCTCGAACCAATCGCACTCGTTCTACCAGCCTCACTTTCCCAGCGCCGAAGGACGCTCTGCTCCCAAAGATGTCCGCACCTTGCCCATGCGACCGCGCAGTGTCGGCCCCGTCTTTGACGCCGTGCGCGCGAGCCAACCCATCGCCGAGTTCGACAAGCAACTTCACACCAACAACTACTCCAGTTCCGACCCTGTACCCGATCCTGCCAGACTACCCGAACAGCCCGATGACTTCCAAGACGCCTACCTGATGCCCTCACTGACAGAGAATGAGCGTCTCCGCCTGACGCTGTTCTGGTACTACACGCACGCCAACAAGATGCTGGAAGATAAGGACTTTCTGCTCGCTCTACAGCAGAAGTTGGACCTGGTTCAGACCTTTATGGGCTGGGACTTTGCCATCATGGGCTTGCTCAGCGAGGATGTCTTCACTCGTGTTGCGACCGCCGGCTTGCCCTTGGCCATACTACCGCGTCGCGAGAGCACCTGTTCACACACCATCAACCAGCCGCCCGGCACAGTCTTCATGCTACCCAACATGGCCAGTGATTGGCGCTTCAAACATTCACCTCACGTCGAGGAGGGCGGTCTGCGTAGTTACGCTGGTGCTATGCTCCGCTGCAAGGCCGACACTGGTGAAGACGTCGCTCTCGGCAGTCTTTGCATCGCTTCCAACTCCGAGCAGCCNCCACTCACCCCCAGCCAGCAAGACGCTCTGGTCCGTTTCGCCGACATGATCGCGAGTGAAATTGTAGCCCGCGCGAGGGAAGCCCGAAGGCGTCAGCGCCAAGTCATGGCCGATCTCGTCGCCGAAACATATAAACACAACACTCCCGAAACCGTCAAGAACCATGTCTTGGATATCATTGCTCAGGTCTACCCTGACGCCGTAGTCACCATTGAAGACGCTCCTGCCAACAACACCATCTTCCTACCCAACCACGCCCCGGTCAATTACGACGATTTCCACGACGGTCTATGGGAAGACTCGGAGATCATCGAAAACTTGATTGTCACACAGAATCAGTCTCAACTTGTCTCTGAATCAACGGTTCGTGCAATTGCGCACCCATGTCAGAGAATCCCTACCATTAAATATCTTGTCCTTGCTTCAACAAACGTCCAGTTCGTATTTGACGATGTGGATTCATGGTTCATCGAGAAGTGCGCAAGCTTGATGGCAGACTCTACTCAAGAAAGCCGCCTTAAGGAGGCGCTAACAGCCAAGGAGGCTTTCCTCCGAGGCATAACACATCAATTAAGAACACGTAAGTCGCTTGCTCTAAGCTTGTGTGTTTCGCGTCTAACGACATTCAATNNAGCTATCCACGGCGTCTTGGGCTCATGCGAACTACTTTTCGAGGAGCTGGCCAGCCGGGACATGTTATCAGCAGGTGCTTCCGGTCTGAATCCTTCTTCCGTTCTTAGTGCCATCAGGGACTCTGGTCGAGAGTTGATGTCTACCGTCAACAACATGCTCAAACTTAATCGCTGGGCCGAAGAGACTGGTGGCTCTTTGCAACCTGCTTCGCTTCTAAGTTTGAATCTGATCGAAGCGGAGATTATCTACGAAGTACAGCAATCGATACCTGAGCACGAGCTGTCTCAGATCTCTGTCATGTTTGAGAACAGGCTCGGGACTGACGAGAGTATGATTGTAATGGATCTCTCGTTGCTGAAGGAGTGTATTCAGGCGCTTGTCCAGAATGCATTATCATATACCGACACTGGAGCTGTTATCGTTGTCATAATGGCATCTTCTGACTACACAAGACTAATTTTCGATATCAAGGATACTGGATGCGGCATTGCTCCCGACCACCAAGGACGGATATTTGACGCTTACGAGAAAGTGGATACACATACCAGAGGAGCAGGCCTTGGTCTTACTCTTTCAGCGAAGATTGCCAATGCTATGAATGGCAGCGTGACGTTGATTTCCTCCAGACAAGACACAGAAGACCGAGGATCGCTGTTCCGCGCAGAGTTCCTGAACCCAGGCTTTGCTTGTCCGCTCATTCGTCCTGTTCCTTTTGACGCAGACTTCAAGGATATTCCCAGGAGCTTCCACGTTGTACCGGCCAAGTCACAGCGACCAGAACTCGTCTTACACTTTGCATCTTATCTAAGTCATCACGGATTCGCGGACTCGGAAACGCCTGACGACTCCTTTGTGATACTGACTTACACGCCAGATGCGGATGAGTTTCGCCGCTTCGTTTCTGAAATTGATACGAGGCAAGTCGCTGTTTGTCTTGTACCTGCTGGGGCTACCACAGAAAAGCTTCATGGCGTCCATGAAGTGCGTTTCTTCTCAGGACCCTTCCTTACATCTCGTCTAGAGGAGATCACAACGGAACTCAACACCGTATACAAGCGACTACACTCTGACCCCGAGGCTGGCGAAACCGCCTCGGGATTGGCGAATCGCAATGACGCTCACCGTACGTCTGGAACTGAAAGCGGACTTGACCCAGCAGATGCACAACCAATGGCACTGTTGGTCGATGACAATGTCGTTAACCTACGCATCATGCGCATGTACTGCGAAAAGCGCAAGATCCAATACCTCACCGCCATGGACGGCGCAGAAGCAGTCAACGTCTTTGAGTCATCGCTCGAGACACGGCCCATCAATCTCATCCTCATGGATCTCCAAATGCCGGTATGCGATGGCATAGAAGCAACGCGGCGGATCCGTGAAATCGAAACGGAGAAAGCTCTACCTAGATCGGCATTGTTCATCGTTACAGGCCAGGATACTGTGGCTGACAAGCAAAACAGCTTCCAAGCTGGAGCCGATGAGTTTTACGTCAAGCCTTTGGGGCTGAAGACGTTGGATAAAGGCATCAAGGAGTACTTCCCGGCTGTTGCGCATGAAACAAAGACTGCTTCGCAAGTAGTCAATGGGACAAAAGCAGCGGGCAAGGCTTAAATTTTTGAGTGACAGATCTGATTAGCATAAATTGGGGTTTATATGCACAAGGAACTTTTCATGGGGTGGGCGTTTTTGGTATTGGCTAAAGCCATGAAAGGGAAAAAAGCATACAGTATGTGTTGATGACGAAAGACTTGATGGCATAATATATCATGTCATTTGGTTGGGGATTTTTCTTATACTGGCTTTCTTTTTGAATATGTACAGACATGTTTATATTATGTAGCATTATTTGTGTGCGCGTTCTGTCATCTCGCTTCTGGGGTGGGATTCTTCTTAGCTTAGAAAGGTTCATTTCATTACGCTGCGACTGTATACAGAGCGTGAACTAATACTCAGCTCAAGGCAAAATAGAGGTGTACAGTACACCTTGGAAATACAAAGTCATTTCCAGGATCAGACTTTCTCAAGAAAAGAAGTTAAGGCAAGGTTCCTCATCAGATACTGCTCTGTTCCTCAAAGGTTATCGTGTATCACTAGAACTCATCTTAGCAGACATCGTAGAAGGAAGAGACGACGGTGTCTCTTGCATTTTCACAGGCTGTTCGACTACGGTGTTCGTCTGGTCTGAGATCTCGTCATCAGCAACCACTCGCGCTTTCCACATTCAACAGGCAAGAGCACTCAACATTGCCACTTCCCAATTGCCATCTTGGCTTGGCTTGCCTGTGGCTTTCCTCCATCCTCTCTTCTTCCACCGCAACCCATCGCAGAGCCATCCGCAGATATCCTTCATCAGCAACGATAGCTATTTCTACTTGCAAGTATCGACAGCATCCAACAATGGCAGACAGATCCTCGATTCCGAAAAAGGACTCTACAATCGACCATGGGTTAGGCCTCTCTGGCAACAAGAACCCAGCCGCGTGAGTGGTTCTTCTCGTTCATGTGTGATTCTTGAATGCTGATTATTACAAGTGATCATCGAGCTTATATACCGACTCCCAATCTGAACCAGAATGCGTTCCAACAACAGCTTAGCCCATCGTCAGAGGTTCAACGTCGAGGATCATCAGGTGGTGAAGGCCGTGCTACACCTCCATTGCCTCCTGATGATCAACGTCGGGCATCAGCACCAGATGATCAAGGCCGTACTCCTTCTCGGCAACCACCACCCCTCAATACTTCTTCGATCCAATCTGGCGGCCCATTGACTGATGATGCTGTCTCGCCCCATACGCAGCAACTTCAATTCTCAAAAGATCTGCCGTCGAAGCCAAGTGGTTCAGGATCTGGAAACCAACCCTCGGTTACGATGCCCGAACAGGCACATGCTGCTAAGCAAGCCAGAATTCGTAACGCCGACGATGCCCAAGCCCTTTCAGAAGCCAGTTTCAAGCACGCCCAGAACAATCGGATCGCGTGTGAACAGAAAGCTCAACGGCCGGGTGCCACTCCAGAAGACCATGCCGCTATCGATAGAGCTCGAACTCTTGAAGCACAAGCTGAAGCCGCTCTCAGGAATCTACGCCGCAACTCTGACCGGGCCCGTTCTGACACGCTTCCTCGGGACAACGTTACTTCAGGATCACATTCTGCAATTCAGCAGCTACCTCCTCAGAGTGATACCGAGCAGGAGAAAAGCAATGCTACCCAAGAGAAGGACAAGGACAGAGCCGACCAACTTGATGGCTCTTCACCTTCCGAAGGCAAGAAGGCAGGCAAGCGCAGTGGCTTCAGAGAGATGATGGAATCTCGTCGTTCGCAGCCTGGCGAGTCTGGAACACGTCAATCACCCAATCCTCTGCACAAGCACCCTGCTACTCAACAACCACCACCTGTCAAGAGAGGAATGTTCTGGCAATTCAAACGAACTGACAAGCAGAACAACTCCACTACCAACACTGCCTCTTCATCGGGTGGCAACGCTGGCACAATGCAGGCTGGCAGCACTTCAAGAGCCCTCGATCCAGACAGTACAGCAGAGGAAGACACAGCCAATACGCAAGCGGGCAACACGCAAGCGGGCAATACGCAAGCAGGCAACACCGACGATCAGAGGACCCGTGGCCTAAGAGCAACTCTCCGACGAATTCGAAGCAAGACGTCCAAGGTTTTGGGAAGCTTATGAAGAAGAAGTAAATGTGTCGCCAGCAAGGTCCTCAGTTTCCTCTCCTCTCCTAAGGCTGGTGTGTGAGTGTGTGCGTTTTTGTGCGAGGTCGAGTCGTCGGTCTTTTCCATGGTCTGATGAGACTTTTGAAGTATCTTGTTCTGTCTTTTACTGTTCTTGGTCGTCGGAGGGCTTGATACATACATTCCTTTTGAGATATCTCAATCACATTCTTGTCCCTCTCTTGCATCATACAGTGCTTCCAAACAGTCGGCGCTGTTCTGTGATGGCGTGTCTGGTTTGGTAAGCGATTGTGCAATTTTACAGCATACTGTAGCACCTATCTGTTGGGATATGATTGTGACCTTGGACCTCATCTTTCCCACACGTGCTTTCGCACACATGCGTGATATTGTGTGAAACCGCAAGGGCAGCCAGCATTCATGACGTTTCGCCATCGTACATTGCCAGGAAGTGCTTACTCAGAGGTCATCTGGCATGCTAAGTTGAACGTGTGTTGTCAGAGTGCATGTGTATGACATACTCACAGAAAAGCGCTCGAGATCACCTGGCAATTATTGTATATCCGTACGTGCTTGCAAATGTTTGAAACAAAGGACAGCAGCAAAACCTAAAGGCAGAATGTATATGCAAAAGAACAAGTCAATTAATCTTTGGGGGGGGAATATACAGAAAACATTGAAAATCGACAAGGGAAATTAGAAGACGAAACAAGAGAGAACAGGAGAAAAAGACGAAAGACAGATTATATAGACAAACCAAAAGATGAGAGAACGTCTGCTCGCTCTTTTCCCATCTCTTTTGCAAACGAGCTTGGAAAAGGAACCAAAGAAACGAGGACAATACTTTAGACGAAACAACAAAAAAAAGAATAGCTCAATTACTTGGCCTGATAGGTTCCAGCCACAATCCTTCTGATCTCCGATACCCTCTTCCACTGCCCAGCTTCTGNCACCCCCAGTGACTCATCAGCAAAAGGATCGGCTTCAGCCTCTTTGGAATCTTCCTTGACACTAACACCCAATCCTGTTCCCAATTCGGCACCAGAAACCTCCCACTTTGCTTCAATGTGTCCTGACTTGGCTTCTTGTTCTGGAGTCTGGAAGCGAGCAAGCAGTTTACTGGGGGTTGAGGAAAGAGTGACGTTGCCTAGTTGCCAGTAGATCAAGTTTTTGGTCTTGTCAAAGTTTCCCACTGGTTTGGAGAGGCAGGTGGTGCAGCGCGAGGTGGGGTCGAGGTAGAGCATCAAGACTACGTTCTGCAGAGTGACACTGCTTTGTCCGGGAGGCATGGTGAATGCGGGGTTCAAGCTGTAGCTGAGAATAGCTGATGTTTGCGCGGGTTCAATCTTCCAAGCAGGAGTGAGGAGCAGAGGTGCAGCACTTGCGCCGGGAGAGGAAACTTGGTACTTGAATGCGACGGCCGTTTNTGAGATGCCGCCAAGGTTGACGCTGTATTCGCCGGGTTGCTCAGCAGCAGTCAAGAAAGCTGGGTTGGGAGCCACCTTCTCCAAGCTGGAGAAACCATCTATGCGGATGCTCTCGTGGCCAAAGGGAGATGTGAAGTTGGTAGGGTTGTAGGCGAGAGCGATTTCACCAATGGTAACGCTGCGTGTGAGTTGGCCTTGCTCGAACCATGCACTGACGGTCTCGATAATGGAGCTGTTAAGACCAGGCTCGTGCAGTTCGGGATGCTTGTTGGTCTGGCTCTGCGAACTGCTGAGCGAACGACCGGAGCGGATGGAGCCTGCATCATAGTCGCTCTCGCCAACTCGCGAGGCTGGGCGTGCGAAGACGCTGGCTGCAGTGGCTTGGGCAGAACCATGGAAGGGCGAGAAAGTAAATGATGCTGACGTGAACATGGGAGACGAAGGGCCTTGGATAGGCGACAAAGACGAGGTCGAGATCTCCAGAGGTGCGCGTGTTGTCTCTTGGGATGTCTGCAGTACAGGCAAGGCGGTAGTGGCAGGGCCTTCTTCGGTAGTGACATCCGGGGTGGTCACTGGAGATTGACCGTATACACTAGCGCGCATATCGCGACGGCCACGGACAGTACCTGCTCTACGTGAGGTTGGAGGAGGAGCTTGCATCTTGAGCGTGTTTGCCATGGTAGTGAGAGCAGCGTCTCCGCCCTCCTCGGCAATGGGGGCGTTCCGGATGTCCAGCTTGAACTGGGGCTGGCTAGCGTCGTTGGCTTCTGCGGCCTCTCTTTCGGCTTGCGAGATGAGATCGACGGCAGGCGGCGGCTCCGAGAAGCCTTGGTTGTCGCGAACGGGCTGCGAGGATTAGCATTGGAGATCACACAAGATAGAAACAGACTTACCTGGACAGGCTGGGTGGGTTGCATGGGCTGCATAGGTTGCATAGGTTGAGAGAAATCTGAAGCAGATGGTTGAGGAGTAGACTGAAGAGGCAACGAGGCCTGCGAAGGCTGCAGNAGGCTCCTGCAGCTGGGAGCTGCTATTTTGCTGGTAAGGGTGGTGGTTTGACTCGGGAGCAAGACCAGCGGCAGCCAAAGACTGAGCCGAGCCATCAATGGGCGGCAGCTCTTTGTCGCCGTTCGCAGTGCCACGGTACGATGAGTTGGTGTTGCTCGTCATGGTACGAAGAGGCGAGCGAGGGCGGGTGGGCTCTTCGCTCTCTTCAAGCGGCGTGGGCAAGTCGTGGTTGCGTCCAAATCTACTGGACAGCGAGTTGAAAGCCGATGGCCTAGACGGCTTGCGCTCCGGCGACTCGGATACTCTGTCGGGAATGATGGTGCTCTGACGGTTCTTGTTTCGCCCGAGCAACGTGCCCAGTCTCTTCAACCCCTTGCCGGATTTCTGCTTTTCGGGCTCTGAAGCTCGCTCTGTTGGTGCNNTAAGACTGTGTTAGCTCAACCGCATCCGATATTCATCGTCTTCATGGAGCTTACCAGTGCCCGAGCG